TAAAATAAACACTTAAAATAGTTATGTAACACTTTTATACAATGGCTGTGCACTGACTCAAAAAATTTAAAACGTAAAATATATGGTCGAAACTTACATACAGTATCCTATACTGTAAGTATATAACTTTAGGGCAACTACCTTCTCGCGTAAATGTTAATATTGTTCGCGATCTTAATCCTAATACATATCAAAAAGTTTTTGTCTAGTTAACTACCTTGTATTTATCTTATAAAGTTTCATTTTACGGCATTGATTATATTTTAATACATTCACCTTTTTGCTGGAGAAAATGTGAGCTTCTGTCTCTGCGGACCACGCACTAATAAATCACTCAAACCATTATCAGAATCCGATAGATGGACCAACCACCACATATAATGATTGTTAAATCGAGACGAAAAATATTTAAATTTACGAAAATAGAAAGAGAATGAACCTTTTACTGTACACGATAGTTCGTTAACCAATCATATTGTTGTATTTCTGTTATTTAGAGAATACTTCATTTTTCAATTGGTTGTTTAGAAAATACCATAGAAGAAAATTATGAAAAATTTTTTCTTCGAAAATACCTTATTTTATGAGCCCATAATTTTATTTATGGGGACATATTTATAAAAGAGACCATTGTTCTACAATGTTCTAGTATTATTATTTAATGAAAAAAGTTTTAGTTTTGGGTCAATCTTATTCCATGTTATAAGATCTGATACCCCATTTTTCTTCTTTTCGTGTTGGATAGAAAATGAGTTGAATTAACCTATTGGATACGTAAAATTTTGTACATTCGATAATTTTTATTCTGATATTGAAATAGCGGGAAAAATGTTTTCTACAATGTTGGCGTTATATATATTAAGCGATAAAATATTCAAAGAACATTATTATCTTATCTATTATTCAGATCTGATATGGTCATTTTTTCTTTCGGTGTCGAAAAGATAAAAATCTAAATTTGAAAATGTGGTACAAAAAATGCTGTATATGTTTTTAAAATATACATTTAAAGGCAAAATAGTCCATAGTTTTAGATCTTGTATCACTATAAACTGAAATAACGTCCCTGTTTTAATTAAATATTAACCATTTAGTCGAAAAATCTACTTTATCGTTATTTCATGGCGCAAAACATGAAAATTTGATACGTGCTCTCTCATTGGTTTGAAGCACTTGTTTCTATGCGGCCATTGGTCCATTTAATTACTATCCAATTCTGACTTCAAGCTCAAGATTTGACCTATGACCCCCTCAGGAATGTGGCATAAACAAAGTCTTGTTTACAATTTGTGCTGTACACTATGTTTAGAGCATTTAGACCCTTTTATATTAAAATTTGATTTTTTAAGATATTAAAAAGTAAAAAACATTTAAAATAATAGCCACTAATCCTTATTGTATATTGGTAACACAAATTATATTTTTCATTTTACCTTATTTAATTTGTTTGATTACATCGGGTTGAGAGTTTTTAAAGGTATACTTTTAGATTTGAATCAAATAATTAATTGCTGTTGGAATTTGCCATGAATACAGCTGGTAACGGGTATTTTCCCGATGTAAAGGCCAGTCCCACACCTCAGGTCAATCCGTACCCCAAATGTTATTTATTAAAATTTTGTTATAAAAGAAGAAAAGAGGAAACTAATGTTGATTGTTGAATAGATATATTTAAAAATTTATTGACAAGGGAACCATGGAGTCAACCAGAGTTCCCCCCTGTAACGTAGGATACTAGTATTCCCCCCCTCCCTTTTTGAGACAGGGCGCCACCGGGGTGCCCGAGACAGTCGTCTGCCGTCCTCCCCCTGATGGAATGGGCTGAAGGACATCATAGGCTGTCTCTGAACCCATGTCTTTACCATAAACAGTCAGTTCTATTATTAATTAAGATATGAGGTAAAGGTTAAAAGTCTGTTTGTTGTTTAATTTTCCCCCCCCCCCCCCCCCCCCCCCGTCCTCTGGGGGAGAGTAGATAACTCCTGTTATTTAGTTAATTTTTATAAAATTGGCCGAAGATTTTTTTAAATAACGTATATTAACTTATATTTTTAAATTGTTTGATGGTTTTATTCCGAAACACACTTAATAGTTAATATATTAATAAATTTTGGAACATTTTAATGTGTTTAGGTTAAATTTGTCTATTGAAAATGAATGAATTTACGACAAATTGTAGATATTTATGGTGGAACCTGATAGGCTTTTGAAATCTTACTTTAAATTTTGATTGGTTCAGTTCAATAAAGAGCCTGGCATTGGTTAATTTTCTTCTTTCCATTTTTTTAGAAAACAAATTTGATTGGTTTAGATGATAATAAAATGTAAAAAATTATGCAATGACTAATTTCATTGGTTCAAATGATAATTTAATGTAAATTTATGCAAATTTGGAGCACCCTATGCATCTACCTAGACAGAAAGTGTCATGCAATAGTATATTCACACCTTTCTGAATATGGAGGAATAATTTACCAAATCTGTTAATTGTTAAAACAACAAGTGTCAAATATGATGTACCTTGTGAAAATAACACATACAGTGTGTCAAAAGTTCAAGTTTTTGTTCTAAATAAATGATACAGATAGATAAATACTTTATTTATTAAATTATTTGAGTAATAACACATAATGACAGTAAAATGATCTTCATAATTAAAATAAAGTTGAAATTATAAGTTCTAAGTAAAGCAATAATTTTTGTAAGAAACAAGGAATTATAACAGCAATTGGTTAAAACGAGTGTAGGACAAAAGCCCTCCCGGACAAAGGCAAGTCAGGAATGTACTCAAGCTCATGGAAAACAATGGAAAACAAAAATATTCATGACTACAATTTTAATATGTTGCGTGCATTGAATTGAAAATACAAACTATTCAATGTACATATGATGATATATGTATTTGCTGCGGGAGGGCTTTTGTCCGCCCTTTTATTTTCACGGGAGGGCTTCTGTCCGCCCAGTCATTTTTACGGGAGGGCTTTTGTCCACCCTGTCAATTTCACGGGAGGGCTTTTGTCCGCCTTGTCATTTTCACGGGAGGGCTTTTGTCCGCCTTGTTATTTTTGGACGGGAGGGCTTTTGTCCGGGAGGGCTTTTGTCCGTTTCCCGGTTAAAACATTTAATTTAATATCTCAGAATATATATGGATTGCACGGAGATAGGCTCCAGCCTCCTGGGATATCCTATATTTGGCCCCTTGATTTGAAAATTTGAACTTAAGAGATAATAAACTGAGGTGCACTGTACATTTAAAAACAAGATGGTCTTTGTAAAATATATTTTTAAAAAAATGTGCATCCAGATAAAATAGAAGTAGATGTACACATTGCAGCTCCATTATTGAAAGTCATGTATTAAGTGGTACTAATATTCCTGGTAAGAATTATCATGTAAATAATAATACTGATTTTTCTATGAAAAATGTTATATATCTTGTCACAGGTGATAAATGTAAAGTTGGTCAAACAAAGCAACAAGTGTCTAAATGCTGATGAATAGGCATAGGTTTGATACCAACAATTTTCACTTTAATAAAACCAATCATTGTATTAAGGATTTTAAATCTATGCCTGAGATTGTTTCCGACGATATGGAACGCTTATTACAAGAATCATACTGGATTCATAAGCTTAACACATTATCTCCTAATCATGTATGAATGCAAAAGTTTTGTGCAATGTATAACTTGATTGTAGGACAAAAGCCCCCCCCCCCCCATTTAAAAATGAAAAGGTGGACAAAAGGCCCCAATAAAATTTACACATAGGACAAAAGCCCCCATCAAAAATACAGATAGGACAAAAGCCCCCCCCCATACCATGAAACAAAAGCCCCCTAAGGTTTATAGACCAGACTGATTACTATCTTTTTTTCACACGCCCAGTGTTTGGAACAAGTATGCGCCTTAAACTTTTATTTCCTTGATAAGCGTTGTTAAGCGATTTTTTGAAAATATTCATTTACATTTGTACTGTACAATATAATTATAATAAACATAAAAACATTCATATCATCGATAAGTTATATACGAATTACACAATAAATCAAATTAGAACTTTTGTACCTTTAAATTTAAATCTTAATGTAAATTATCTTTTAAAACAATTGCATTTATTTGTGAAATTAAACATACTGATTTTGACTTGTCCCAATAATCAAGTTCCAGATTTAAACTGACAAGATTCTTAATAACAATTGTTTGATGGACTTAAGGGGCTTTTGACCTACCTGTATATTTGGGGGGGGGGGGCTTTTGTCGTACATGTTAATTTCATGGGGGGGGGGCTTTTGTCCACCTTGTCATTTTTAGATAGGGGGGGGGGGGGGCTTTTGTCCGTATCCCTATACGTATAACTTTATTATCTTATCAAGCATATTATTGGGCCGGTATACATATACATGTTGTATGTTTTTTCGGAAGATGGACAAAACCCTACACATCAAAACCTCACAACTCAAAATTTTATAGAGTGGACAAAACCCCACAGCTAAAGTTTATACAAATTTTTTTTTTAAAACATTGGGCAAATATTTTCAAAATTTAGGAAGGCAAATGTTTCCTCTCTCAAAACATATGAAAAGGTATTTAAAATTCACTTTGATGATAAAAGGCAGAAAATGACAAGGGGGCATAAGCATGTTTTATATGAGCTTCAGCACATTCCTGACAGGCATCTGTAAAATGAGAGCTAAAATTTAAAATGGAAAACAAAAATATTCATGTTTACAATTTTAATATGTTGAGTGCATTGAAAAGAAAAAACAAAGTATTCAACGTACATATATGTATTTGCTGCCAAAGAGCTTTTGTCCGCCTTATTATTTTCATGGGAGGGGTTTTGTCCGCCTTGTCATTTTTGGAGGGGAGGGCTTTTGTCTTACACTCCATAATTAGCTACCAGGACACTTGACCCATGACCCCTGTCCCCCCTTTCCTCCCCACCCTAGTTTGGGGCAAATGTCTTTATACCAATTCTGAGTTATTCTCCAAATTTCAGGTTGTCTCTAGCATACAGCCATGCAAAACTTGCTCTCAGGAATGAAGTCACCCTCAACGATGCTTTGATGGCAGTTAAGTTGTATGAAGAATACCTTACTAATAGGTTTGGTAGGTGGCAATGTTATTATTTTTCAGTTAAGGATAACAATTTCAGTAAAAAAACTTAATTCAAGAAAGATAATGAAAACTTTTTGAAAAGACTTTTAAGTTTCTTTTTGTTTAATTGACATGAATTAAAGTTGACTGTGATTAAAAAAATGTGTTTGAGCACCACACTAAATACTGTAATTCTTTATATACCAGACACGATGCTTAAATGATATAATGCTAAAATCTTGCCTGCAAGCATCTAGAGGTACTGCTCCAACACTGTAGTAAGTTAAATCCATTTAAGTTTTATATTGTATAAATATAGTTTAATAGTGATGAAATAAATATTTCAGGATATTCAACTCTCAATGTTCAGCCAATACCTCACATCACAGCAAGTCTACTTAACTATTGTATAGGCCCTGCTGTGAGTATATCTACTTTTTCCATGTCACAAATTTGTTTGCCAACAGTAAAAAATATGATTGTGTAATTACTTATTTTATGTCACAAATTGATTAGCATCAGCCATAATTACTTTTTCTTTGTCACAACTCACAAGTTTGTTTGCCAACTGTAAAACTTATGATTATGAAATAACTTATTTTATGTCACAAATTGATAAGCATCAGCCAAAATTACCCTTCTATGTCACAAATTTGTTTGCCAACTGTAATTACTTTTTGATTGGCAGCAGCCATAATTGCTTTTTCTATGCCACCATTTGATTTCCATTAGCCATAATTACTTTTTCTGTTTCACAAATTGATTTTGATGAGCCATAATTACTTTTTCTATGTAAGAAGCCATAAACAGTTAAATTTATCACTTTTCTATGTTTATTGTAACATGATCATTTCTATGAGACTGAAGATTTTCATTTATTTTTGTTTCAGAATGACAAACAGATGCAAGATTTTCATAGAAATCTACTTAGATATTGCTCCTTGGCCTCAGGTTTAGAGGAATAATCAAATTTCAGGATTTAAGGAATACAAAAAATATTGATTGAAGATTGGAGAAATAAATATATTCAAGAACTACTGGTAGAATTAAATTTTAGATTTGGGAATTAAAGATTTAAGGACTGCAGGAATAATTAGATTAAAGGATTCCAGAAAAAATGGATTCAAATGACATTATGAATAAATAGATTTAAGGACTTAAGAAATAAATGGATTTAAGGACCTCAAAAATAAATGGATTTAAGGACCTCAGAAATAAATACATGTAGATTTTAGGACTTCAGAAATAAATAGATTTAAGGACTTCAGAAATAAATGGATTTACTTAGGACCTCAGAAATAAATGGATTTAAGGACCTCAGAAATAAATGGATTTAAGGACTCCAGAAATAGATTTGTGGACCTCAAAAATGTAAAGATCTATGGACTCCAACAATAAATAGATTAAAGGACTCAAGGTAAAAATAGATTTTAGGACTCAAATACTAAATTTATTTTAGGACTTCAGGAATAAAATTATCTGAGGACTCCAGGGGAAAAGTTGAGGACTTCAGGTATATTTTAGGACTTCAGGGATAAATAGATTTTAGGACTACATGAATACGTAGATTTGAGGAATCTAAGAATAAATAGATTGTAGGACTCAGAAGGAATATGTAGATATTAGATTTAGAATTGACAGGATTAAAGAAGGAAATAAATATGTGAAGACTGGAGTGATATTAGAATTAAATTTAAAGGATTGAGGAATATTTTTTTTCAAATTTGAAAAGTGGATATAATAAATTTGAGGGCTCCAGAAATAGATTGATTTGAGGTCTAAAAATATGAAATAAATTGAATATTATCTTATACATGTAGTAAATTTGAAAGATTTGATTATTTAAAGAATGAAAGAAAATGTCAATATTAGGATTTTTGTGGGAGGAATTTACAATTATAATTATTTTTTAAGTTTATTATATTGTTCATCATTAATTTATGAAAAGTTTGACTAAGCTGATATAAGTACAGTTGCACCGGTGTATTTAAAATATCATAGAGTCAACAAACTTTTGTATCTTGTCCTAAAACAGAATTATATAGTGATTTTTTTATTAGTACCTTTGAATAAGTGGGACAATTATGTTACTCTATCATAGTTGCTATATGCACATGTACATAATAAGTATGGTAAATATTAAGTAATTGTTTAAAATAAAATGTAAATATATCATTTTATGTAGACTTGGACTGTTTTAATTTTTGAATATAGAATTTGAAGCAAATTGCCAAAGTGTGACATTTTACTTTTAAACTGTGATAAAGTTTAGATATCTTGTTGTGAAAATAAATTTATATGGAATTAGAATTTCAAGTGTATGTTATCTTATTTCTCTCCTTTTTAGCTCACCTGAGCATATGCTCAGGGTGCGCTATATAAGGATCACTCTTCGTCTGTCGTACATCGTCCGTTGTCCGTTCACACTTTTAAAACGACATCTCCTCTGAAACCATAAGGCAGATCATAATGAAACTTCACAGGGATGTTCCTTTCACCTTTCTAAAAATGACAAGGTGGACAAAAGCCCCTCCATGAAATTTACACATAGGACAAAAGCCCCCCCCCCCCCATAAAAAAGTAAAGGTAGGACAAAAGCCCCCCCCCCCCCCCATGGTCAATCAAATTTACATATAGTGTATTAAAGTTGTGTTTTTTATGTGTTTAAAAGATATGTATGGACATCACATGTAGGTGACATAAAGCTAAGGATATTAATTTGATCCCTTTACAAATTTACAAAAGTGATTAAACATTACTACTCTTCTGACCCTTGTTGTGTACATGAAAAGCTATGAATTCAGTATCGCATGCATGCATTATTTCATCTGTTATTATATACTTTGTTATCACTTCAATATATACATTATAAATAAACATTAAAACAAATTCTTTTCATTTTTATTTAGAAGTTTGTGTGAAATTTGATGAATTTGAGCACCTGTGCATGTTGAAAAAGATGGGGGGGGGGGGGGCTTTTGTCCTACCTGTATTTTTGATGGTGGGGGGGGGGCTTTTGTCCTATGTGTAAATTTCATGGGGGGGCTTTTGTCCACCTTGTCATTTTTAGATGGGGGGGCTTTCGTCCGGGGGGGGGGGGGGGGGGCTTTTGTCCTACACTCAGATTTTAGATATTTGGCATAAAACATCTTCTAGTGAGTGTCTACCAAGTTTATTCAAACAAAATCCCTGGGGTCAAAATTGGCTCCGCCCCAGGGGGTCATTGATTTTCCCTATATGCATATAGTAAACGCTTAAAAAATCTTCTTTTAAAGAACCCAAAGAGCTTAAGCTAAGATATTCAGCATGAAACATCTTCTAATGAGTGTATACCAAGTTTGTTCAAATAAAAGACCTCAGGTCAAAATTGGCCCCGCCCCAGGGGGTCATTGATTTTCCCTATATGCATATAGTAAAAACTTTAAAAATCTTCTTTTAAAGAACTCAAAGAGCTAGAGCTAAGATATTTAGCATGAAACATGTTCAAATGGGTGTCTACCAAGTTTGTTCAAATAAAAGCCCTGGGGTCAAAATTGGCCCCGCCCCAGGGGGGTCATTGATTTTCCCTAGTATATGCATATAGTAAAAACTTAAAATATCTTCTTTTAAAGAACTCAAATAGCTAGAGCTAAGATATTTAGCATGAAACATGTTTTAATGGGTTTCTACCAAGTTTGTTCAAATAAAAGCCCTAGGGTCAAAATTGGCCCCGCCCGGTCATTGATTTTCCTTATATGTGTATAGCAAAAACTTAAAAAATCTTCTTTGAAAAAACCCAAATAGCTAGAGTTTAGATATTAAGCATGAAACATGTTCTAGTGAGAGTCTACAAAGTTTGTTCAAATAAAAGCCCTTGGGTCAAAATTGGCCCCACCCCGGTGGTCATTGATTTTCCTGATATGTGTATAGCAAAAACTTAAAAATCTTCTTTGAAAAAAAACCAAATAGCTAGAGTTTAGATATTAAGCATGAAACATCTTCTAGTAAGTGTTGACAAAGTTTGTTCAAATAAAAGCCCTGGGGTAAAAACTGGCAGCCATGCCCCAGGGGTGTCATTGTTTTTAACTGTATGTGTATAGTAAAAACTTTAAAAATCTTTTTTTAAAAAACCCAATGAGCTTAGATGTTTAGCATGAAACATCTTCTATGGGTGTCTACCAAGTTTGTTCAAATAAAAGCCCTCGGGGGTGAAAATTGGCCCTGCGGGGGGGGGGAGAAATCATTGTTTTTCATTATATGTGTGTAGTAACAACTTAACATAGTAAACATCTTCTAATGAGTGTCTTCCAAGTTTGTTCAAATAAAAGCCCTGGGGTTTAAACTGGCCCTGCTCCTGGGGCCTATATACAGGTGAGCGACCTCAGGGCCATCATGGCCCTCTTGTTTAATGATATAGGTTGTGTATCTAAACTGTTATAAAATCATTGATTGGTCTATTTTCAGCTTGACTTTTTTGAAGGAATGATTCAAGTTATTACTACAGCCATGTTGCCGTTGCTATCACTGCCTATCCACAAACTATAACATTCGTCATAATTTTTATATTTCTTAATGGATTGTCCTCACACTTGGACATGTCATTTCTTTAGACAAGACTTTAAGGTAGACCAAATGGACCTTCAGGAAGCAGTCAGTACCTCTATTCAAGTTGTTCAGGTCACTGCCCCAGACTGCAGATTGTTAGAATTTTGTCTGACCTTTTGCATGTAAAAACATATTGTACAGTGGCTGCTCCTCCCTGAAATTTTCATTAAGAGGAACATGAGGTCTTCTTCCTCCACCATATAGGCTAGACAGTTGTTTTATACGCAACAACTTATTTCAAATATTCCCTATTACAGACCATGTATTTGATGATAAAACGTCTGTGACCCAGTTCAACGAAATATGCAATGTTTACGTTGATAATACAGCGTTCATGGCTCTATTAATTAACGTTGCAGAACACCAGTTACACCAGTGACTGAGCGATTCTTGTGCAATAAGTGTTGTTTACAAAAATGCCACCAAAAGCAAGAATCAATTCATCAAAGTATAAGATTTTGTCCACAAACAGGAAAACGATGAAAACAAAACGCACGCGCGCACACACGCACAGACACGCGCGCGCGTCCAGGTAGTGGTAGGGCTAGAATTTTAAAGAAGTTGTGTAAATTTTCTGTACAATTTGCCACTCGTAAATGACTTCAGGCGACTGTAACTAAACATGACAGTTTGATTGATGACTTCGTCGTAGCAAATCCTCATCTGACTAAATTGCGCACTCATAATAATAGACTTCAATTTATATAAATGTTGGTTTTGTCTTGATTACGACCACGATTTTTGTTTGCCACTACATAAATTACAAGTATTTAAATACAACAACATGATCATTCAGAGCCCTAATATGTATTAAAAACAACAGCATGATTATTCAAATAAAAAACAATAACATGGTATTTCAAAGCCCACCAATGAGCTATCCATTTGTCTAATCCCGTTGCAGGTTGTTTCATTCATTAGTCTCGAAGCTCCCATTTATGGCACTATAAGGCGCATTGTGATAGACTAAGAAAAAAGGCCAACAGGACCCCGCGTGTCATACAAGATACAAAATACAGGAAGCTTTATTTTAAATAGGTTTACAAATAATAAGAAATACATGTATAACTAATACATTGTAAGCTATTTACCGATAAAAACAAAGACCATTTATTAAAATAAAACAAATCTGAATAAAACGAACAACATTTAGTGCTATTTGCTAAGACATGAATAAAAAGTATTGAAATTTAAGAAAAAATATACTATGAGATAACATAAAAAATACATGTACAGTACATGTACATACTTTAGTGGGCTAACAGCTTAGACGTAACAAAATACTAAGCATAAAAGCTTGACAATTTAATAATAGTATAAAACATGTACATGTTGCAAATGTGAAATAATTTAATGTTAGTTAACACCTGGAATACGAGTATATTACTGAAAATTTACTAAATTATTTTAATTACTTCATAAACAGTAGCACTGGTCATGGGCTTTAGCCATGCGGCGATTTGTTCCGTCTTTAAATAAACTCGACTTCTTGTCGGGGAAAAAAATCATATTCCTAAACCTATACCATGAAGTTACAATTGCATGGCTCCGATTTTGTTGGGGATTGGCTAATGCAATAGTTTGGAGGCTCCCCTTAACGACAATATAAAGCACAACGACAATATAAAGCACATGACTCTGGCGTGACATTGATGTTGGCCGGTGCGGCAATTATTCGCATTTTCGTTAAAACACTATTTTCAGAAGCCCACTGTGATGTTACAGTTGGCCCGGTTTCGTTGCGAATTAACTTAAGCAATAGCTATGAGATTTCCCAATATAGTATCATAAAGCTGTTTTTAATTCTGTTCAGAAGTTGTAATTATTTCATGTTGAAACTGTACAAAGAGACGAAATAAAGAACAGATAAAACATGCAGATTTTCTGTAAAATACATATCTATTGATTGTGTTTAATCAGTAATGTCATATAACGACTTTCTGTACATAGCTTTACTGGTTGACGAATACCTCGGGTGCTACGTGCATTAATTAAGGCAGTAGAATCACCGACCTCATATGAAATATCAAAAGTTCCTGGTGGGATTCGAACTCACAGTAGTAAGGGGCAAGCGGGTTGAAGACTTCTTTATTCAGTGCAAAATGCAGTGTTTTGTGTTTTTCAATGATAATCTATGTTTAAGTAATCTTTAATTATATAAAATGCGTCCCGGCACAACCTGTATTATATTTATTTTCTCTAATGAGTTTACCCAACGATCGAAGTCATACATTTTTGAATGATGATTATGGTGTACTGTAAACGTATATTTTCGATTTTCCCTTACGGTCCTACGGCGTTCATATTCCGCGCATGCGTGTTTAATCTGGCCCGGCATTTGCTCTATTTCGTCAAATTTCCAACACTTATTCAATTTTCCATCATTAACATAAATGGGATCCACGCTGTCATAAAAGTACTGAGAGTTTGGAATATAAACGGCGTCAATGTCGTCCTCCTTGCGTGTACCTTGATAAAAATTAGGCGTGTTACTAGGATGATTCGTGTCGTGGTTTGTCACATTTTCAAACGTAAGTCCATTGTATGCAATATAAGTCTCCATAACATAACTTGCTCCACTAATTTGATCAGGGTCACGTTCCGTTGTTGGGGCCGCTGGCAGTAGATTTGAGAGCAAAAGTTTAAAGAATGGATGCTTAGGTCGGCAAAGCATTATATCCGTAGTCAGCTGTGGAGGTGGTTGATAGTCGTCTAAAGATAAAAATAAATCGTCTTTAAGTGAATGAATCATTACCCATTCTTCGTAGGGTTTCATGGGTATCATACAAGCGTATTTATATGTAGCTATATCCAGTGGGCGTATATTTTCCATATCAAAGTCCGTGTAAACTCCACCGAACTCGTAGAGAACCGCGTATTTTATCATATCAAAATGAGTTGCATCACACTTTTTAAATAGGTCGAATGCAGGTAATATGTAAGAAAATCGGTCTTTAATGAGTTTTCGTCCGGATTCATACGTCCAGAATCGGTACTGCCATTTTGGATTTTGATTAATGAATGTTTCTATAAAGCCTCGATATGGTTCTGGAATATTCTCGTCACACCATATCTGATGGATGATGTGAGGTATACGAGGCTCGCGAGCGTCTGTTGAGGGAAACTCCATCTCGTCTGCCGGTTGCATTGGAACATACTTCAACAAGATTCTTTCCATCTCCGACATGTGCTTTTCTTTGTATGAATCAAGTTCAGTCACTTTGCTTTGCTTCCTGGAAATGTTTTGACCTTCTGCTTTCGACAATGAGTCTCCTTTGATCATGTTATTTGTAAGATTTCTCGGGAAGATTTCTGCCTTATCTCCCTGTAGTGTATCGTCTAGCTGATGTATAGCTGAAATAAATGTATTGTTAGATTTCCAACGCATTGACACAAGTTTATCCACTGTTATTTCTCATTTAGACACATACAAATGTACTTATTTATTATTTTTAACAAATACGAAAACAAAATTGACATGGCAGAGAAAATTTAACAGAACTCAGTCCTCGGGAAAATACAGTCATACAGGACCATTGGAAAGGCACTCAGTTGGGCACCACCGAACAAAGAGCAGCAGACGAAAAGAGCGAAGCAATTTAAGGATAGCAAAACAAGACTTTCAGTAAATGATTCACCCTCAAACATTTATCTTTTATTACTGAAAATGTGTAGAGAAAAGTTTTAAAGAAGGTAATATTGTTGTAACCTTACCTTTAATTTCAAGAACTTGCTGATACCAATACAGAAACATCAGTCCAAGAGGAAAACATGCGCATGTCCACAGTGCAGTTCTTTTAAAAGACGCCATTGTATATTGGCGTTTCAGTTCCGCTTAAAGCCTGAAAAAAGAATAATAATATTATCGGCTAACAATTTAATGTTAGATCTAAATAAAACATTTTCAATAAAGTATAGAAATTAAAATTATTTTCCGGGTTTACGTACATAATTGTGACTTTTGCCTCAAATTAACCGCATACATTTATAGCTACGACAAATATTGAAATAAGTAGTCAAATTATTGATGTACATTATTCGCGCCACACATCTTCTTTACCTTTTCTACGAAATGGAGGGCCTGATTTTATAGGCCTTAATATCGAAAAAAATGACGTCTTATTCAAAGGAAAAGCGAAATTTTAAACATTCAGACTTCAGGCTGAATGTTGACATAACATGTTTAATAGTCACTTATAAAAACAAGAAAAAAGACAGAAAACAAACTAGTAAAGGACTCTTCGTTTTAATCTGAGAAAATTGTCGCCTGCTAAATGCCGTCTGCTTAATTTTCAAAGCTAAATTTTTGCGAAATAAACAAAAATAAGGGTGAAAATCCCACATGATTTTTGCTAAAGACCAGTAAGATTTTAATAATAATCATAATATATTCTGTTTTCTCACTTAAGTGCTCAAGAGGAATATTTTGTGATCATACGGTCCTTATTGTCAATACAAACCATATTTTTATCTTTTTGCGTGATGCTACATCACACCGTATTGCGGGCGCCAGTGATGGCAGATCACTGCAGTGATGGCAGATAGCTGAAATTTACCGCTCGGTACAGGTAGGTTATACATTTGGTCACTGCAGTGATCTGCCATCACTTGTGCCGGTAGTACGGCGTGCACATGACCTAAAACTTTGATAAATGACATATAGTTCTGTCAATTATCTTTTAAGACACACGCACATAAACACATGTATACTCATTTCATACCTCTTGGTAGTCTCCACTATTGGAATTAAATGTATGTCATCTATGTACTTTACATGGCAGCAACATCTGGCGGTCTTTTGTACAAAAATATTTTTATACATGTATATCTTGTCTCATACATAGACTAATTACTAATGCCAGTTTCCTTCCCTGACATTATACCCATGGACTAAGATAGCTGACATGTCAAAAAAATGTCAAAATAAGCAAAAATAGGAACTCAGTAGAAATTTGGTGATATTCTGCACAATCTGTAATTAATCGCACATAACATCTAAATTATGACTTGGTTTAAATATATTTATTCAAAATATGACTTGAATCTTCTATATTTTTTACTTTTCCTAAAAATCTTAGTACAATTTTCTCAAGTTTGATTTTCATAAAATATTTTGGCTTTTTTTAGGCAGCTCTTATGTTTTATTGAATTAATGATGATAGATCTTGCTTGATTTATTGCACGATAAAACTTCATAATCATCATTATCATCATTTTCTTCTTCTCTTCCACCTTATTCTTCTTATTCTTCCATATTTTGCAAATACAAATTTCCTGTACTTTTTGTTATTCATAATGTCTGAAATTCACCAATCATATTAGACACCAGACCATTTATTGTTTTCCATTCTTGCTCGTGATATAAAAAAAAATTTGGTTTCTTTAAAGGGCCACATATTATATTTCAATTTATTATTGTGTGATGTATCCAATTTATATTTGAACAGGACTCATTGTTATAAGAAACTTCTTTTTACATAGATCTTCATGTTTATGAATTAATTTCTTGATTTTCTGTGTAATTATCAGTTAATGAGGCGTTTTCTTAGGAGACCGTGAACATAAGTTTTAACAAATTTGGAATTTTGGTATTTGCACAATTTGAGCTTTAAGCTTCTTTTTGGTTTTTGGTTTTGTATATTCTTTGAAGTTATGTCATACAAACATAAAAAAGATCATATGTCGATTTTCAAGCTTTATTGGTAAAACATTTCCGGAAGTTTGCTGGATTGCTTTTTCAAACCAGGTTTTTAAATGATAATAAAGACTTTAATTAACAAGAGAACGCATTTGAACAACATATCAATATTCCATGAGACCCTTATATTTTTTTATTATCTTTTTTCCCGAAAGCTTATAATAAGGAAATACATGTTTTTCAAATGGTATAGGAGGAAAATAAAATCTAGACCGTCTATTATATTTTTTTATATATTTTTTTTGCTCCATGCAGATTATGAATGTATATTGTTTGGCACTCTTCAACTATGTGCTCTGGGAACAAAACTGCCAAACTTCACGTACGACATACAACCATATGTTTGCTTATTATTATGAAAAGACAATAAACTGCATAAGTATCAATATGTATTATAATATGGAACGATTTCTCTTATATGTAATTTCGGCAAAGAAAATATCCATCCATCGTCCATTGTCCACATGTGATACCAATAATGACGGGTAAATGTAAATTTCTTATTTTTCCTGATCAGTTCACGACGGTGATACTCCGTGCAGCCTCGAATTGTATATTTGCTCATCATTAGCAGATTGTCAAGGTCGTGTAATTGCCGTAATTTTTTACAATAGACGGGCATGGTTTCATTTTGGAAGTCAATGAGCATAATGTGATCAATAGTGTCAAGGAAGTATTGGCTGTTTGGGATATAAATAGAATCGTCATGCTCCACTGGTCTTGTACCTTTGTAGAAATATGGCGTGTTGGTATCATTGTCCACTTTCGGCTTTTGCATGTCTTCAAACGTTATATTATTATACGCAGAATACATATTAGTAAGATACAGAGAGCCCGTTGTTCGTAAAGGATGAGCTTTTATTTCAGTTGAATTTAAAGTCTGAAGAACTAATTTGAAGAAGGGATGCTTCGGTCTACACATGAAAATTCCGACATTTATGACAACTGGCTGTTGGAACATAAATGCTGTATGTTCAAACGGCTCCGTTGGTAGAATACAAGCATATTTCGTCGTGGCAATATCTAGTGGACGTAAATTTTTAACATCTATGTCAGAATATAGACCGCCGAATTCATATATAGCTACGTACTTTATAAAATCTATTTTCTTCACATCCATCATCGGGAAATTGTCAAACTTCTCTAGCAAATATGGGTGCCTCTCCGCTATGAGGCGCCGCCCAGATTCGTGTGTCCAGAATCTATACTCCCACTTAGGATTGTGTTTAGTGAACGTATTGATGTATTTAGAAAAATTTGAAATGACCAATTCATTATGCCATGCTTGATGTATAATATGGGGGATTCTAGGAGGACCTTCCTTTGTAGGAAACTCAATTTCGTCTGCTGGTTGGAAAGCCTGATATTTTTCTAACATAAAGTCCCATGATTTTGTAGTTTGCTCAACGTTCTGCTCTTCAGATTCTTGTCTAGGGGTTGCTGTGGCGATTTCTGTCTCTTGAAGAGGTTTATGTTCCGGCGTTTCTTCGGTTTGAGGAGCTCGCAATGGTACAGGCTTCGCGATTTGTTTAACGTTATTTAAAAGCGATTCGTCCATTGGCTGATCAACTGTGTGTATTCTATTCGCATTGTGTGTACTTTTAGTGCGCTTTTCTTTCTCTTGGTTTCTTTTTACTGAAATGAACAATATGTTTTCAGTAGATTATGTGGAAAAACTATCTTTAAAAGTAATTAAAATGATACTGTATACGTAATGTATTTTAACTGTGCAAATAAATTTTACATTAAAGCTGCATGCCTCCAGATGAGCGAAAATATTTCAATAAAATCAAACTTTAGAAAAATGTACTAAAATTTTAGGAAACATAAAAATGTTCAAGATTTAAGTAATAATCAGCATGTCATGTGCGAATAATGACTAATTGTTCAGTATTTATAACTATATTTCTACTGCGTTACTAACGCAGTAATGACTATTTTTGCATATTTTATACTCATTTTAGTAATTTACATGGGTTGTAAGTGCCATTGATAATGTGTAAACTGCTTCCTTTTGGTTATTTCACTAAAAAATACTTTTAGATACATTTTTAAAATTTTCATGAAAATTAGCATGAATCTGGAGAAAGAATATAAAAATAAGGGACTTAATTTGAACATTATACCGTCTTTAGTATTACATGTATAATATTTAAAAGCAGGGTATATAGAAAATGTGCAGAATGAAATTAATGGAACTAGGAGATAAATTATCAATCAGGAGAAGAAACGGATATGGGACGTAGCAACCGTCACCCCGTGCCACTCCATGCAACTTGCCACTTTTCTGTCACACAGACCTAGAAGAGCACCAATCAAACGATCCGATCAAAGTTTGAAATGCGAATATGAAGTCATGTTTCTTATCTTTAAACTTTTTAAAACATTTTGTTTTGATGGTAGAAATTGATATTGTTCTCAAAACATTGTAAAATGCTTTAATTTGGATTAAATAAAATTAATATAGACATAAGACAGCACGTTACTCTACTAAACAATAACCATTTACAAAAAAAAAATATAATAAGAAAAATTAAAAGAACACGAAATATAATTTAAAACAGAAATGAGCAAAGCTGAACGTGTTACAGACTTTATTCGATGAATGCAGTATAAAATGCAAGCCGATGTTTAGTCCATAAGCACAGATTAAATTAAAAGAATATCAGTGCCAGTGTCCTAAAGATAGCACTTACACTGTACATTGTACATATCTAAACTTATAAAGTTTTTTTTTGACATGATGGGACTGAAAATATTTTTTTCCAGATAAATGTACCATTTGATGTAGGTTTAAACCACTAATCTTTGTTCAAAATTTCAGATCATTCGCGCTTTTCGTTTTTCCACAATAATTATTCAAATGATAAAAAGTGACCCAAAATTAAAAGCGTTTAAACACTTTTCACTCAAATCGGGCTAAGAAAAGCATAAATATACGATTTTTTACTTATTTTAAAGTATATTTCTTAGCTATCTTTGCATATATTTCTGTTTAAAGTGTCCCAGCTCATTTATGTAAGAAATTCAAATGTTATGTTTTTTTGGCTTTTAAACCTCAGTGGAGTCCCTTTAAATATGTTAGACTTACTCCTGATTTGCGATTCGTCGTGTAAGTTTTGAGCTTGGTATGCCAGGATTATGAAGAGAACAAGAACAAATGCAACACCAACCACTGACCGTAGATGTAACCTCATGTCTGATATGATACCTAGAAAATAAGATAATTGAGCCACGCCATGACAAAACCAACATAGTGCGTTTGCGACCAGCATGGATCCAGACCAGCCTGCGCATCCGCGCAACAAACCCTTTTACAACTAAAGAAACTGACAGCAAACAGAATGGATCCTGATCAGACTGCGCGGATGCGCAGGCTGGTCTGGATCCTTCTGGTCGCAAACGCACTATGTTGGTTTTGTCATGGCGCGGCGTTTAATCCATTAATATGATGCCAGAGTGTCAGACAAAACATATATACAATATAAAAACGCGACATACCAAAATATACCAGATTAGTTCCTTAGAACAGTATAACAAAATAGGCCTTACTCAGTAGGACACAGTTGAAACAATTGGTTAAGTATTCAAATTACAAAATGAAACTGTACACACGAAATTCAAAAATATATACATTAATAAATAAATAAATAAATGAAGGCAGCAGAATAAAAGAGTTAAATAAATTAGAAATAATTTCTTAGTAATATAGTCAAACATGTATCTTATAGACAATTAAAACAGTGGACGATATTGATATATGTATACTTAAACCTTTTTAAAAACACTTGGCGATGGCCTGAGCTTTTCAATTTTGCTTTGCTTTTTCAAACTGTACCCTAATATAGTACTTTTATGTGCAATGAACAATAAAATACATAGATTAATAAAATGCATTTTAAAGTGAATAGGAGCTTACATTAGAAACAGTCGGACAGTCCATTATAAGAGTTTGATCTATTACACAAGTACAATATTATATAATGAAAAATATAACTTTTTATTTAGTATATTAAATTAAGAACTTACCTGCAAATGTCTCTCCATATATGTATTAACCGCAAAAAATATATACCTATTTACTCGTTCAAACTAAAAGCTAGTATTTTGCAAAATAAAAAAAAAAATGTCATTCATTTCCGCATAAAATATTTTACCACAACATCTAAAGTATATATGTAAAATCCTCTCTCTTTAGTTTAATGTTTTCTAAGTATATATGAGCCGCGTCACGACAAAACCAACATAATGCGTATGCGACCAGCATGGATTCGGACCAGCCTGCGCATCCGCGCAGTCTGATCAGGATCCATGCTGTTCGCTATCAGTTTCTCTACTTGTAATAGAGCTGGAAATCCTGATCAGACTGTGCGGATGCGCAGGCTGGGCTGGATCCATGCTGGTCGCAAATGCTTAATGTTGGTTTTGTCGTGACGCGGCTCATTGTTATTTGTTCCTTTGGGATATTCTAATATGTTTCCATGATTTATATAATACTGCTTATACTAGAAACACGTTACACAAGAGAAGTTGTACTTGTTTAAGAATTTGATGGCATAATTGAATATTTGAATCAAAACAAATTTGGATCAATAGCTCAGAAGGGTCTGATGAAAAGATCAGAAAAGAATAATAAATATATAAAAGAATATATGTTTTGAACTACACATTGCTTTTTAAAACACAAAACTCGGCTTTTAGAGGTCTGTTGTTATGTAAACCGAATTCGAAGGTTTTGCGGTGACCTGAGATATACAAATGTAGTAAATAAAACAACATCAACACCACAAACAACAACTTATCTCCACGCTGGCAACATAATACACTTCTTTGGTCTTCTGTTTACTCTATTCTGTTGTCTCTCCAAAATACTTAGGATTTGCTAACATGTATGACAAATCCCATATTTATGGTATGAAATAAGGAAAAATAACCAAACAAATTACAAAAATAGCAAGTCGGAAATAAAGAAAGTTTATAAACCAGGGTTAAAAGAGAAGACCTCTTTAAACATTTTAATCATATTCAATTTGAAGGTTTGTCTTCAATAAGGCTTAGCACTACCTTTTCTTCCACTGAGAGGGCCTACATTTGACAAATTCTGACAGTCAATTTAACTGTCCCCAATTGTGTTTCCTTAAATAAATGGCGTATATCTAATACGATAAGTACGTAATTGACTCAGCCTGGGACCACGTCGCTCATCCAGGAGCTGTTTGAATTTTGTTTTGTTTTTGTTTTTGTTCTTATTAGCGTCTAACATAAAATTATATGAGAAAATGAATCGCAAAGTTATGATGAATTTTGATTTTGAAACTGATTTGTAATATAAGTATGTGTCGAAGCCATGCTTAAATTTACGAAATTTGCGGGGTAATTGCCCTCTTTAAAAATATCGTCTGCATAGTTTTTGAATGTTATCCTTTTTTCGTTTTTCGAAATAAAAAAAACATATATAGATAACATGTCTTTGTAGATGTAACGGACAACACGCTTCTGGTCTGGTACAAAGATTTGCAAAGCCTACTATGAACGTTTCCAGTCTGCAAAGGATTACAACTCATTTTGCTTATATGATGAGTAACCAACGTGCCCATATATAAACACTCATGGAATCTTCCTACACGAACTTAATGATATGAATCTATACCATGTTCATAAGAAATATAATTCTCATTTTATTAAACGCTTTATAACAAACTTTTACCTTTTTTGTCAGACATTAAAAGATACATATTGTGAGTAAAATTATGTTATAATAGTTTATTACAGCTAGGTAAACCTTTTCCTAAATTGTACTTCTTATATAATATCCAATATTATATGGAAATGTTTTTAAAGTTTTTAGATAAAATAAAAAACAACAAGAAACAAAAAACAATAAAAGAAAATCATTTTGCTGAATGTTATTTCAAAGCAAGGTCATTAAACATTGATTTATTTGAATTTTCCTTTTACGTTTAGACTTGTGTTTGATCTAATTGTCTTCATTATAGATAATTATCTTTATACATTGTATTGGTTTATTCATATATAAGAACATTGTAGCATTATCATTTTTGTGGTTGAATTCATAAAATATTGTCAAAGATATTTTACGCAAACTTTAACCCCATAAATAGGTCATTTTCTCACTTCCTCATTTACAAGTTAATCGACGTCATTCTTAAAAGTTCATTAACATATTGGTCAACCAATTTACAGGTTATTAAGTTTTTTATTTTCTACATATGCAGAGCGATCTCTTTGAATACTTTGTTCATACCATTACTTTTTACATGAACATTTACTATAATATGCCACGATGTTACATTGTTTGACACCAGCTTCTCTAAAGGGTATGCAACAAAAACACGTTCTATAAACATGAATTATTTATAATAAGTTAAATGTAAGTTATCATAAAAACGTAATTATTAATTTAAACGTTAGTGATTCGTTAAAATGCAACTATAGCAAAGGAAAAGTATCCCTGCTCGAATGATTACGATCGCTAACATTGAACCACTGGCTTCTAAGCACTATGGGTTTAAATCCTACCACTGACTTTTTGTTTCTTTCTGTGAGGTAGATATCCAGATACTAGTAGCTTATTTGACCTCCGTCATTCTAATTAGGTGTCCACTCTTGCACGAAAAATACTTGAAGGGACAACATATAATCTAAAAAGTGTCGATGTGACATGGAAGTTAGTTAGCATATCTTAAACAAATGATAATGAATGATATGAAGAAATGAAGTTTATTTGATTTTAGAAAATTGATTTCAACTCTTTTTCTGTAGTCGACCGGATATTTCATGCAGTTACACATCTGAAAAAAAAGTTTAAAAAAGAATCTAAAAAAATAAGAAATAATAATCGTATTTACAGCTGATCGGTTGTTTAAAATGTATTTTGATTTTTGCATTTGCCATTGTTATATATTTTGCAATCTCTTTTATTTTCTTAGTATATCTGTATTGATATATAATTATGGTCTTGATGGAAATAAATGAAAGACAATGAATTGTGACATTGTACATTATACAAACTTTCATAAGGTTGATTATTTGTTACATACACGAAACGTGTACATTAAATTATGAATATAAGTACTGATTTTGTTATTATTAAATCTTCTATAATAACTTACTTTCCCATTTCATCCAGTGGTACATCGTCCATTTCGTCCATTCCAGTACCATTGCATTTCAATCCAGATAAGCATGGACAAGAGAGTACAGTGTCGTTTGGTTTCCCAGAACCCATTTCTACAGGACATTCTGAAAAGTTACATGAAATATGTCGCATACAACTGTCCTTATCGCGTCCATGATATGACCAGTTTGAATATGTGAGAAACCTTAATTCCAGAGAAAGAACACATGTTTTGTATGTGTTTGGCAAGGCAATTGTACGCACTTCCTGCAACGGCTTGAAGATAAGTTGCGATTGGATGCAGTCATTTGCACATTGCGCCGACCTTGTCCAAAGTTTGACGAAAAGGAGTTGCGATTGATTTAAAGGAGACAAAAAGTTTTGGTATTTATTGTTATGAAGATATTAACAAAGGCACGTAAATAATACTATAGTGTCAGTGTCATTCATTGATAAAGATTTGGTATTCAATGAAATATGTCGGTCAAAATATAAATACACTGTTCGATCTAAATTACAACTTAGCATTTATTTCATTTGTAACCGTACTCCCTGTTAAACTTGGATTTTTTAAATCATGCTCTTATTCAATCGCGTACCGGACGAACTTATTCTTAAGTGTAATACCAGAACCAACGTTTCCCATACTGGAGCAATGTCCATGTAAAGACTGTTCTCCGATTGGTCGATCGTTACTGACACAACACTCTAAGTCTGCGCAGTCGTCACCGGAAGAACATGACTGATTCACAGTTGTTTTTAATATCTCTACAGGCACACAGACACCTAAAATAACCAATAAGCTGTCAGAGCTAATTATCGTATATTTCTTATTTTACGTACCGTATTTTCCCAAACAAACATTTATCAAATAAGAAACAATTGAATAAAATAACTTAGTTTACTATGGCATGCTCAAAACAGAAAATGAGGTTGAAAGTTGACCGTTAAAATGTTATTAGCAATTTGTTAAGAACAAGATAAAACGTGAAAAAACAGAGTTCAAACCCAGTTCTCCTCTATCGATAACATCTATGCCAGTCCCGTTACATACTAAGCCACTTGCACATGGACAGTCATAGTACAGGTCCTTAATTCCTGTTTCTACCTCGTCAACGATGCATCCTTTATTAATAATTAAATATATAGTGCCTTTAACGGGTGAAAAATTAAACGTATTTTGAGCGTATTATACGACATTTAATGTAGATGATGTAAATTATGTGTGCGATACATGAAAAAAACCCACAAAATAAGGCATAAAGTTTACTAAGCAAAAAACAGAATAACAATTAAGTAGATAGAAACACATACTTTGTTTTCATTAAAATGTTGGACAATATGAGTTTTCATACTTTCTCCTTCTGCTCCTATTTTCTCGCAAATACCGTAAACAGGCGGACACCAGTCATACCATCCTGGATGGTCATGCATATGGGTTTGGCTTTGATTAAATATCTCTTCCCTTGTTTTATTGAAACTCCTACAGCATTTCCCTACGTCACAATTGTAATTGGTGTAACAGCCTAAGTGTAAATCGCTTAAAACTATGGCCTGCAATGTATCAAAGAAATACACGTATGCTTTAACTGTCTTTATAATGTTATAAGATATAATTCTAAAGCCTTGAGTATCATTTTAATCTATATTTATAGTAGATTCTATGCTTCCATATACCCGAACAAAATTTGCACAGGCTGATGAAAGTAGTGTTCAGTGAGAAGTAGTGATGGTGTAAGTAGTGTTCAGTTATAGGTATTAACGGTGTAAGTAGTGCTCAGTAAGAAGTATTCACGGTGTTAGTAATGTTCAGTGAGAAGTATTCACGGTGTAAGTAGTGTTCAGTGAGAAGTATTCATGGTGTAAGTAGTGTTCAGTGAGAAGTATTCATGGTGTAAGAAGTGTTCAGTGAGAAGTATTCACGGTGTAAGTAGTGTTCAGTGAGAAGTATTCACGGTGTAAGAAGTGTTCAGTGAGAAGTATTCATGGTGTAAGTAGTGTTCAGTGAGAAGTATTCACGGTGTAAGTAGTGATTAGTGAGAAGTATATAGAGAATATTCAAGTTTTTTGTATTAATACGGGATTTATTTTCATCGAGTGATAAGAAATATGATAATTTTTATATCGCAGGATGAAAATAAGTCATATATTTATAGAAAAAAATCTGTTTATAACATACTAGTACCTTATCAGAAAATATGTTGTACTGCAGTAAAAAATGCACAGTGCACATTTGCCACTAAGAAATTGTCATGGTATGAAGTTTTTAGAGAATTTTATTCATGAGAAATGATTCATGACGTAAACTGTTCATTGTAAAGATGACAAATCTTGGCCGTAAGACCACATACACGCAACAAAGCCGGCGTGTTGGAAGTGATCGTGCGACCACATACACGCAAGAAGGCCGGCGTGTTGGAAGTGGCCGTGCGACCACATACACGCAAGAAGGCCGGCGTGTTGGAAGTGGCCGTGCGACCACATACATGCAAGAAGGCCGGCATGTTGGAAGTGACCGTGCGACCACATACACGCAAGAAGGCAGGCTTGTTGGAACTGGCCGTGCGACCACATACACGCAAGAAGGCCGGCGTGTTGGAAGTGACCATGCGACCACATACACGCAACAAGGCCGGCGTGTTGGAAGTGACCGTGCGACCCGCACACGCAACAAGGCCGGCGTGTTGGAAGTGGCCGTGCGACCACATACACGCAAGAAGGCCGGCGTCTTGGAAGTGACCGTGCGACCACATACACGCAAGAAGGCCGGCGTGTTAGAAGCGACTGTACGACCACATACATGCAAGAAGGTCGGCGTGTCGGAAGTGACCGTGCGACCACATACACGCAAGAAGGCCGGCGTGTTGGAAGTGACCGTGCGACCACATACACGCAAGAAGGCCGACGTGTTGGAAGTGACTGTGCTACCTAATACACGCAAGAAGGCCGGCGTGTTGGTAGTGACCGTGCGACCACATACACGTTAGAAGGCCGGCGTGTTGGAAGTGACCGTGCGACCACATACACGCAAGAAGGCCGACGTGTTGGAAGTGACCGTGCGAGCACATGTATACACGCAACAAAGCCGGCGTGTTGGAAGTGACCGTTCGATCACATACACGCAACAAGGCCGGCGTGTTGAAAGTGACCGTAAGACCACATACACGCAAGAAGGCAGGCGTGTTAGAAGTGACTGTGCGACGACATATGGATTGCATGTATACAATTTCAAAATATTTTTATACAAGAAAATTAGGTAAAGTACTCCATGAATACGATCATCTTTTTTAATTAAAATTTTGACTCTTTCGTGACTATTTCCATTTTATAAGTATAAAGTTCATCTTTTGACCTCAAAAATTCATTGCTAAAAGGCTATGCTTATTATTTTTAGAAATTTATAATAATTGTGATTTTAATCGGACAACTTGACATTTCGTTTAGTCACACTTTCATGCATTTAGGAATGAAAAACAAAACGAAGCTATTAAAGTTTGTGTATCTTTTTTAATATTCAATGGTATTTATAAGCAAAGTTTATTTGTTTCTGTCAACTCATTATCTAAAGTAAAGCTGATATTCTAGAGATTAAATCACACATCTGAAAAAAAAGAAAGAAACAATAACATTTTAGAAAAATATTTATAATCGTATTTGTAGCAATGGAACTGTATGTATATAACTTGACCTGTATAATTCATTTAGAACGACCCATCGCTTCTCTATCCAACTTTAGGCGTGGACGGTAGTTCGCACCTGACAATACCGTCCATGAACATGTGCAGGCTCAATCAAACCGAGCGTGCAACATTTTGGATTTTCTTTAGGGAATTCCTTTTTTCTCTATTTTACTATGATTATTTGATTTATTTATTAAATTATGTAAATTTATAAATTTCCTTGGATACGTTAACTACCTGTGCTGTCAACCGATAATTATGATTTCTTATTTATTACATATACGTGTAATCATACATTAACTTGTAAGTGATAGATATCAAATTGAATGTTGTAGAGAAACTTACTTTCCGATTTCACCGAGGGGTACTTCGTACATTCCAATACCATGGCATGTCAGTCCAGATAAGCACGGGCAAGAGAATACAGTGTCACTTGGTTTTCCAGATCCCATTTTCACAAGACATCCTGAATTGGTACGTTAAATATATCTGATTAATTTTTGTTCATTCTAAATGTGTGAGATTCTTCAATTCCCATTAATAATACCTTTTTTTGCATGAAAATGTTGATGAACTTGTCCTCACGACCTGCAACGGCTTAAGTAGTCAAAGCAATCGCAACTTTCCGGCCCTCTCCGTCAGTCTTCGGATAATGCCGATTCCGTTCCGATTGGTTTTTCGGAACATCTCGGCGGTTACCGATAACCATCTTTACCCTCGCCCGTTACGTCACGCTTTTGCTACTGATCAGGGGAAGTAACCGCTGTGGGGAGTTTGATGAAAGGGACGAAAAGTTGCGAGAGACATATTTGAAGCAGCTCTTAAATGATATTATTGTATTAGTGTATGCTTAAATAATTAAGATTGGATATTCAATGTGGAAAAATATTTATGTCAAAATGTTCGATAGTTTTTTCTTCTATTCTATACATAATTATTTATTCACAATAAAGAACACCTTTGTTTACATGCACAATATAGTCAATATTAATGCCTCTCCAACCCAGGTGAAAATATGGATTATCAAATTCCGGGTCTGGTAATGAACCTATTCTGCTGAAAGAGCAGATGCTAATTCCCCCGCTTACTCACCCAGCCCAGCGTGTTTGACATTACTCTATTTTTGCGCCAGAACAAAAACTGCCGGCAGTTTAGGCAAAAAGGGAAAGTAAACTTTTGGCTCATTTCCCAGGCTACCCCGCACCCATCCGGAGCATGGACCAGATTTGCAACCGACTGGCAAAGGTTGAATGAAAAAATACAACTTTATTACTTTTTGTTATTATACCACCTGTTAAACTAAGATATAAAACATTTTGCACTTACTTGATCGCACGTTTGAATTAAAGCATCGATTTTATATATTGACTATATTTTAAAGATATTTTAATAAAGCATTACCAGAACCAACAGTTCCCATGCTGGAGCAATGTCCATGTAACGAACGTTTTCCGATTGGTCGAACGTTACTGACACAGCATTCTGAGTCTGCGCAGTCGGCACCGGAAGAACATGGCTGATTCAGAGTTGCTTTTGCTATCTTTGCAGACACACAGACGCCTAAAATTAGGTAGAAGCAATAAGTTATTAGCGCCAATAGCCCATAAGTGTATAAAGTATTGATTATCAACGAAAACTATAAATGAATACACATACAGATGAAAAAGAAACAAGAGGATTTCAAAAGTGTGAACTACTTGATAAAAAAACCTCGTACCTCACAATAATGCATTTCTAATTTTAATTGTAGATTTCACTCCTTATAAGAAGCATATATTGTAATAATCTGTAGACTTTGGCACTACTGTCGACTTGCCATGCAACATATTAATACAACAATGTATATCAATAGAACCATTTGTTTCTGGCCAAGATAAAGAGTGTTTCTGTCAAGCTATAGGTAAATTTATCACAGTGTGTAAGACAGGGGTCAAATCTACAGCAAGTATGATTAAGTTCATACCCGATTCTCCCTTGTTGATGACAGTTGTTCCAGTCCCGTTACATACGAAGCCACTTGCACATGGGCAGTCATAGTGTAAGCCAACAGTTCCAGTTTTCAACTCGTCAACGATGCATCCTATGTAAATGAATATATGATCGATATACGGTTAATATTGTTCTTTACAAACCATATATTTTAACATACAAAATGTTGCTATTGTCCATGATAGTTTGTAATAGAGTAGAAAATATAATGGAAAAAAATAATTTTAATTATGTTTAAACATATGTTATCTGGCAATCAGGCTACAGCGTTGGTGTTAGACACTATCCAGTATTTTCTGCATACCAGATATTACCTCAGACTTATGTTGATTCTTTAACAGCTTTCTTTTTTCAGGGTTGCCAAACTTTTACCTCAGTTATTTTTCAACAAACATGGAAATATATGTTTAAAATATAGTCAATATGTGTGTATATAATTACAAACTGTATAAAGTGTAGCGAACTCTTGAAACTTCTTTATCTTTCTATGCCATTTAATGTATTTGTATATTCCATTAGGTATTAAGTTTAAATGTAACATTTAGCAAAAACAGATTTTTCTCGGCCCTTTCCGTCAAAATTCGGATAGATAAAAGCCGAGAAGTTCCGAATGGCAAATTAAATGTCTTAAATGTTTAAGTCGTTACGATAAGTAGCCATACGTTCTCCTTGTGTTCCCATTTTCTGGCAACTACCGTGGGCATATCGCATCAGGTTGTAGTCTATATGATCAAGAACTACCCTCTTTCCCCTTGGTTGATTGAAACTCCTGCAACATTCGCCTACGTCACATTGGTCACTGGTGTCGCAATAGCCTGCCAGAGCACCGTGTCCTAATGCAGGTATCGCCTGTTTTATTACAAAACTATTCATTAAATTTGGAAAAGGAAGCTAACGCTATAGTCTGTAATAGACATGAAAACAGGCCATTCAAGTACCAGATCAAGATCAAAAGGATCAAAATTAAAAACTCAATTATTTTCCATTCATTATCATCATAGGTTAAATATTAAATATTAACTTGATAAGAATTGACACAAAACAGCATGCTTACGAAATTTTAGAATAAATCTATTGTTACTTGATAGGCTATGGGCATTTTACAGCTGAACCAAATATTGATCTTGATCCTAATTTCGATGCTTATTTTGATCCGGTTATTTTTGGACTTGCATTGTTATTCCTCAAATTTATCCCAAATCAGAAGTGTTTCTTTGCAAATCAGTATTTGTTGAACATTTAGTTAATGTGCCATTTAATGTCACAAAAATACGATCACATATCACCTAGATTCACAAAGAAAATGAAACATTTGATCCTGATCCTGATCTCTTCAAAGTGGACACGGGTACTGACATCTTTGTTGATGTTATTCTCGTTTTAAATATTTCATTAAGATTTCACATTAATTGGTTTAATGATTATAATGTGTATTTGAAAGTGACAGACACAAAAGCAAAATATAAACTAAACTTTGTGATTGAAAAACTGTATTTTTTAACAAACCAAAGAAATGACTTACCAACGATACGCCATTCAATCCTAATATAATAAAAATTGACAATACAGTCTTCATTGTTTTTGTTGTCCTGTATCTTACTTTTAGTTTCAGCCTTGTACCTTACCAAATCGTGATCTTATCTCGGCGATAAGGAAATTAATTGCTAGGTCAATGACAATGTAAAGGATTATTTCTACGTGAGATATGTCGAGTACATGTACGTTGTTTGTTACTGTACATTTTTAAATATACTAGTAACATGTTGAAATGTTTGCAGTATTTTCTCCCAATTTTGTTTCAGCTTGTTGGTAGAGATGTCTGTGTCATCGGTTAATAAATCCTAGAAAGTAAATGCAGGGTCTTTGTTATCGATAAATTAGTCCTAAAATTAGAAAGTGGTTGCGAGGTCTATGTCATCGATAAATAAGTTCTAGAATAAGAAAGTAGTTGCGTGATCTGTTTCATCGGTAAATAAGTTCTAGAATAAGAAAGTAGTTGCGGGATCTGTTTCATCGATAAATAAGTTCTAGAATAAGAAAGTGGTTGCGAGGTCTGTGTCATCGATAAATAAGTTATAGAATAAGAAAGTAGTTGCGGGTTCTGTTTCATCGATAAATAATTTCTAGAATAAGAAAGTAGTTGCGGGATCTGTTTCATCGATAAATAAGTTCTAGAATAAGAAAGTAGTTGCGGGTTCTGTTTCATCGATAAATAAGTTCTAGAATAAGAAAGTAGTTGCGGGATCTGTGTCATCGATAAATAAGTTCTAGAATAAGAAAGTGGTTGCGGGTTCTGTTTCATCGATAAATAAGTTCTAGAATAAGGAAGTGGATGCGAGGTCTGTGTCATCTATAAATAAGTCCTAGAATTAGAAAGAGGTTGCAGGGTCTGTGTCATCGATAAATAAGTCCTAGAATTAGAAAGTGGTTGCGAGGTCTGTGTCATCTATAAATAAGTCCTAGAATTAGAAAGAGGTTGCAGGGTCTGTGTCATCGATAAATAAGTCCTAGAATAAGGAAGTGGTTGCGAGGTCTGTGTCATCTATAAATTAGTCCTAGAATAAGGAAGTGGTTGCGAGGTCTGTGCCGTCGATAAATTAGTCCTAGAATAAGAAAGTGGTTGCGAGGTCAGTGCCGTCGATAAATTAGTCCTAGAATTAGAAAGTAGTTGCAGGGTCTGTGCCGTCGATAAATTAGTCCTAGAATTAGAAAGTAGTTGCAGGGTCTGTGCCGTCGATAAATTAGTCCTAGAATAAGGAAGTGGTTGCGAGGTCTGTGTCATCTATAAATTAGTCCTAGAATAAGGAAGTGGTTGCGAGGTCTGTGCAGTCGATAAATTAGTCCTAGAATAAGAAAGTGGTTGCGAGGTCAGTGCCGCCGATAAATTAGTCCTAGAATTAGAAAGTAGTTGCAGGGTCTGTGCCGTCGATAAATTAGTCCTAGAATTAGAAAGTAGTTGCAGGGTCTGTGCCGTCGATAAATTAGTCCTAGAATTAGAAAGTAGTTGCAGGGTCTGTGCCGTCGATAAATTAGTCCTAGAATAAGAAAGTGGTTGCGGGGTATGTGTCATCGATAAATAAGTCCTACAATATGAAAGAGGTTGCAAGGTTTGTGCCGTCGATAAATAAGTCCTAGAATTAGAAAGTGGTTGCGGGGTCTGTGACGTCAAAAAATAAGTCCTAGACTTAGAAAGTGGTTGCGGGATATGTGTCATTGATAAATAAGTCCTAGAGTATAAAAAAGGTTGTAAGGTCTGTGTCGTCGATAAATAAGTCCTAGACTTAGAAAGTGGTTGTTGGGTATGTGTTATATCAATTAATAAGTCCTAGATTATGACAGAGGTTGTAAGGTCTGTCCCGTCGATAAATAGGTCCTAGAATTAGAAAGTGGTTGTTGGGTATGGGTCATCGGTAAATAAATCATAGACTTAGAAAGTGGTTGCGAGGTCTGTGTCATCGATAAATAAGTCCTACTAGTCATTACTAGTCTTATTTTGCTTTTCTTTAAATAATTGATATATATTATATTTATTTATTCATTTTCGATGCAAGTTGTAACACATCAGCCTTCTTAGTCAACAAACGACAATTTAGTTCGCCTTATTTAGCACATATATTTATTGTACATTGGGAAAAGACTTCAATAAGCATTAGGTTGCTTCCAGTCTAATCCTTTTCTTGTTTTGATTGTAAATATCATGTATGTAAATATGCTTATGTGAGGAATAAAATATGTTTAAACCAAATAAGTCCTAGAACTAGAAAGTGGTTGCAGAGTATGAGTCATTGGTCAATAAGTCATAGACTTAGAAAGTGGTTGCGTCGTCTGTGTCATCGATAAATAAGTCTTAGCATTAGAAAGCTGTTGCAGGATCTGTGTCATCAATAATTAAGTTAGTATCTATGTTGTTTTTTGTGGTTGGTTGGTTGGTTTTACGCGAATTTTAATGGTTTACACATTTTGGTCATTTCTCGGTGGTCGAATAACACTATCGGCTTTTCTAACTTACAAGTAACGGAAGTGACTGGCTACTAATCCCACACGATTTCTGAATCAGACAGGAATGGCCTTGTTTTCGAGACCAATTTTATATTTCGCATCGCCTGATGATCGAACCAACGATCTATGGTCTCCCTCTTGAGCTTAGCGGGCGGACTTATAGCTAGGGTAAGGACGGGTAAGATTAACTTTTATTAACAGACGCTTTATTGTTATACGCTTTATTGTTAAGCTTATTTTAAAGATAAGGTAAGATCATGGAAAGTCAGGCAATACAAAATAAGGCAAGGCGTAGCGAGGCCAGTAAAAGTAAGTTAGTAAGAAAGTTGAAATTATTATTAAGACCAGAAAATGTTTTAGAAAATACTTTTTAGTAGATTTATAGTAGATCCATTGAATTTTAGATGCTTAATTCAAGCCAGATTCTAGTAAAATGCAATATTTACATTTGACTGAAAGTCAAATTAAGGAATGCTCATTAAAGAGGAATCCTCTGTTCATATGAATAAAATATTAGCCGCGTCATGACAAAACCAACATAATGGGTTTGCGACCAGCATGGATCCAGACCAGCCTGCGCCTCCGCGCAGTCTGATCAGGATCCATGCTGTTCGCTATCAGTTTCTCTACTTGTTATAGAGTTTGTAAGCGAACAGCATGGATCCTGATCAGACTGCGCGGATGCGCAGGCTGGTCTGGACCCAAGCTGGTCGCAAACGCACTATGTTGGTTTTATCATAACGCGGCTCATATATTTTTTAATTGTTATTTGACTCTGTAACGTATTTTATGTAAAACATCAATTGCAAAGATTTTAAGCATGCCATATAGTAGTGTTTAAGCGGTTGTAAGCTTAAATATTCGAGACTATGTAATCGTAAGAAATATGTCCTGTTTAGCTGGTGCTAGGGGCGTGGACGGTAGTTTGCACTTGACAGTACCGTCCATGAACAGACTCAATCAAACCGAGCCTGCAATATTTTCAATTTTGTTGTTCTGGGCTTTCTTTAGGGATTCTTATTTTCTCTATTTTGTTACAGAATATGATTAATATTAAAATCCTGATGGTATTATAGTAAATCCTGATGGTATTATAGTATGAACTTAGACTGAATTGGTTAGCAAGGTTTATGAAAAAAAGCCATGAAAGCAAACAATAGTTTTAGCCAATACTGTACACATTTTAGTAAAATATATTGGACAAGTAATTTGTTTATATACTTTAGTACTTTAATTTTTACTGCACTAATGAGTAGTCAATATTGGAATAAAAATAAACCCCCAGGAAATTATCTCAAATATTTATTTGAATAAATTTCTTGTCACAAACTAAAAACAATTTTTTTTTTTAATTTTCTTGTACATTCGGGAGAAACCTATCTCATTTACTCGTGTTCTGTCTGTTTTCAAGAATATTTATAATAAGAAAACAAAAAAGGACTGCATAAAGCATATCTTTTGAAGAAATAAGAACGAAATATTGACTTTTTTATTTCACATGTTTTATACACATATAAAATGCGAAATACATAGAAATCTTGAACATCAATGGTTAGAAAAACTATAATATTAATGCTCAAGCAAACAACAGCTTGCCCCTGACAGGGTTTTTCTTCTTTCGCGTTTTTATGTTGATTTCCTCTAAACAAACGGCACTGTGACGTCGACGTTAATTTTTTTTTCAAATACGGGAAAAGACACTAAAAAGATGCAAAAATGTGGAATAGCTGTTTTGGTAGATTCTTATCAATTACAGCTCTTTATTGTTTTAGTTTTAGGCAATAGCTAAAAAAGATGTTGATATTTTCTTTTTGTATATTCTGTGTAGAAGAAAGATTTACGATGTAAATGAAATATTAATAGTTGTATATTTTGTTAAAATATTCACAGAGATTTTAAATCCAAGATAGGTTCATATGTCTAATTTTGTCTGCAAAACATAATCTTAGGTTCATATGTCTAATTTTGTCTGCAAAACATTATCTGAAGCTTTGTTTTTCACAAATTATATAAGTTACAAGACTACACGCTGCTAGTTCTTAAAGTATTATTTTCGGAATAATCTTTTTAATGTGAATCACCCTCGGAGTGTAATGTTTCGCAAAAATGTCAAACCAAAATTTTGAAGTGAATGCGTACTTCCGTTTAGCTCTCAGTTCTCTTCGACTTTCAAATTCTGCGCATGCGCGCTTTGTTAGATATGGTTGCAATGAATCTCTCTCGGAGCATTCCTTCAATGTTCCTTTCTTGTTAAGTAGCTGGGGATTTATAGAGTCTGTGAAATATTGCGTGTTAGGAACATAAACAGCGTCTTCGTCGTCCTCTTCCCGGTCACCTTTATAGAAATAAGGCGAGTTCGATTTGGCGTTTATGTGTTTCTTGCGCATGTCTGTTCCGTTGAGATTGTTATATTCTATGTAGATTCGCGTAATGTGTCCATCGCCACTGGCATCAAAGGCTTTTAAATCACCGTCAACAATTTCCATTCGCTTTAGTAAAAGTTTAAAGAAAGGGTGTTTTGGTCTACACAGCATTACAGAAGTGCTTAGAATTAAATCAAAATTGTAGAGAACGGAACTGTGTTCAAATGGTATTGGTGGAATTATGCAACCGTACTTTTTAGTGGCAATGTCTAAAGACCGTAAGTTGTCAACATCAAGATCCGCTGTGACTCCACCGTATTCGTACAAAGCCACGTGTCGTATCATATTCGATCTTTTTTCGTCGTTGTCGGGACTACCAGTCCAGCTGTCAAAGCTTAGCAGCAATTCCGGATGTGTCTTTTCTATGAGCTTTCGTCCGGAATCAAACGTATAAAATCTGAATTCCCATTCTGGGTTATTTATGTAGAATGACCTCGGATAATGAGCAAACCCGTATGGTATGGTGGCGTTTCTAAACACCACGTGAATTATGTGTGGTATTTTAGTACTGCTAAAAATATCGGTTGGGAACTCAACTTCTGTGTTAGGCTGGTACACAAGATGTTTATCGACAGTGTTAGCAAGTGGCTTTGGTTCTGAATTCTCGTCTGCATCCATCCTAGGATGCATTTCTTTCTCAAACTCGTCATCTGGAAATATAGGAGTGAAATTATGTGATAACAGAATATTCGAATGTAAAATATTTGATGATAATTAGTTGAAACAGAGTGGTAGTTATTATTTTATTTAAAAAACGGTTTGGTTAAAATGTAAAATAATTTAATAATCGCATGGTGTAAAAAATGCTGATAAAGAATCAGCCCTCCTTGATTTGATAATTGTTTAGTGTAAAAGCAAGAACGATAATTGCTGCCCTCAATGATTTGAATATGTAATGTTTGTTGTAAAAGAGTAACAAAAACTATCCTCATTGATTTTGTAGTCGTACCGTATAAAAGAATAATCAACAAGAGCTGGCCGTAGGACAGCGTGCTCAATATTTTCAGTACTTGATGGTAAAACAAGAGCCTTGATAATGAAGAATTTTCTGTGTTCAAAAAGAGCAAAAAATTCTGTCAAAATCCCATGTTCGAGTTATGGGCCTTGGACATTGACCTATTTTGCTATCAAATAAATGCGTGAGGTTTCAATTCATTCCCTTTAGCGGTCTTTAAAATACCAACTTGCACGCAAAAAATCGAAGTGTGACGCTGACGCGGCACCTGGGTGATATAAAACCCTTTCTATTCTAAGACATTGACACACGGTTTATCAAAGCCATAGTTAAGGTCCTAGAAGATATAATTCAACTAATTTTCTTTCCTAGTTCTCGGAACTCGATGTTTAAATTGCGTCTCGCATGAAATTAAAGTTAAAGAAAGATACAGACTACTTTTTGTACCCTAAATTATTTCCTCTTATGTACATCAACAGATAACTTCTTTAAACAGTTATTTCACATCTTTGCTTTAAAGCTGCATGCATTCAGATGAGCCATAATATTTTAAGAAATTAATCTTAAAAAAATGTAATAAGATTTTAAGAAAAGTAAATAGTTTTAAGGTTCTTGTAATAATTAACATGTTATGTACGATTAATGACTGATTTTGCAGCGTTTATCACCATATTTCTACTGCGTTACTAACGCAGTAATGACTATTTTAGCTCATTTTGACCTCTTTTTGTAATTTACTTGGATTGCAAGTGCTGTTTGCAATGTGTAAATTATTTTTTTTTGTTCACTTCACAATATCTAACTTTTAAACACATTTTTAAAATGTTCATGAAAATAAGCATGAATCTGCAGGGAGGCAAGCTGCTTTAAATAATCTTTAATGGAACATTCTGTTGAATTTATAAGTACTATAAATAGCATACTCACCAATGTTTTCCATCAACTCTTCTATCTTGAAATATTGGTATACATAATAAATACACAAACAACTTATCAGGCAAAATAAAATCACGTTCTGAGTTGCGACTCTTCGTATATTCATATTTGATTTATTTTTTGAAACAACAAATGGAATCGGATACATAAATATTTGGAAAAAATATATATATCAAAATGACGTTTTTATATAGTTTCCTTTCTAAAAATGTTTTACGTTAAATTACATTTCCAATTTAAGTAAATTAAGTAATTGATATTGAATATAAAAAAGCTAGCGATATCATACATGTACAAAACCGCAGCTACGAAATTTATTATTTCATTTCCGTAAATCTGTCAAACCATTCGTTTTCATTAACTTTAAACAGATAAATTTTATTGAATCTAATAAAATAAAAGAAAAAAATAAGTGGCAATTAAAAAAGCGTATCTCTACATATACATGTACATATTTTACCTTTATTTCTTAAGTGTGCCGTACAGGAAAATGAGAGAGCTCATTCAAATGTTTCGAATATGAAATATTTCATAAATTTGAAACCTCCTTAAATTATACGCCTTTTAATGTGATCGTGTACATAATACACAAGTACATGTAATTAAGACTGCATTAAAAGGTATATAAATCAAATCTTTACAATTTAATTACACGTGTACAAACAGCACACAACTTTTTATAATATATGTGTACTTGTAGATATGGTGTACAAACACAATTTGCATCAAGTACATTCTCAATAAACAAAATAAATTATATGTTATATAATTATAAATCGTGTATTTTTTTTTTAATTTGCAATTTAACCTCAACGTCAACATCGCATAGCCATTGGCCATGTTTTCTGTTCTATAATTCTGTCTTACCCTAGATAACCATGAAGTATCATGTTTCACGTGAATCCTGGGTGGCTCAGATTAATGCACTTGTGTTGCCATCTGCTGGCGTAACTCGCCTTATTTTAATGTCCACTGGCTTATGAACATTATCAAAATTATGGATTTCTTTTTGATTTTTTAAAATCTTTTTTGCAAAGCGTTATCAATCTACATATATTTTCTTCTGTTAAGTTTTCGTCACAGTTTTATCTTAAATTGTTATTTTTCTCAACAATATTTTAAATGATTCTGGAAATGTGCCCAGACCAATCCACTTTTACCATTAACCCCTAAAGGCTGAAAGTGATTGCCCGTTTCTACTTGTATCGAGTCACACCAGCTTACACATCTATGCAGTCTGACCAGTCTGGCCTATTTGTAGCTTATTTTTTGTACATTATGTTGGTACTTTGATTTTGAAACCCTTAAACTTTAAACGAACTGATCCAAATTCAAAGCACGGCTAATCTATAAGAAAAATTCAGCAAGAGAAGGGTTAAAACAAAGATTTGCTTGAAAATAAACAGTGGACGCTCACCAACCAGACAAGCTCTGTAAATATAAAATTATATAAAATAAAATATAATAATTTGAAATAACGGTTACTTCATGCGATGGTGACATTGAGAATTTGCATAAAAATGAGTAAATCAAACAACAAGATATTAAGCACCCATATACTCACGACAAAAATAATGAAGTTGTATAAGAGACGAGCTTCACTTTGTAACCGCTTGTAATGCTTTTACTAGTCAACGCAGCATTTTATATAATGAAATGAAAGACAGGAATTTGAACTTTGAAGAAAATGTCTGAGATAACCAAATTCATTTGGTTATTGAGCAATGAAGATGAAATGATCGTAAAACAATTTGCAGATTTTGTTCTTACTCAGACACTTAGAAACTTATTTTAAAATTAAACTGAGAAATAATACCAAAAAATGTAAATTAATGTAACTCGGTATTTAAGAGACATGTGTATTGTACAATGTAAGTCTCCTTGAATTTAAATTGCTACCACCTACTGTATATTTTGGTTAGTTAAGTTGCAGAATGTTTCTCTATAGTAGAGCTAGTTTACAGGCATACTCTTTATCTTTTTGTAAAGACTTGAATGTAATTTAAAAGAATACTTAAAATAAGATACAACAATACAGTTATTGTGTATTTAAGTATCATTATTTGTTTAATATTTAAGTCTAGTTAGCAAAACTCCGTTAATTATTTTTCCAGTTCATTGTTATTGCTTATATTACGGATCAAGTTTTATTTGATCTTTGATTTCATTATAATTGTGATTTATATGTCATTAAACAGAACCCTTGATTGGAAATAAAAGTTAATCTATCTATTCTATTCTCATAGACCTAGAAATAAAGTGTAACAATTGATTAATTATTTAATTAAGCACTTTACTGTAAGATTTCAAGATTTATTGAAATAAACAGACAAGCCACACAAACACGAACAATCAGTAATTAATTTTTGTTGCATACGTTTCGGCTATATGCCCTTTTTTAAGATTTATTGAACACTGTCATTGTTCATAAGAACATATGACATAAAATACCAAATTGTGAACATGTAACAACCGGGACACAGACAGAAAAATATACATATATAGAAACAGGAGAATGAGTGACAATTATATTGTACCCGTAAAATAAAATAAAGATATGACTAGATTCTTAATGATAGCCGAAATTTATGCTTCATTTACAAAATTCTAGGAGAGACTAATGATACAATATTATACTTATTATTTGCATGTTGTAATTATTTCTTAACAAAAGCAAGTTTTTTAATGTGATTTGTTTTTCTATACATAAGATCTTCAAATTTCAATGCATTAGGATACCTATAATAATACGGTTTATTAAATTTACGTCTACTATTAACAAAATGTGAACAATAAAAGAGATAGTGAAATTCGTCACAAAGTTGGTTTGACTCACATAGAGTAAAATATACATAAGTTTCTCTCTATATTTAGGAATCTACCTTTCTCTTCTGGCATTTTATGATTCGTACATTTAAATTTTAACAGAGCTGAAGACAGTTGCCAAGGCAGTATGAATATATTAAAATAATCTTCGAATACAAACTCTGCTTTATATAAAGGGTAGTTTAAACATTTGCTTTAATATGCGACATCACTGTTCGAACTTTGAATGAACTAATCTCGGAGTTTGTACATAAGAAATATTTTGAAATCAATCGTACTAAGTACAGATTGACTTAACCAAATTTGATGATTTCAAGATTTCAAGTTTTTATTCAATACTGTCATGGTTTATAAGAACATGTGACATAAAATAAAAAAATTGGGAACATGTAACAAGCCGGACACAGAAAAAATATACATAAAAATATACATAAAACAGGAGAATGAGTGACAATTGAATTGTACCCATAAAAATAAAATAAAGATATGACTAGATTCTCAACAATAACCGAAATTTATGATTCAGTAACAAATTTGTAGGAGACTAATGAAACAACATTATACTTATTATTTGCTTGTTGTACTTATTTCTTTACAAAATAAAGCAAGGTTTTTTTTAAATGTGACTTGTTTTTACTATTCATAATATCTTCAAATTTCAATGCATTAAGATACCTATAATAATACTGTTTAATAAATTTACGTTTACTAAATTACTATTTACAAAATGTGAACAATAAAAAAGATAGTGAAATTCGTCACCCAGTTGGTTTGACTCCAGAAGTACATATACGTAAATTCTCTCTACGTACTGTATATTTAGGAATTTCCTTTCTCAGTTGGCATTTTATGATTCATGCATCTAAATTTTAACAAGCCTGAAGACAGTTTCCAATGAAGTATGTTAAAATTAATCTTCGAATAAAAACTCTGGTTTATATAAACGGTAGTTTAAACATTTGCTTTAATATTGGACATGGGTTTGCCTAAAATACGAAAGTGAGATTTTTGACGAAAGTGAGCGAAAGTGAGCGAAAGTGACTTTTAAAATATTAATTGTAACCTTTTAATAGACTTTTACAGTAAAATTGCAGTTTGTAGACGTATATTATTAGAAATTTCTTATATTTATTATAAAAAATAATCATAATGATGATTTATTCGGTTTTTATTTGCATAATTTATATACACAAATTCTTATATCTTCCTTTCGCTTACTTTGAAAAATACGAAAGTGACTTATAAAATATACTGTTAAATTGAAATTATTTTTTACTAATATTGCACAAAGTGGACGTATAATATCAGAAAATGATAATATTTACTTTCAAAGATAATCATTATGATGATTTAATCGCCATTTATTTTACATAATCTCTATACACATGTTATATACAGTTAACAGAGATCTTCCTTTCGCTCGCATTGAAAAATACGAAAGTGGCTTACAAAATATCAAATATACTGTTTAAATTGAATTTATTACTAAAATTGCAATTAAAAATTTGTAGACGTATAATATCAGAAGTCAATTATATTTATTTTTGAAAATAATCATTATGATGATTTAACCGCCCTTTATTTGCATTACCAAGTTAAAAGATCTTCCTTTCCCTCACATTGAAAAATACGAAAGTGACTTCAAAAATTCAAATATAGCGCTGAAAGACGCATGTTTTCAGAAATGAATAAAATATATTTAAAAAAAATCATTATAATGATTTAATATCCATGTATTTTCATAATTGCTGTATACCTGTTCTGATATCTTAATCTTATCTGAAAGTCAATGTCAATATTCACGATATAAATGTTTTTTATAATAAAAAAATAAATGAGTCATTTTCATTATTATTCATGTTTTCATGGTAATTGACCTATAACTGATGATGAAAATGACTAGCACAAAATATAAAAAAAAAATCCTAACTTATAAAAAGATTGAAATTTACCAATATATATAATACGATATTTATAGAAATTTCCGTGGATTACTTATTTCCTTTTTTCATAGTGAAATATTATTTTAACAATGATGGGAAATTCCAAATTATTTTTAAAATTAACATGTACATTGCTCATCTACACCTGGATGAGCATAATAACTGCCACTTTAATCCGTGCAAGATATCAATGGTGGTGCAGAAGAAAGGTTAATTCAATTGTCCACTCAATAAACAACCGGGCAAGTGTCATCAGTTACATATCTATGATTGGATTATAATAATACTTTAGTGGGATTAAGGCGTCATGCGGTCACCGTCATGATTACTATCAATTAAAGTGGATGCGAAAATGATATGACAACACGTGTTTGCACGTAGACGTATTCATACTTTATTTTGTCTTATTCGTATACATGCATTTTTAAACATATATACAACTATTCACATAAAACCTACATAAGACCATTCCATTTAAGAATTTCAAGAGACATTATAATAATGAGAAACACATTCAAGACCTATTAGTGTTAGATTAGAATCAAACAGTATAATTACAATATAATATATAAACAGAATATTAAATGTTAGGTAACACCATCGTTAATCAAAAATTAAAAACTGCCCGAAAAAGACGATGTAAGAAATTGAGAACTGTACTTAAATCAGGGCCCTAACGCATAAATTGTATAATTCATGTTTTTGCCAATTATAGTTTACATGATACATTTAATTTTTCATCTTATCATATTAAGTTTTATAAAAATGATAGTTACTATAGCTTATAACATACGTCTACAAACTGCAATATTATCATGAAATTCTATTTCAACGCTATATTTGATATTCTGTAAGTCACTTTCGTCAGGCTCACAGTAAGCGAAAGGAAGATCAATGTCTGATCTTGTGTATAAATATTATGCTAATAAATGAAGATCAAATCATATTGATTAAAGATACTAGTTTTGATAATATACGTCTACAAACTGCATTATTAATATTAAATGCAATTTAAACACTATATTTGATATTTTTAAAATCAATTTCGCTTCCTCTCCCTAACATTGAAAATACGAAAGTGAGCAAAAGTAAGATCTCTAAAATTGCTATATAGAAATAATGAAAATGCATGAATATTAAAACCTCATAATGATTTTTAAGTATTTTTTATTCATTTCTGAAACTATGCGTCTACAAACTGTTATATTAATATAAATTCAAAATAAACGGTATATTGAATGTTTTATAAGTCACTTTCGTATTTTTCAATGTGAGCGAAAGGAAGATCTATGTATAGTTGTGCAAATAAATAGCGATTAAATCATCATATATAATGATTATTTTTGAAAATGAATATTATCAATTTTTGATAATATACGTCACTTTAGTATTTTTCAATGTGAGCGAAAGGAAGATTTCTGAACTTGTGTACAAAAATAATGCAAATAAATAGCGATTAAATCATCATAATGATTATTTTAAAAAATAAGTATCATCAAGTTCTGATAATATACGTCTACAAATTGTAATTTTAGTAAAAATTTCAATTAAAACAGAATTTTATAATATTTTATAAGTCACTTTCGTATTTTTCAATGTGAGCGAAAGGAAGATATAAGAACTTGTGTATAGAAATTATGCAAATTAGTAGCGATTAAATCATCATTATGATTATTTCTGTTAATAAATATAATTATTTTCTAATAATATACGTCTACAAACTGCAAGTTTGTTTTAAAAGTCTATTGAAATGTTATAATTACTATTTTAAAAGTCACTTTCGCTCACTTTCGCTCACTTTCGTCAAAAATCTCACTTTCGTATTTTAGGCATACCGTATTGGACATCACTGGTCCAGCTTTGAATGAACTGATCTCGAAGGCTGGACTTAACAAGACTTTTGAAAATAAACGGACTAGGAACAGATTCACTTAACCAATTATTTGAAAACCAAGTTCGTCTAAAGTATGCTTAACAAAAGTAAACCACGGCAATTCAGTTTTATATCTAACATATACGTGACACTTCAATGTTTCTTTCTCTCTTTTTTTTTTTCTCACTTTTCTGTGTTTAATGCTCTTTGGATTTCATTAATAATCGCGCGAGACTTCGCGAGAAGTCAACAAGAAGCAATTTTACTTAAATAATTAAGTATAACATCAAAATGCCTGAACGTAAGTAAATAAAAATTTGCAGAAACAATAGGAAATAAATCTTAATTTTTTGTCAACAATTTTTGCAAAATACTCAACAAGTGAAAAAAATTAATTAATTTTTATATTTTCGGATACAACAAAAATTCGGACAAAAGACGATCTCTTATAATTTTCTTTATACAAATGTACATAATACAGAAAAAAACAAAATAGTTGCCTCATTATCTTTATGAATCATTTAGCTATTTAATTTATGAATCAGATTCAATGTTTGTCCAAGTCTAAATTGAGACTCACTTGGCACATTTGAAAAAAAAAATGAAAACAAAATATCTTCAATAACTTATAGTCTACTGGAACTGTTATCAGGATACAATCTTTGACAAAACTACTACTACTGTTTTTTTTATGCGTTTATTTAAGGTCGCCGCCGGAAAGCCCATATGGGCGACCGTACACTCAAGTCGGGCCATCCTAGAGCGTCCCGCCGAGATTTTTTTCGTCGATTTTTTTCCAGCTTTATTGGTGGAGGAAGACCCCAGGTGCCCCTCTGAGCATTATTTCAGGCACGAGCGGGCACCTGGGTAGAACCACCAACCTTCCGTAAGCCAGCTGGATGGCTTCCTCACATGAAAGATTTCGACCCGAGTGAGGATCGAACCTACAGTGGTGAGGGACCTGTGATCTCAAGTCAGCGACCTTAACCACTGAATACTACTGTTGAGTACCCGAATACTATATTTACCCTACACAGTCAGGGCTCGCGCTGGCAGGAGCCAATGAGCAAATTGGCTCCAAAATTATTAAATTGGCTCAAGAAAATCATGATTGGCTCCAACTTACAAAAAGTATAACTTTTGGAATATCCAGTCTAAATTTAGCATTTGCTATTTTAAGAATGGAAAAGTACACATTTGGTTTTCCATTTACAACTTCCGCTTTACCGCTTCTTATCACCAAACACTGCAACACAGTCTCCTTTTTGTGGGGTCATTGACTGGTCTATGTTTGTTACTTCCCTTCCAAATAAAATATCGTTATAAACAGTAACACAGTCTAATACACTGACCTCATGGTATGTTTACATGTTTATCAGCTGATAAATATGACACTAATTGGTGTGAATTGTTGAATGTGCACTGGATAATTGGTCTTTATATCTATGAAACAATAACTAGCGGCATCTTAAGATTATCGCCAATCATATCAACAGTTTGGTTATGAAATGGACGACTTTACGGTAAGTTTGCATTCATATAATTTTATTGTTGTTGATAAAAAGATCAAAGGAATTATGAGTTATAGAATAGAAGTTTTTTTTTTTTAAATTGCAAATTAAATCTGACCTAATAATGGCTCCAAAAAAGCATAAATTTGACAAGGAGTATATTTGACAATTAGTATTCCTGAAAAAAAAATTGACCTTACTTTGTACATAACCTCTATCTGGAGCATTTACAAATGGCATACATGTCTGTGAAATGTTTATGGAAAATAGCATACAACATGTTTTAGGAAGCTTATGCTAATTACTTTACTCTTATAATGAATAGTTGGCATTTTTTTTCCTGAATTATGTTTAGTTTAGAACTTTTCAATATTCTTTTCTTCATTAATAATTATTCTTCTTACTCTCAAATGTTTCTGTTTTTATAATTTCAGATACAGATAGTCCTCAAACCAAATCTTTGGCATTAACCAAGCAAGCTGAAGCAGCACATTGGAATGTGGTTCTGATGTCACTGTCATGCCACTAACTTAGATTTTATGAAAACATTGCTGACCAAATTAGCCTGGAAAATGTTATTCTTATAGCTACTGAGCTGCAAGCTTTTATGATCAGTTTTAAAGTGATTAAAATGTAGCTACCAAAATAAAGTTGGATATACATGTAGTTTGTTTTTTTTTAAAATATCTCATGCCTTTTAAAGGTGTTCCATATATGAACTAATGCTATAAATAAGTCTGACAATTGAATTCTGGTTATGTTGCAGTACCATTGCCTTCATGAAAATAAAATACAGGCACGCAATTTTCGCCGCGAAAAATTGGCTCAAAGAAAAAATCTGCCAGTGCTAGCCCTGACAGTGTTACAGTTGAGTACCCGAATACTATATATACCCTACACAGTGTTACAGTGTTTTTATCTGCAATGACTGTGCAATTAGTTCAGTAGAAAGAGCATTATTCCATTAATCTTGAGCGTCTGTGGCCGAGAAAATAATCTGACTTCAGAAAATTGCCTCTCACCACTGAAGGTTTGAGCAGCACAAACCTCTTCAGATTCTTTCATATGAGACAGCTAGCTAGATTATGGATTCTGCAGGTCATCCGTGATTGGTCATGAAATCCTTTCTATGGTCATTCCCACTGTACCTTTGCTGTGGCAAGTTATTGATGCCTTGCAAAAATAATGACAACTTGTTCTAGTAAACTGCTTGACAGTCTGTCCAGGAGTGATGCAGTGCCTGAACTATGCTTTGGTGAATTCATGTGTATTTACAGAGGTCTTTTATATTTGGTAGGAACATTAATTGAGAAATCTTCTACCTTTGGATGGAGTTGGAGGTCAGTTAGGTCAAGCTCTCTGGAGTTTTATAGAAAAGGTTACTCATTGCTACTAAGTAATTTGAACGTAAACCCTATTGAAAGATATGAATTTTAGCCCAATGCAATTTGTACATGTGCATGTTTATTACAGGACCAGAGTTTGAGAGGATGGAGAGTTTCTCCAATCCAATTGCACCACCAGAGGAGATGGATGATGAAATGGAAGGAGAGGATCAGTAAGTTATTCTCATTTGTTTAGTTTTAACATTAAACAATTTACTGATCAATAGCCTTTACTTTCAAGTATCATTGGGTTAATCTCGTTCGGTTGTTCATATTTCTTATATTTTCTTGTAGTTAATCTACAATGTCTGTTGTTTGATTTATAATTAAAGATAAATGCGAGATTATCTAGTGTACATACATGCAATGCCATATCAGTTTCGTTTACATCTTTACATTGACATAACATTTTGTTTTGTGCTGGATTGCAATCAGACTTAGCAGTAGTATTTGAATAAAAACAAAAGTAGCAAAATGTTTGTGACAACCAGTAACACAGCCACAGTTTATGATAAATATGAACTTTTGATAAATTTGTATTACAGTCAGCCACTCAGCAATGCAGACTTCAGGAAGATGTTGATGACTCCCAGAGCACCAAAGTCGGGTGAATCTCATTCAAAACCAATGCCAAGCAGTTTAAGGTAGGTTGATAATTTACCCCTAACAGGGCTTCCATTATGTTCCAAAATATGGAAGTCAAAGACTGCAAAATGTCTGACAATTGAATTCACATGATATAGCCTTTTTTATAAGTAAAGAAGAAAAACCATTACACTTTGGAAGTCACCAGCCAAAATCACAGAGTAAATGACTGGCAGACTTTCACAGAAGAAAGCCCTGCCTTAATACGGTCCAGGATTTTTAAGCTGAATATTTGTAAAATGACTTGTTCTGTGTGAATGTAGAATTGTTCAATTACGAAATTTATTATAATTATGCTGCAGTTTATAATACAGTGTATATATAATATAAAGTTCAAGTTTTAAGTGCTTGTGTATACATACATGTATAGTTTAAAGTGAAAATATGCTCATTATCAGCTGCTCATATTCATTTTTGCTGATTATTTTGCAGTTTTTATTATAAACTTGTTACAAACATGTATGACTTGATATATGTAAATGTTTGTTCATTACATAACCAAATCTGTACTAAGCCAGATTACCTGCCAAAAGTATTTCTAACTTTTATTATTCATTAATTAATAATATCATTGTTATCTTGCAGAAAGAACAGTGATGCTAATATTGAAGAAGGGGATGATCCAGCAGAAAGAAGAAGGAAAAAGAAAATGTGAGTGACCAGTTCTTTACATGTAAATGTATATGATATACAAACACAATCGGTATTATTGATATTATTGGCATAAATGCATACATAAGCAATTACAGATGATAATATGAATATTTAAAGTGTTCATACTAACACGCCTATATAATTTGGACAAAAGCATATAGTTAAACAAAAATATTAAGTATTAAAAGGATTTTAACTATGATTATTTTCATGATTTCTATCACAGTTATTACGCAAAGCTTAAAAGACTCGAGGAAGAGAGACAGAAAGAGCTTGCCGAGAAATATCGTGATCGTGCTCGCGAGAGACGTGATGGTAACGATGATCAGGGAGATACCATCAGTACCACGGCAGATTACAGGGCCGTGGCTCCAGATGCCAAGTCTGTGGAGAATCTTGCTGAACGTAGGAAACAGGTGATTCAGGAGTCGAAATATCTCGGTGGTGATATGGAGCATACTCATTTAGTGAAAGGTATGAAACATGTGCAGGATCATTGTTTTTTATATATTAACATTTATTTAAAAAATTTATTTTATTATATTTAGTCAGTATTCTGTTAAGCTGAAAATTGGTCAAACACTGGCAATTAAATTAATGGATGTGACTCTTAACACTAATGATGGCCAGAAAGTTTGAGTTTAACAGTCAGCTGGCATGAACATGTACTTTGCAATTGAATCACAATTATTCTTCTGTCATTACACATTGACTAGAATACATAATTTATTTGACTGTTTGCTCCAAAAAGTAAAATTTGTATGAACTTGCCATGTTTTTCAAGTAAATGTAGTTAATAAAAAATTATTGAAATATAATTCACAAGTTGGCTTACTGTAATTGATGGGTGAAAATCTAACTTATTTTAATATACTGTGTAAGTGGTTAAATTAGCGATGCAGAAATATTGATGAATTTCGCCAGAAAATTGCCAGGTATCACTTAAATTTCCTCTTTTGTTAATATCGACCATCCTTTCATTAAATCTACCCATCCAAGATTCGCTAATATTTCCTCATGCGAAATGCCTGGAATTTTAAATTTGCTAACTTTTTGACATGTGGAAATATCCACTTATACAGTCACTTCCCAATGTTAGATGCAAATCAATCAGATGTTTTTGTTTTAATAAAATCTTTATTATTTCTTAAGAACTTTAAATTTAGTGACAAAATGATTCCATATTTAAGGTCTGGACTATGCGTTGTTGGAGAAAGTGCGGGCAGAAATCTCAAGTAAAGAGCTTCAGGAAGAGCAGGAGATGGAGAAAGCTGTCAGTCAAGATACCAAAGAGAAAAAAGAAGAGGAGCCCGAAGAACATATTCAGGTGAGATACATATCTTAGTACTTTTAAATAAACTAATACACACTAATTCTGCTTTTGCAGAAGATTGGTGGTTCTACTCTGACTCACCCTTAATGCTGAAGCACTGGACTAGCATTTACCCCCTTTATCTAACTCATATCTAAAAATTGGACACCATTCCTTCCAATTAGAAATAGACAGTAGTTTTCCTAAATTTAGACTTTTAGATTTAAACAAATAAACCATATAAAATTACGCTGTAATGAATGGCATTGTTCTGCTGAACTACCATGTTTATCAGTCATGACAAGCTGGGACCACCCTCAAAGTACAAAAAAGCACTAAGGACGCAATATAGGAATGGGTTCTAGCCCTGCATGTAAAGTTGCAAATGACCTTGGCTATGTTGTGTTGTTTTAAAACCAGAAAAAAATACACCATATGAAAAAAGTACCACATGGCCAAAAGTGTGATACCTTTTCTGACAAATGAACATTTTAAAAAAATTTAAAACCGGAAAATGTGAAGCTGCCTTGACAGCAAACAAGTATGACAAAAAATTCTCTTAAACTGGTGTATGTTCAAAAAAGAAAAAGAAAGAAAAAAAGAATCAAAGGTAACTCATATGCTTATTCAAGTTATTGATTTACTCTCTAGTTCAGTTATGATACACACAGCCTTATGCAATCAGAATAGACAATTTGGTAATCAGTCTATAGGAATATATGTCCAGTAATTACATTTACTTAATTCAGTCTTGAACTATGTTCACACAATTGTAATCTTCAATTCTTGGTTTTTCAGTTTAAAACAAAGATGGGACGAAATATCTACAAAACTCTGTTTAAATCAAAGGACACAGGGCGTAATGACCTATTTATTCAAGGTAGAATGGCATACGTTGTCGACCTAGAAGATGAATTTGCCGACTCCGACGTTCCAACGACCACAATCAGAAGTAAAGCTGATTGTCCAAGTTTAGAGGTAAGATTATAACCTGGGAAGTTTGATTTTGTGGATTAATTGAAGTAAATCAGAAACAAGTAAGGTCAGATGGCTTAATCTGAGAAAGAAGACTAAAATGATTATGTTCTCTTTTTTTCTTTTTTTTTTCTTTTTTGTTGTTGCTTATAACCAAATTGGTATCAGCTATCTTCTGGAATGAGGGTGGTTCTACTTAGGTGCTCGTCCATGTCTATTATAATGCATGGAGAGGCACCTGAGGTCTTCCACCAATAGAGCTGGAAAGTCGACATATGACCTTTCAGTGTTAGCGCGATGTTAAACCCTTTGAAAGAAATTCGTTGAGTGACAATTTATTACCAATTAAAAAAAGTCACAACTTTAAAGGCTGTTTCAAAAGATAATCATTGATTACAGTGATGTGAAATGAGCCGCGTCACGACAAAACCAACATAATGGGCTTGGGACCAGCATGGATCCAGACCAGCCTGCGCATCCGCGCAGTCTGATCAGGATCCATGCTATTCGCTGTCAGTTTCTCTACTTGTTATAGGGTTTGTAAGCGAACAGCATGGATCCTGATCAGACTGCGTGGATGCGCAGGCTGGTCTGGAAACCCATTATGTTGGTTTTGTCATGACGCGGCTCAAATGTGTCATGATTGTTTTCAGGTATCCACAACATTGACAACAAATGATATTGTCATTAACAAACTGACACAGATTCTCTCCTATCTGAGACAAGGACGGAGGGAGAGCAAGAAATTAAAGAAACTGAAAGGTTAGAATATAATAAACAGTTTACGTTTATGTTTGTAGTTTTACCAGTTCTAGCTAACCCATGCTCTTTGTTTAAAAAAATGTGTTAGAAAAATTGGTTATCTAAAGTTCATACATTGTGCTTGTTGAGACTTGCGTAGACTTTCTAAGAGAATCTTTGTTATGTAGATTGGTGAATATTGGCTGTTGGATCAGCAGTGCCTTCATTTCTTTTGAACACAACACCAACATTTCTGAAACCAAACTTTAACAGAATTATTGTTATCAATTTCCCTTGGATTTTCTGATTTGATCAATTTTGGCAGAAGTATGACCCTTTGTTGTTTCACGGACTTTAATTGACAAGGATCGGACACTTCCGATTGGGCTTTAAATCGGGCCGCGCGCATGCGCGAGATCTTATCACCGGAAGAAGATGAAATAAATGGCGTAGACCGAGGATGACATGTGTAAACATTTGATAAAAAAAACTCGGTTTTTGCTGTTGATTGCGTTGTTTATACAACTTTGGTACACACTTTTTGTCAAGTAAGTATTATTGAATATGTTTACATTAAGTATTTATTTTATTTAGCTCCTTAAACAATCAAACTGCCGTGAAAGTTAGTATTGTAATTTTGCTTATCGTAACGGTAAAATTATTCTAGATGGCGGTGAACACGAACGAAAATAAGCTGATTTTGCTGCCCAAATATGACGAAACAGGAATTTATTTTATGTTTAAATTGTAATGTTTATACTAACATAGTATTGATTTGTGCAGTCAGATAAATGGTTTTCTTAGAATATGGCTGTAGAATACCGCAACATTAGATTTAAATCACCCCTCGTTCAAAGATGGCCGCATAAATAAAAAAAAAAATCTTCGAAATTTGCTTCCCATTTCATAGAAGGGAAAACTGTTGTTGTTCAAAAATTCGTTCTAATTATTATCACCATTGTGTGATTAGTGCAACAGAAGTAAAAATTAGGGAATTACTTACAAACTTCCTTGGTAATTTTAGTTTGAAATTTGTCTATTTTTGGTTTATTACATCTAAGTTAATTGTTAATATTCTGTTCATATAACTTAAGTTTTACCCTTTTCCTGAAGGTCATGGAGGATTCAATGACACTCAAAATACATGTAGAAATCCTGGACAAAATTTACTTAAAAAAATAGGAGTGAAGTCTTGAATTTTTCATTTTAATGATAAGTATATGACCAGCATTAAATTAATTTGAGCTGGGATATAAATTACAGATTGCATGAGTGATGTTTTGGTTGCTGTACATGTATTTTGCATATAAATCTGAAACACAATCAGGGACAGCAAAATCAGTTGTCAACAGGGTTGTCAAACAAACTCATTTGTGTTATTGTCTGACTCAGAAGCTGTGTTCAAAATCTTGAAATAAATGGGATGCAGCAAAGCAAATAAATATCGGCTGAATTTAGAAGAAAATATTCCTGCAAGACACAAGTGAAAATATGTTTCACTGCAGAAAAATATATTTTTAAAAGTGAAAAAACTAATTTTACTTCATCAATATTTCTCAATATTTGATTTGTATGTGTTCAATTTTATGGGTATTTTATATATATTTTCAGATTATTGATCCTGTTACAGTCATTTGGTGATATATCAACATACAATCATGACAAGAAAAAAAGGACAAATTGGTAGAAAAATGAAGCGAGAGAAACCACGGAAGCAACATTTGTCAGCAGATGTTCTGGCGGAAGACCTCTTATCAAAATCGCTTGGTGACACATTCTTCGTTAAGGATGGTACTACAGAAAGTTATGAAACACCTCTAGAAAGAGTTGAGTGCTTTGACAGTGATGGATGTCATGCTGACGAGTTTTTTGTTATTCTTGACAAGCCTTACAGATATTGTCCAGATACTGATCTTGATGAGTTTGTGGAAAATGAATCATTAAGGATATTTAGTGAATTCCGTGAGAACTGTAAAAGGCATATAACAAATGACAATTTCACATACATGAAATCTTCAAATGACTTGAAATTCATACATTTGTTAGAATAATTACATATATAATTGAAAGAAATTAAAAATGTGTTCAAGTATGTAAATAAATGTTTTCAAAAAATCTACTGTTTCATATTGTAGAAATATAGAACACAAAATTGTGCTGGTAATAGCATTGATACTTAAGTACTGTTATTAACACTTACTACCTGAATTTTAACGTTCCTTCTTTAATCAAGAAACTTCAAAGAAATTTATTCTTTAATTAAAAAGTTTTAGGCACGTTAATTTTAATGAGGTGTTTATGAATAATTTACACTTACCAGATAAAAAACGACCGCTCAATACCGACTCAAACTGTGAATGTCTGTATCAATATCAATTATCCCAAAAATGTTATAATGACTTCCAAAAAAAATAATAGGGCCTGTTTTTGTATTTAAAATATGATTGAAAAAAAGTCAAGTAAACGCCCGTGCTAACCAAAAAAACAATACATGTATAGTTGAATTGTTCTACGATATTACGGAAAATAACTGCATCTGGAAAGTACAAATCCAACTATTACTCGTACATCCCTTAATAAAAGCAACTTCAAATTCGCTCATTAAATAATAGAAGCTGTGGAATAGTCTGAAATGGTATTTTTTTTAAATATCCGAAAATCAAGTTTAATGTTGTATTTGAAAAAAGAAGAAGATTTTAACCGTTTGTACACGGCTTTGTCTTAATCGTCGGTATGAAGGGAGACGGGCTAATTATATATATATATTATTATCTAATTGACACCTATATTTGTAATAAAAAATAAATTTTCTCAAATATAATCTACAAATTTCCAAAATTGGATAATAAATGATACGCCAACAATACTTTTTGTACTGTAGGTATCAATTTCGCACCCCGAAAAGTTAACGGTTAACTACTCCGAGTTTTCGTCGTATTTAATTTCTTAATCGTCGGTATGGACAGAACATATATATTTTTTAAGATAAAAATAGATGATTGCAATTAGGGACCAATTTTCTCAAAATGTTCCTTTTAATTTTCTAAATCGGATTATAAATGTTAAAGCAGCAAGACTTTTTGTACTGTAAGTATCAATTTCGCACCCCGAAAAGTTAACGGTAAATTACTCCGGGTTTTCGTCGTTTTCAATTTCTTAATCGTCGGTATGGACAGAGAGTATATATTTTTTTCAATAGAAATAGATATTTGCAATAAGGGGCCGATTTTCTGAAAATGTGTCTTTTAATTTTCAAAATCGGATAATAAATGGTAAAGCAGCAATACTTTTTGTACTGTAAGTATCAATTGCGCACCCCGAAAAGTTAACGGTAAATTACTCCGGGTTTTCGTCGTTTTCAATTTCTTAATCGTCGGTATGGACAGAGAGTATATATTTTTTTCAATAAAAATTGATATTTGCAATATAGAATCAATTTTCTTAAAATGTGTCTTTTAATTTTCAAAATCGGATGATAAATGGAACGACAACAAGACTTTTTGTAGAGAAGGTATCAGTTTAGCGCAGGTATTTTACGCTTAACTCCGATAAACTAAAAATTATTGATCGGTTTCCCGATATCGAGTGTACAGGTACACGCGCGACAAGATCTTTTAACGTTTTATATAGGTTTACTAGGAGTGTCCGATCCCTGTAATTTAAATCCGTGGTTGTTTAAACATTTTTTTTTGTTTTTTTGCTTTTGTAGTAAACTTAGTTATGTAATAGTTCCCAGTCACTTTTATTTGTGATGAAATTTTGACATGATAAAGTTGCTCAAGTATGCACAGTATGAAGACTGTAATGAGAACCTCAATTTGGTAGTTTGAAAACTAAACTAAACTCACTATATTTTCATTAACAACATCTTGTGCCATTTTAAAATTGTAAATTGCTAAATCAGTTATTCATGCCTAGCACTTGGAAGTTGTTTCTTTATGGAATTGTTTGTACACATATTAAGGTGACAACGGAGTCAATTATTACTGAAAATACCTAAAATGAGATTCTTTACTTAGTAGAATAATCAACCTTTTCTGAACACATTCGTGATTTAATTTTGGAAGCAGTTAGTCCAAAAAATGTGTTTTTAAACGTTTTAAAACGGTACCTGTACCATTTTTATCTGCTATTCGCGTAACCTGTCAATTATAGATAACGCTCCGCCCCCTGTTGAGGCATTAATGAGGGAAATCGGTAGTTCCATATATCCGCGAATTACCCGTCCATACTGGTCCATACTACTCGTAATTCATGTATCGTACAAATACCGTACATCTTTTATGAATATCGTCTACCTTTTATTAAGCATTTTTATAAAATAAGAAATTGTCTGCCAATGTACGTAACATAATGTATGAAACATAAATAATTAAGCATAGCGGCAAATCGCACGACCACGGGTTGATTTAAAATATAGTTGCTAAAATATCCATAATGTGTGAAAATAATTTGTCTGTCCCGTTAATCTGATAGATATTACATTGAGTTTATGGACTTTTGTACGGATTCATCGGCTTGCTTTACATTCAACCTCGTTTTCTAACAATGTCAAGTACGTAAAACAACAACAATAACAGACAACATTTTTATGTGAACGCCTATATGACTTGTGGTAAGGTGTCCCTGACAAATTTCTAAACTATTTTAGATTGTTTAAGGATGATCATTTCCCTATGAATCAATGAAAAAAGATATTAATATATACTATCAGTGAATGCTCTGAATAAATTGTTCGCCAGTAAATCGGACACAGTACTAATAAACCTGGGACAAATTATGGAATTTATTGTATATCCCAGTAGAAACTGGATATCTATGCCGTGCATAGATGATTTTCATGATAAAAGAAGTCATAAAGCTCAGATCATAATGATCGAGTGATACCTTTTATTTCTATTATAATATGTCAAGCATTTATTTCAATTTGGAGGAAGAAATATATAATATCTCGTTTTTATTTTATATTTACCATGGACTTTAAAAGACCATCAGAAGCTCAGTTTTTTGTTATTTTAATTTATATTTTAACGGAATTTCATACACGAATACACAGACAGAGTGACACTGGTATAATATAATAATAATGCTGATGATAATAATAATAATCTTCAAAAGTGAAACAATTAAATACCCCGCTAGCAAATACGTTCCATTTCCCCCCACCGAGTGCCTCAAATTTTACCGAAAGTCACGTGACATGTGCGACCGACAGTAAATCACGTTAAGATTTGAAGAAATTTCTGTTATGAACTGATATTAATCAGCAACTTTTTAATTGGTCAGATGTCACTGGGTCATAAAATGTTGTTAGAGTATGTTAGCGCAACTTGTGACCCTCTCTGGTGCGATATTTGTGTATTATGCAATTATTTAGCGTGAAACGTAGGGGTCCGAGAGAGAACAGCCGATTTATGACACTTCGTTGGATGCGGGTCGGACTAACTTTGAATCGGCATAACTTTTTTAATAATCAAGCAATTAACATGCGGTTTAAAGCACATGAAAGGGAATTTATTTACGGAGGGAACCGTGTCAGGGATTTTTGTTTGCTCAATCAGCGACTTAATTATCTTTAATTACGTAATATGTATGGTGAAAAAAGTCGCATAAAATGTTTGACGTTACGTAATATTTTTTTGAGAATAGATAGAAAAAATTTGAGACACGGTTCCCCAGATATTATAAGTATGTTTATTTTCCAAAAGTTTGATAACAAAAAAATAAAAAATAACTTTGATATGACGATTTAAAATTTTAGGATTTTTATTAAAAATCAATCATTTACAAAGGCATTTTTTCAAATATGTTATTTTTTATGTTGATCAACGACATTTAATGCACAAAGATTAAATAAATAACAATTATTACTAAAATAAGTTGGTTTAAATGACATTTATGTGAGTACCACGGAAAGTGTCTGTTGTCACCTTAAAGATATTTATTAACAGCAAAGCAAAGTTTGTGTTTGACCTTGTGGAAGTTTGTATTTTACTTTGTGGTATTTTTAATTAATAGGTAAATTGAGGGAAGCAGAAAAGATGCAGGGAAAGGTGCCCGGGGCAGATGACAAGTAAGTTTTATATGATGTATGCTACATGTATATGTTATGTTTGGTATTATCTGCTTAATTTCCAAAACATTTAGTTGATAATAAGAGATTAATACACGGCAGAGTAGGGCCAGAAAGTGATAATCGGCTGCAAAATTAATAATGGCCCTGAGGATTTCAGTCCGAGGGCATTATTCATTTCAGGGCTGATTATCACCTTCTGGCACAACTATGACGTGTATTAATGTCTTAAATACACTTGGTAGATCTAATAGTAGCATTTTTTCTTAAAAAAGTATACCTTTGAAATTCCTGTCTGCATTTCTACTGTACTGTACAGTTCAGTAACTTCTACAGAGTTGTTTACTTTTTGTGTGTTACAAGTACACTACTGTAGGATCTAGAAGCAAGTTTTATTTTCATTTTTTTGGGGAAAGAATTTGTCGTATTATTTCTTTTAATTTCAATAGTTTAAAAAACTGTGTTTTGTATGAAATCCACTTAAGCTCTCTTAATAAAATCAAGTGATTTGTGCTCAAAACCTACTTTCACTTTTACAGTTAACTGTTTGATGATGTAAAATATGACGTCATTGTTTCAGTTTGTGCAATGGCACATGTTCAACGGGCTGATAACTAGTTCTCGGCCCTGGGCCGCATACTGATAACAGGTCACGTGACACTCATAATCAGTTGAAATCATAGGAGATTTTGTTACTATATATAGTAACAAGTGTATTAAACACATTTTTGTCCCTTGATAAGTTATCCGCAAAACATTTTTGCATGCTTGAATATAGTTCTATATTCAGCTATAGATACTATAGATATATTACTTTAGAAATTATACCATTGTAAATTTTAGGTGTTTTTATTCCCAAATACTTATTGTTTCTGATTTTGAAAAATGATGTGAGGTTATTAGTATTAAAGAATCCAATATAAGTCATTGACTATGGTAAAGAAATTAAATTTCTTCATTTAAATAGTCATACAAACTGGACCATATTGCCTCTGAAGTATTGTAACCCCCACTTCAAACTCTTATCATACTTTTATTTGTATCTTAATAAGTTCCCTACTGGTTTAACCAGAGGGGACATTAGGTTTATTTATTCAGTTTTTATTCATCATGCTAAATTAATGTTTCAGTATATATTCCGACCTAACAGACTATGTACCGTCAGTTGGTAAATCTAAAGATAAGAAGGATCGTGGTAAAGAACGTGATCGTGATGACAGAGATCGTCGTGATAATAGAGACAGGGACAGGTAACTCTTGTTTTGTAAATAATGCAGGATAGATAACTCTTGATGAAAGACTGGTTAGGTGGTGGTGGTGGTAAATTAACCCCAACATCAAAGCAGTAAGCCACATTGTATTTACCAGAGAATATTTCAGCCACGGCATCTTTCCTGGGCAGGCTATCAAATAGTTTACCAGTACTAGTTGCTATCACTTTTGCAAAGAAGTAATAACATCTGTTTTCGAAGAGCAGAGGTACAGTGTGAATGGCTGTAGAAAAGATTTAATGATCAAACACAACAAAAGTGACCTGTTGGGAGCTGATAGTTTTCAGTTTATTTGAACAGTAATGGAAATATAAGTCTTGCAGAGTTTAATATTTTTGGTATATAAATGGTTGAGCAATACAGTTTAACAGATTGTTAGATAATTAAAATCCATGATAAATTATTGAAAAATAGGAGGAAAGTAACATTTTGAATGCTGCTGAATGCTCTTTTTTATGAATCCACTATTCAAGCTTAACTTGTAACATAAACTGTGGTAGACTTGTGTTTGACGATTGTTGATGTGAACAAATCTGATACAAAATGCTGTAAAAATCTGATACAAAATGATAAAGTTATCCTGCCAGTTGATCTGCAGTGTTTTAATCTTGACGTTTCTTGTTTTAAGGGACCGTAGAGACAAAGATAGAGAACGTGATCGAGACCGTCGTGATCGTGACAGAGACAGGGATCGTGGAAGGTCAGACAGAGGTCGTGATGACAGGGGGGATCGCAAAAGAAAATCATACTTTGAAAAACCGGCTGAGGAGGTGAGCATATGTGACAACTTACTTACTGACTCTGTGTAATGCTATCACTCTCTTTTCTCAAAATGTAGCTGTTTATAGGTCAAACTTCTTTGGAAAAATTGAATAAATTGCTTAATTATTGTTATTTAGGATGAGGACAGAAGCAGGCCAAATGCCAATGTGAAAGAGCTGGTGAAGACTGTCACAGACAGGTACAGGGGATTTGCTGAAATGGAGGAGGAAAAAGAAAGGTAAATTATGGAGTCATATTGATGTATTAGGATTGCCCTTATTCCGTGTTTGTACATAAATGCCCTGTCTACATAATTTATTATACTAGACTTTTATATCACTTTCTAAATTAAGTTTAAAAAAATGTTATGTTGTTCGAATTTCTCAAGTTAACATTCATATTAATTCCTTGTCTTTTACTTATATAAATACACACAATAGTCACTGATTACTGGAGGATTCTGAAATTTTGCATGTTTCATAATTTAGATTTAAATAGTCCTATGCAACATTTTCAATTTTCGAAATTTGAAAATAAGTTTTGATTGATGTAACCCAAATTTACCCGAAAAATTTCCCAGAATTTAGAAATTCAGAGGTAAGAATTACATAGAAAATCAGAATGACAAAATTTTTGGGACCCTAAAATTTTTTTTTTCAAAAGTTTTCGGATTTTAGAAATTCTGGAATTCAGAAATTAAACTGTGTTGCATTAAACATGCATGTAATAATTTTGATTTATGACTACAGAAAAGCTGCTACAAAGGAAAAAGAAAGAATACAGAAATTGAAACAAAAGACAGAAATAGACAGTTATGCTGAATGCTACCCAGGGTAAGTTTTATTTAGTTCTTTGAAGGCCCTTGGCAGTTAAATTGAAACATAATTATCATGGCTTAAAAATGTGCAAAGGGGCACCTGAGGTACTATCTTCATCAGTAAAGCTGGAAAAGTTGCCATATGACCTATACTGTGTTGGTGAGACTTTAAACCCAACAAGTCAAACAATACCACAATGTGACAAAGATGAATTTTCAAGGACCAATAGTTACTGATGAACTGCTTTCTGAGTATAAAATCTATACACATTCATGATTTTACTTGAGTAATATCTAGTGTGAAGCTTTATAACTTTCTGCCAAATTCCAAAATGTATTTCGGAAATATTGTTCACATGTTAAATATTATGTTGAATAAATATGTTTAAACCAAATACCGTTGGTTAAAAAATCGATATGGATGCTTTGAAATGCATGTGAATTATTCTTTGAAAAAATGACTGTATATTATTTTCATCAGAATACATTCAAGATATATAATAAATTTGATTATTTGACAGTATGGAAGAAGCAGCAGATGCAGTAGATGACTCGGACGATGAGGTTGATTATACAAAAATGGACCAGGGCAACAAGAAAGGTCCAGTTGGCCGATGGGACTTCGATACACAAGAAGAATACAGCGACTATATGGCTAATAAGGAAGCATTGCCTAAGTATGTAATACACATGTATACACATTTCATCTGCCTAACAGTTTGTGTCTTTTTAACATACCTGAATAGAAATGACTGTACTAGTATTGTTTGTATAAGTGTTGTTGTAGTATAAAGTCACTTCTTGTTTGTTTGTCAATTTTCATAAGGTTTAAATGATTTGTTTTATAGATGATAATTGAATTTAACCAGATTTGAAAGTTGATGCTTAAATTAAGCCAGATTTGAAAGATGATGCTTAAATTTAGCCAGATTTGAAAGTTGATGCTTAAATTTAGCCAGATTTGAAAGATGATGCTTAAATTAAACTAGATTTGAAAGATGATGCTTAAATTAAGCCAGATTTGAAAGATGATGCTTAAATTAAGCCAGATTTGAAAGATGATGCTTAAATTTAGCCAGATTTGAAAGATGATGCTTAAATTAAGCCAGATTTGAAAGATGATGCTTAAATTAAGCCAGATTTGAAAGATTATGCTTAAATTAAGCCAGATTTGCAAGATTATGCTTAAATTTAGCCAGATTTGAAAGATGATGCTTAAATTAAGCCAGATTTGAAAGATGATGCTTAAATTAAGCCAGATTTGAAAGATGATGCTTAAATTGAGCCAGATTTGACAAATGATGCTTAAATTTAGTTAGATTTGAAAGATGATGCTTAATATAGCTTAACTTGATAGGTGATTGACTTACATGATTGATTTTATTTGAATATTGATATTTAAATCTAGCTTAAAGGCACATTATGCCTTGGAAACAAACTAATTTTCCATCTTTAGAAAGGGCAAACCATTTTTATTTTGTTTATATAAATGTTTTTTAAGCATTTGAGATGCTTATTACCGGAAGAGAAAGTAAAACTGTATGTTAAATTATTTATCATAAAAGTAGCATAGAATAAACAAAGAAGTATTTTAACGTCTACAAAATACTTCTTCTCTTTGCAACAGCAGCCAAATTTGGTTCAGGTTATTTCTGGGGCATAATGGGCCTTTGATTATAAAGATGAAACTTGATTTTAGCCACTTTTTGAATCTGATTGAATTTAGCTAGAATTGAACATTAATGGAAAGTTGAAAGCAATTCTTGCATCATTTGCTATTTTCTGCAAAAACACTAAACCACTTTGCCTAGTTTTACTTTTTAATACTGTTAATATTAATCTTTCACAATAGGGCAGCTTTCCAGTATGGTGTAAAGATGTCAGATGGGCGTAAAACTAGAAGGGCTGGTCCTAAAGACGAGAAGGCGGAGTTTGATAGACAATGGCAGCAAATTCAAAACATTATGAATAAGAGAAAAGGCGATGATTACAGAGGTGATGACAGAAAGAAATCCAAATACTGAGAATAGTGTTTAATTTTGTGTTTAATTCTGTGTTTAATAATGTTTAAAGGTGACATTTTTGAAGGAGCAGTGTTTACTCATGTTGTGTCCCATGTGTATAGTTTTGGAAACATTAAAGCAGCATGACTCCAGATTTGTGTTAATTTTTGTGAAAAATGAACATTTTTTCTACTGAGTAAAAATGTTATCAGATGTACTAATTAGAGTATGTAACAAAGGCACTTTGTATCTTACAACTTGCCATGGTTGGATGTAATACAATCATGAAAAATTTGTTATTTTTTTCCACAATGCATTACACAATAAAACAGTGATGTTTAAATCAAAGTTATTTCGTTTATTATTTCAAGAAAAAAAGCAGTGTATGAATAAAAAATAACAGTGTTTAAATTCGAAAAAAGCAGTGTTTAAATTAAAAATGTTTGTCTCCCTTATAATGTATTTGTCTTAAATATTTTGAAACTTGGTAAACTTTGAATACTAGAGATTTATTGGTTAGGAAACAAGATAAAATATGTTGGGTATTCAAAAAATAAACTTTGATCACTTTGGGTTTATGTGTTAGGAAAGAAAATGAAAATATGTTGGCTATGGAAAATTTATAAACTTTGACTGCTGGAGATTAATGTGTTAGGAAACAAAAAAATATGTTGGATATCGAAACAAAATGAAATTATGTTTTGGTATGGAAATAATAAACTGGAGCACTGATGATTTATGTGTTAGGAAGAAAATAATATATTGGGTATGGAAATAATTTACTTGGAACACTGGAAGTTAAAGTGTGTAAAAGGAAGTAATTGACAGTGCATGGAAATCACTTCAGGTTGAAAGTAATGAAATTTGAAAAATAGAAATAAATTATGAAAAATGTTTTTTTTTTGGTGTTTTTTTTTTTGCTAAATAATGAAAAATGTCCATCTTGATATCCCTGAAATTAATAATGGACAGTTCTAAAAAATGGAAGGTGGACAAATCCATTTAAGAAATTCAATGGGTTAAGTGCACTTTGAGGTGAAATAAAGTATAAAAATAGATATTACAGCAGCACACCTTCACACTTTAAGATTGTTCCGTTGTAAGTTGAAAACTTGTTAGTGTAAAATAGTCTAAGAAAATCTACATAGTTTTCACACTAACTAGTATCAGCTATAAAATGAATAAATTTGTTTTACTACAGTATATTAGCAATTTACTAAAGGGGGAGTAGAAATTTGGTGATAAAATAATAGAATAATCATTCTTTGAAACTTTGCACACTTGTTCACCATCATGACCCCAACCTGTAAACAGGAGGAGGTAACTGTATCAAGCATTTTTTTTACTCTCAAGCACTTAGAATAGTCGAGCGTTGCTGTCCGACAGCTCTTGTTTAATCTGCATGTTGACAAGTACATTTTTTTACCAATATGGTTTTTTCTTAAAGATTCTGAATATTTCAGACATCTGGTGGTTTGCCTCTTTAAGCCAAATAGATGGGTTTTTTGTAGGAATTTTTGAAATTGTGACATCCTTTCCACAGTATGCTGTACAAGAGCATCATATTTCTCCCTTTTCTCTAGTTTCTAAGTTTGATAATATAAGTTAAATTTGTTAAGAATAGAATATACATGTGCATGTATATTCTTTTCTTTTGGAGCTAAGACCAGAGGTAATGCAACATGCCAACTATTGCTCAACTATAGAAACGATGACCTCGATGTTCTGTAAATCTATGTCATAATATTCAACATATCACTTAATTATGGGTTATAAATATTATATTCACTAATAATCATATGAGCCGCGTCATGACAAAACCGACATAATGGGTTTGTGACCAGCATTGATCCCGACCAGCCTGCGCATCCGCGCAGTCTGATCAGGATCCATGCTGTTCGCTTACAAACTCTATTACAAGTAGAGCAAGTGATAGTGAACAGCACGGATCCTGATCAGACTGCGCGGATGCGCAGGCTGGTCTGGATCCATGCTGGTCGCAAACGCACTATGTTGGTTTTGTCGTGACGAGCCTCATATGTTGATGCTTTCCAGTGAACACAGACACATGATTTACCGTCACCCATGTCTTTTATTAATGGATTTTACGGCTCATTAAATTTGATAATTAGCTTTTTGCTTTCAATGAATCCGTTCTAACTCCAGAGGTTGATAGAGATGTAAGTATTATGTCTTTTGAAATATTAAAGATTCATTTACTTTATTCGTACTTGTTTATCATCAAGTTTACCAATATTTAAATAAATTAAACACAAACAAGGTTATTAAAGCAAAGAACCAGTCCTCTTTAGCCAAGTTGTTACATTGTTGACTTCTACTTTTGTAGAATATTATTCCGCTGGCAGCATTTATTTCTTATATTTTAAGACTTGCCCGATTTATCGGGAGGGCATATTGATTTTGAGCCGTCTGGTTGTTTGTTTGTCCTGCCTGGTTGTTTGTTTGTTTGTCCACTCTGTCTGCATATGGCCTTGATGGTTCTACCTTTGGTGCCCTGTCTGCACTAACACACAATAAACAAGGTCCCCCGAGATCTTCGCATACGTGCTGTGAAACACAGTGTTTATATGATCATTCGTCTGTTTTTAAATGACATGAAGCCATCGAAAAGAAAATCGCTTTTATTAATATAGGGTTTCCAAAGAAATGTTATTAGATTCTGATAATGAATGTCGGCGGATGAGCGAATGTCGGCGGGTGGGCGTATTAGATTGTTGTAGCTGGGGCTGGGGGAAGGCGGTATAAGATTGTTGAATGTCGGCGGGTGGGCAGACGTCTTCTCGGGCAGAGGGGCCTCCAGTTGCCGAGTGGTTAAGGTCGCTGACTGGAGATCACATGTCCCTCACCGCTGCAGGTTCGATTCTCACTCTGGTCGAAATCTTTCATGTGAGGAAGCCATCCAGCTGGCTTACGGAAGCTCGATGGTTCTTCCCAGGTGCCCGCTTGTGCCTGAAATAATGCCCGGAGGGGCACCTTGGGTCTTCCTCCACCAATAAAGCTGGAAAAAATCGACGAAAAATATCGGCGGGACGCTCTAGGATGGGCAGACGCCTTTTCAGGTATGAGTAACTTCTGCAATTCTGAACGGATTTCATCCATTTTTTTACAGAATAATTGCTATTAAATGCTTTGTATATGGGGTCTTGATTTTTAGCAGAAATTTGTTCCTTTGACTTTTTTTTAATTTATTTGCAAAAAAACTAGTTTTGTTTTCCCCGGAAGGGTTAAATTTGGCAAATACAAAGAAATACATACATGTTAAAATATAGAGATCAAATGTCCAAATAGAAAGTTTTCAAAATGATATAGTTTAAAAAATAACTTGAATGTTACACATGAAAAATCATCTAAATACAAGAACTATTTTCCAGTAGATTACTTCTTTATTAGAAAAAAACCAAAACCTGCATTAAGTTCAGAAACATAACAATATATTTACTAAAGTCCCAATGTATAAATGTCTCTCATGATGTTTTTGTTTGTTTTATTTTTGTTTCTAAGTTGTTCCTTCTTCTTTTCTTGTGATTGTTGTGCCCTTTGCACCAGTCAGTTTACTTGACTGCTATTTGTGCCTGAGAACCCTATTGAACCTTTTTAATGGATTTGACATGTCTTGTATTTGTAACAGTCCATTCAAAGATATGGAACCATATCAAACTCAATTATGGGTTGTAAATAATGTATTCACTCATAATTACATTTCATTTGCTCCAGCGAACATACTATTTGTCTGAAAATATTTAATTTTATGGCACATTAAATTTGACCTGTATTAAATCTGTTCTATCTTAAATCAGGAATCGTGTCCTATGTGCGTATTGTAAAATGTAAAGCCCACAAAGGAAGGCAAAACAACGTTACCAAAGTTAGAAACCAACCAGTACTAAGCAATGGATGTAAAGTTTCTTGCTTGAGGCAACGCTGGCTTGTCCCTGACCAGTTTTGAATCCACGTGTCCACCAATCATTTATACAAATCGTATTGTGTTGGTTCGTCTGCTTGTTTGTATATTTGTTCGTCTGTTTGTTTGTTGCAAAACTTTAATCTTGACCGTCTACATACTGTCCCACAAACTGGTGCCAGATCTTTGATGAGCATTACCCGCAAGAATCACTTCGATATCCATAAATGACTATAGCTGTTACACACGAGAACATGTAAAGATAAAGAAGATATTATAAAACATTTTGATTTGCAAAATTTAAAATGCTTTTACTATTTTAATAAAAATACCAAACCTATCTGAAAATATAGTTATTGACAAAGTCACGAATTTAAAACGCTATTAGGATTTTTCATTTTTTCAATCATACGACGGATTCAATTCTAGCTGTACTGGTGGATGAAGGCAATCGGAACGTCCTCGGCTATTATCTATAATAACTGACAGTCGCGATAGGGATGAAGGTTCGACATGCCCAATACTACTGGTCAATGATCCGTGTAGGGTTTGACACCAACTTTCAATTAGTTTGCGGAATGTATTTTTAGGGATCCTACTTGTTGTTTTGTATCGATTAGTCTATTTTGTGCTGCCCAGTACGTTTTTTTTTCAACGCATTATATAACAACAATCTCATTTCATGTAACTGTTAAAATTTGGCTTTGAAAATACATTATAACTACAATAGTACATTAAAAGTTTAATGTAAAATGACATTTTTATGTTCATTTAAGCTCGTTGTGACTCATAAATGAACTTAAAAGTTCGCATACTTTTGGTAGATTAAAATGTTGATAATTCTTAACGACACGAACCGCTACTACGGATGATAGCTCGAGGTGACTATCACAAATTCATTATACATGTTATATAAAAGTCTATTAAAAGATGCGTAAACGAAGTTAAAGAACTTGGGGTATTTAGGAATATTGTCCGTGGCCGAGAGGTCAAAGTCTTTTAAACTGAATCACTTGCCCTTTGTTGCTTTGGGCTCGAATCCCGTTAGGAATTTCAATTCTTTCATTACAGAAAGCTATCTTGCTTGCTTGCGGAACGAAGGTGCTGTGTCTGAAATAAAGCACGGAAGGGCACCCGAGGTCTTCGTCCAAACAAACAAACAAACGAACAAACAATTCAGAAATATTCATCCCGAAGAACTTTTTTTAAAAATGTGTATCAAACATTTGTATAAATATTACATTATTAAATACGACCGGTTTTTCCAAAAGTCCCATATTTATTAATCATTAACCTACAAGAAAACGTTATTGAACAAAGGATCGGACACCGGTTAAAGCACCGGTTATTATCAACGCTATGAAATTGCAATTTTAAAGAATTCTTTTGAAAAGTTTTTTTAAATTGTTTTATAACAGCCCATTTTTTAAATTTCTTAAAAAGGCAGTTTAAAACATCTGCTCAATGTGTGTTTTAGGTTGCTTTGTACCATCTTTGTCCGCTGTTTAATGAAACACAATCGGAATCAGCTAGTGATAAACAGCTAAAAAAGTCATGTCTATGAAGGACTACATCAATTGGAATAACTGGGCTATTATTTATGTCCTTATCCGAAGACTGACGGAAAGAGCCGAAAAGTTGCGGCCTCCAAAACCATTTAGATAGTTAATCAAATATGTTTTCGTTCAGCATCATTTTGAATATTTTGTTTTACAATAGGTAACTGAGTGCAAACAATGTTCTAATCTTTTAATGATACAGTCATAATTATAATTTTGTGGTAAATAAATATTAGCACATAAAGTACTTCCGACTTTTCTTATCAAATCTACTAAAATTTGCGGTTTTGCGCACCTACCCCAAAACAAGTATGTGAATATAAGTACAAATATGCATATCAAAAAAAAAATGCTTCATTGAAGCGTAGAATAGTGTTTTAACGAAAACATCTTTTCAATATAAACTTAAACATCAATTGTTGTTGAACTGTAAATGTAATAAAGTTATACCCTACAGTTGTTTCATAGTGTCTTGACAAAAATAAGTACATACTTATTTCATTGATTATTGGGCGAATACCAGTAATGTTTCACCCGAGGAATATAATTTATTTATTAGGTAAGTCATAATTCTTCAGATATTAAAAGTAAAGATTTAAGGATCGATAGTAAAGTTAATTAAGTTTCATATGATTCTATAATGAAAACAATATTACTTCATTTATAATGGATTAATACCATTCAAGAAAAAAAAGAAGAAATATTTTAGAACCTATGCAGGTTTATATAATCTCGGGGGACCAACTTATGTATTTGGTTTAAACATATTTATTTGAGTTGCATTGAGAAACAAGTCCTTGCAACTTATTTCAATCACTTTCGAGTCTGCCTCCGGAAACCAACAAGGACTGGTGTTTATGAAAAAACATGGTCGTGACCCGATTGGAGCTCGAACCCTAGGTTGAGAGGCAGACACCTTAACCACCAGGCCACCGCATCGGTGTTTAAACATCTGAACCCATGATAAATGAAGGCATATGTGGGTTATCGAGGAAATATAGAAGGGTCGAATAGCATTTTATCACAAATCTTTCAAATGTGTAAAACTAACCGTTCAATTTTAGGAAATAACTACCCACATTTTGTCTAAATTTTCAATTGTAATATCGGAAATAGACATACCAAAGCCCATTTAGATGCCCTATTAAATAGGGGTTTATACACGCGCGCATTTCGTTTGTTCGGGGTAAAAGGCCAAAAGCACCGTGTAACTAGTGTTGTCGCGTTTTCGGTCACTCGACTCCTCCCCACCACACCTCCATATACCACCATTGACTATTCGTGATTTTATTTATAGGATAGATTGTTTAAATTTGTCAATTACTTTAAAGCGTTTTGCAAATCGACCTATTTAAATTTTTGCCCCGTCCCCTCTTAATCTCGATGTTTTAACTTAATATAATTGCTACCTATGATCAATGATGATTTAGTTTCAAATGTTGTCTGCATACAGGTTTTGTATCGTTTGTATATGCCGGGACAAGTTCGTCTGTGATGTGTCCGGATGAAAAGAAGCACGTGCTGGATTGTGAGCAGACGATAATTGGTGTGGTGGACGCGCAACTGGAACCGTATGGTCAAACATTTAGTACTACCAATCTTGACAACAATACAGAAAGTGAGCTGCTGGACGAGAAGACCAGGGATGTCGTCTGCAGGTTAGTACTGATTTTACCCGAAACTGCCTACCCACATTTCTGATTCTACCCGGATTGCCTACCCACGAGGGACATGACATGTAACTCGTTTTTAAATAAGTATACTATATTACCGGAAACTTTTTTTATGAACATTATATTTTCTTGTCGTCTGCATGTAGTTATGTTTTTTACCTTACTTTACGCCTTTATAACGATAATTACTTTGTTGTCTTTCGATCTTAATATATTTTATCAATTCAGGTAGCCTAGACTTTGATTTCTTTCCTAATCATTGCTACCTGAGTCTAAAAAAAAAACAAAACAAAAAAACAACAAAAAAAAAACAATCAAACAATCATACTAGTTTACAAGAAAATGCATAGTATCTGATCATAATCACAACTTGAACTGGCGTCGCGGCCGTGTCTGAATTGTTAAGTTCGTTGACTTGTCCCTCACCGCTGCGGGTTCGAATCCCACCAGGGACTTTCGACTCTTTCATGTTAGGAGGCCATTGAGCTAGCTCAAGGAACTTCGGTTGTTCTACTCGGGAAGTTCACGAGAGGTCTTCCTACACTAGTAAAGCTGGAACTTGAACCTTCTACCGAGGAAACTATCGATTGTTTTCTATGGTCAATACTTTTTTCACCATGCAATCAATTTGCTTATTTAAATAAACGTAAAATGATATTTCTGCATATCTAGAATTTCAAATAAAGAGAAGAACATTAATTAATAAAACAACTTTAGTCTCAATTTCAACAGAAAATAAATACTAAGTAATGCAATAAAATGAAACGTGTAGTTAATTACATATTCATATTGTTAACAGACATTAAGTGCAAATCAGTTTCTTTTTCTTTTTTCTTTCGTAAATAAGTAGGTGCTCATTAATGTAATGTTCTATGTTTCTTTTTTTTCTTTTTGTTCGTATCATTGACTTCTATGACAATGATAAAACCAGAAGCAAACAAGTTTAGTCTGCTGGGGGGGGGGGGGGGGGTGGGGGGGAGGGTAATTAGATTATCAAAGGCGACCAGTGCCGTCACATTCGTGATTATGTGTTTTTAAGTTTATTTATACTCGCCGGTTGCCGGTATAGGCGAGTCCTCCAGAAGAGTATTAGTCATGCAAGATACAGATACAGAAAGATGACAAATCCCAGAAGCTTCTCCTGGTTCTTTAGTGTGCGAAGTGTTTAAGCACTCATACACGGGACCTCGATTTAAAGTCTCATCCGAAAGACTGATAAGTAATTTTAGTTGCCCAGACTAATCGTAGTGTCGAGGTTATAAGTCTCGCGCTCTAACTGATTGATCTATGTGGGCTGGCGTAATCTGATTCATGGTCTGCACTGTTCGTTTTTTATAGCCCGTGCATATATATTATAAAATTTCCCTAAATGATGAATTATAGTATTGTCCAGACTGAATTCAAGATGGACAAGTTGATTTTAAGATATTTAGCGGGGTAAGGGAAAGAAATTGGTGATAAAAGTCGTCTGGTGTTTTATTTTCAGTACGGCAAACGCCGAATACGTGTCATGTATGGTTGGCAATATAAGCGCGTGCCCGGAACTTGCAGCAGACGACGATATTGTGTCAACGTGGATTGCTTCATTGATAGCTCCACATCTTGATGTTTTAAACTCTGTTGATCGTGTTTGTGGTATGTGTATTAAGCTTTGTTTCTATGTTACCGTTAAAATATCACGCCTCCAGTCATGCTAATTTTCATGAAAATTTTGAAAAAAAAGTGTATTTAAAAGTAAAATATTGTTAAATGAATAAAGAAAGTAATTTACGCAAAGCAAACGGCACTGATTATCAACCTGAATAACCGAAAAGACTTTAAAAATGCAAAAATAGCCCTTACTACATTAGTCACGCAGTAGAAATATGGTGATAAATACTTCAAAAACATTAATCGCATGTAACATGTAAATTAATTCTTGAATCTTGATTATTTTTACTTTTCTTGGAAGTCTTTGTACACTTTCACCAACTTCGATATTCTTGAAATATTTTGGCTCATCTGGAGACACGATAACCCGGATATAACTAACAAAATTAAACCACTGAATATATTATCATCAACTTAAAATGAACCAGTGCTCGTTCATGAATTATAACCGTCTTATATAGACACACGTGCCCCCACTCCTTCCAATTAAATGGATGAATGACTGATGACTAACAGACAGACGGACGGGTGGATGGATGGATGGATTGACGAACGAACGGACATTCAAACATTTCACGTTTATGGGCGTTTTATTCATAACTTTGTTGTATTTTTCTTTTTATAAATGCGGCTTGCCTTATGACACCTGTTAAGTGAAATGATCTTTTTCAGAATTTTTCGAAGAATCTGTATGCAGCTACCGAGAAATTAGACTCAGCATGTGTTATTTGTCCATAGTTGGTGACACAGTGACCTTGAATCAGAAAGTCGACATGTGCTCGTAAGTACACATATTGCACGTGAAAACTATCGAATAAACGAATAGTTATTTAAACTTTTATTAAAGTAATTTTCAGCGTGGTATTAAGAACATCAAATCTCTGTCCAAAGGCAGTGAACAACAACAAAAAAATAATAATAATAAAAATAATAATAATAATAAAAACACAAATATCAATCACCGCTAACCACCACCCCACCAAAAATAGAAAAACAAGAAAAAAGAAAAACAAAAGAAAGATAGAAAGAAAGAAAACAGCAACAACAACAACAAAATATGACCTAACAATAACGATAAACGTGTTTCATTGCAATTTATTTTTGCTATTTTTTAGATCTGGTAAAATGGACAAATTAACGTGTATGATAGATATTTATAAAGAATGTAAACCTTATCTTAACCTAACATCAAACGGTATAATAGCGGCGAATATCAGAGACCACATGGTTAATGACAACTGGGATATGTTCAGCACAGGAACAGAACTTTGTGGTAAGAATGCTAAAATATTTAGATTATATGTATAGACAATACTGAACATGTGTTTGATGGAAGGGCCATTGTTGTCATTCATATTAAAATATTAATACATATAAATATCGAAAGTACTTTCAAACATACTTTATCCACCCAATATACACGCACTCAGTTGTTTCATAAATCATGATGGATACTGCCATATTGGACAATGTACGCTTCAATGGTGCTTTTGGTACACATTTTTCTCTTTGAATCGGTGATATTATCTCGTTTATTGTGCAGTGTGACAGTCGCACGTCATACTACAAACGCCTCTAGGGACATGACCCACAACATACTTTTCACGCAACTCAAACCATTACCCACGTTTAATGAGTACCCTTGGCGCATGAAATATAACTACCTTCATACTACTGGTAATAGAAAGAGCACCGAAACACGAGGTTATCTGATTTGTACGAGGGGGCGTAGCCCCCCGAGTATTAATCAGATTACCGAGTGTTTTGGTGTTCTTTCTCTTTTGTATCATAGTCAAACATAAAAACACGTTCCCTGTTGTTACAATATGAAACCCCGGCAAAAATGAACCAATGAACGAGCATCTAAATATGACATTTCTGTCGATTTCACTTTCACTGCCGTCACAATATGTAAACCCCAGCAAAAATGAGCCAATCAATGGGCATGCTCTGGAGTGCGGGTAACTAATACCCGCACTCCAGTTAACGCACTGTGCATGTATATGTAAACGATTTAACCCTGACACATTTTCAACAGAAAGGTCTCCAAACTATGATACAAATCTTAAATTACTGCATTCTTTAAGAATAGTAGCCTGAATACACGTTTTCAGGAACACCTTCCAATTCTGTGCAAAACTTAGACTGAGCCGCCATGTTTTACAGTTCCAAGAAAATTGACCTAGTGTACACAAAAAAGACACATACACATGGTTTTTGAGCAACTGATCTAGCATTGCAAACAAATTGATATGCTCCATAAGCAACCAATGCACCGGAGAGTAATAAATTGATTGTGCATTCTCTTTGTATCATATGATGTCTTATGTTTACTGTCATTTAAGATATTCAGCGGGATAAGAGTTTTACGAGTAATCAAGCGTCTAAGTATAACATAGATTGATTTATCATCATCAAGCGTCTAAGTATAACATAGATTAATTTATCATCATCAAGCGTCTAAGTATAACATAGATTAATTTATCATTACCTGATACCATGACAAGATATTTGAATAATTCATTGGCTAATTTAATTGAAGTATTGGCTAATAGGCAAAACAATTTTATGCATGGCCAGAGAACCCAGCCTTGCTACATTCCCGTGAGAACGCATGCTCATAGAAACAACCAAAGCACGTGACGAAGTATTTTTTTCAATTGTTGAAGAGATAGTTACAAGAAAAACACTTTGTATTGTTTACCTTTTCCTCTTCTGCCATGATCGGAATTAGTATTTCAATTTATAAATTAATTATGTTTTTTTTGCTGCTTTTAAAATTATTTATTTGGGCCTGATTTGTCTAAACTCCAAAGCGAAACTTACACATCAAAGATGGCGTCCAAGATGGCCACCGAGTTACAATATACATACATGTACTAGTATTCAATATCATGTGGTACAATTTGCAGCACTAGAAAAAAACTTTTTGACTTATAATAGTTTAACCATTCTTCTGTTCACAGGTTGTTACGAGGCAGACACGTGCTTTTCCAAATTAGACCAAGAAATAACCAGTATTGGTACAACGATCAACAGCACAGTTAGAGAGAGAATGATTCATATCGTTGTACAGGGTGAACTTCTTTGCAGGTGCTTACATTCTTTTTCAAATATAACACCAAATCATATCCTCTCCCTTTTGAGCTAAGCGGGCGGAAATATCCCTCATTTATTCTGTTTTAACAAAAATAATGTACAATTCAAAATTCAAATATGAATCACACTCATCTGCTATAATAATGACATATGTAGTGTTGACTTGTTTTGTACCAATCCTTGTTCAAGGAATCTCCCTTTTTCTGGACTTTTAGTATCACTATTCAGAATATTGGGCAACAAAATAAAATACATGTAGTTGAAAGTTGAAGAATCGTTTGATTTAGGACCTTTCATGATACACCCCTGCACCGGCTTTAGCAGTATCAAATCTTCAGCATAAACTAAATGTCATCTGTGGCGCCGCTATATGTCGCAACGCTATTAAATGTCGTACTTGCCGCTAACTAACGCAACCGCCACTAATTGTCGCCAAAACGTCTGCCATTAAATGTCTCAAGATAAAATTAAGTTAGCGAGTGGTATTAAATTACAATTAACATTGTGTAAATGTTTAGTAATAGAAAGAGTACCAAAACACGAGGCTTTCTGATTTGTACGAGGGGGTCCAGAGTATAAATCAGATTGCCGAGCGTTTCGGTGTTCTTTCTCTTTTGTATCATAGTCAAACATAAAAATTAACACGTTCGCAAAATCATCAATAATCCTAAAGGATGAGAAAAATACAACTCTAAAATGAAGGACATGCTGCCACAAGACAGCACTTGCTATTGTTGGTTATAAAAATGACCGGCATGGAGTCAATCTGTTTTCACCAGCTAACGAAGCTCTTTTGGAGTTCGATATATAGAAAAACAAACACATAATTTAATTTCGGTTTTTCCCTCATCAGAAATGATAAAAGACATATCATTTTCTTTTTGCTTTCAGTAATGTCACACTTGTTCAGTGTTTAAAGAAGGGTACACCACGTGCGTGTTCGAATATTATACAAAACTTCAATGATACTCGTGCAAAGATTGAAGTATACTCAGCCGAGGTTGACCAAATATGTAAAATAATCAATACCAAAGGTATGTTGATGATGATCACAATAAGTTGCGATTGTGATGATCACTTATTAAAAAAAAATAATTACGAAATTCCATTGGATGAGTAAACAGTTGTAAACCTATAAAAGGCCCCAGGTATATAGGTTTACAACTGTTCATCCAATGGAATTCCGCATTGTACTCAACCTAATGATATGGTATGTGTGTAGTATAAAGAAGTACGCAATGGTTATATAATTAGTTATAAAGATTTTTGACTGGTTATTTGACCCTATATAAACGGTTATTTGGAAATATAAAGCGAATCCCAAGGAGCGTCGTAACTTTTTATTTTATCGTACCCCGGGGTGTTCAGATCGTTGAGTTGTCACTAGTTACCCCTTGCTTATGATGATAAAAATGCATAGATATATTTAGTTAAAGATATGCAACTCGTCGCTTATATTTCAACACTCATCTAAATGTGAACTCCATAACTAACACATTTTTTTCACCCAATTTCAAAATATCGGTACCAAATTGATTCATTTCAATGATTCCAAATAACAGTGATGTGAAAGCTGTTTTATTTTTTTGACTGAAAGGCAGTTTAATCGTGAAGAATGAATAGTGTTTTGTGTTGCGCTTTTAAAGGTGATACATTTGAATTATTATTTGCAATAAAAGTTCAATCAGATCATCATATTAAACTTTAAAAAAACCTTTTTTTCCCGAGATATCAGATTATTTACGTCACCGAAACATTTTCTTTTGGTTCTTGTCTAATTTTCATCGATTTTCATCTGATTCATATTTTTTTCCAAATAGGTTTTAGCTTTTCTAATGTTTTCATTTTTCGATTTTTCATTGCAAATCCAAAAATGGCGGTATTAACCAGTAAGCAAGTCGGAGGAAATCTCGAATATCGTGAAAATGGGATAAAAAAATAAAAACTCAAACACAATTTATCAAAACATGTTTCGCTTTCATAAGCTTCAAAATAACAAAGGGAATGACGCTATTGCGATTACCGATTTCAAAATACATCACCTCTTCCTCCCCATGAAATTTATCTCCCTGGTCATAATCATTGTCTTCAATGAACAATAACTTGATAAACTAGATTAATTATTATTGAATACATTTGTGAATGCATATATTTCTTTTTGAAGTGAATTGATACCAGACAAATAAGCGGACTATCAAATTCGCCAATATCTAATTCAAGCGAATGTATAAAATAAGATAAGCACTTGATATTGTTTTCTGTTTCAACATTAATAAATAATACGCAATTATTTATGAGTGAAATATTGTTTTATATAAGGCTTGAATTATATTGGTTTGAAGATCAATTTGATTAACAGCAAGAACATTTTTTCACATTGAAACGTAAATTATAACTGTTATTCAATTTGTTTGTTATCCTACTTATAAAATGTTTAAATATTTGATTTTCTGCAAATAATGAAAATAATGAAAACATTTTTTTTTTCAATTTTCAGAATTTAAGAGAAACAAGCCGTGTGTTATTAATCAGTTAACAGAAACATACTATCCATGCGTTGAGAGAGAAAAAATACCTGCCAATATTTATAATTGTCGGTAAGTGCACCCCCCTCCCCCACCCCCCAAAAAAGGTTCCAAAATACTTGTATATATTGTTTACAATGAAGCTTAAGATCTGATAAAGAGATCATTAGAAATTGATCTAGCGTTTTTTTTTACAGATTTCAGAATCACAATTTCAATAACTTAATTTTCATATTGTTCTGAATGAATAACACTGTCTCATAAACATTTATTAAAATTAAAAGTTGCTTAGACGCCATTTTGAAATTTGTAATGTACTGTGGCTTCTCTGGGGCAAGCGATTTTATTGTTAAATTACAAAATTCAAACTTATATTGTCATAAAATGCCAGCCGCAAAATTTTGCAACCTTTGTACTAATGTAAATGTCACTATACTGTACTCTTAACGTGTTGTGTAACTTTCAAAACTTCTGCAAATATTTCTACAGTACTGTAACCTAAAAGTTATATTGACTGGACTAATTATGAATTTGTTAAATTCTAGATTATAACTTTCTTTACAGAGACTTGCAGAAACTTTTCAAGTGTGTCGGTGATGCCTTAAATGGAAAATGCAATGGTGACTACACTAACACAGTGTATGGAATAATAAAGACTTCGTTTAATGACGTCATTGACTGTGACATCACTAGCACCGCTTTTGTCATTTATCCAAATTACACTGTTTTGTTAATATTACTGTTTGTATATCAATGTTTGTTTCAGTGTGCTTACATCAACAGTTGAAATATATAAATGTTCTCATGAGATAATATTTACATGACAGGTCAGGTGTATCATTGATGCTTCGCTTGATGTAATTAACTGTTCCTATGAGGTGAATTTTAAAAATAGAAACTCGATTATTTAAAGTGAAATTGTCTCTAATGGAATGTCTTTAATACAATGAATAGCCTTGTTAAATTGAAAGTAGTTAGCATCAGACATAACAACAAAATACAAAACAATTATATATGGATTGTTGGCAAATATGAGATAGGCCCCTACATAATCTGATATTACAGATATACTTACATACAAGATAATAGCTCTATACTGTATGGTTCTATAGAACGAAATGTTATTATTCCTGATATGATGAAAAATTAATACTTAAGCACTTGGAACTTTAAGATTTTTTTTTCAAGCAATCTTTTATTAGAATATCTGTTTCTTTTGTTTCTATCAATATTTGAAATTTTTTTGGAAAATGTGCCCATTGAAGACCAATCCACTTTAATGATCAATTTTGTATCCGAGAACAGCATAATCAAATTTTCACGATCTAATTTTATTACCACAAAATTAATTTTTTTTAGCATGTAGTAATTTATTTTGGAATCAGCAGACTGGTTGCAAAGAATACCGTGGATTGTAATTATACTGAAAGAGGCATAGTGTATGAAAATCTATACAAAAAAAATGTATTAATTTTCATTATTTATTTCCAGATCTAATATATAGATTTGTTTTGATAAGTTTTTTAATGTCTAACGCAATTTTTATTTCTATTTTTCATATTGCTTGAAATAAGGTGTTGTTTGTTGAAATAAAGGTTTGTTTTGTTGAAATAATGCTTTGTATTGTTTAAATGATTTGTTGTTTTTATGAAACAATGCATTGTCTTGTTGAAATAATGCATGGTTTTATGAAATAATACGTTGTTTTGATGAAAGAATGCGTTGTTTTAATGAAACACTGCGTTGTTTTGTTGAAATAATGAGCTGTTTTGATAAAACAATGCGTTGTTTTGTTGGAATTATGTATTGTTTTGATGAAACAATGCGTTGTTTTGTTGAAATTATGTATTATTTTGTTGAAACAATTCGTTTTTTTAAATTATGCGTTGTTTTGTTGAAATAATGTGTTATTTTGCGTTGTTTTGTTGAAATGATGTGTTATTTTTGTTAAAAATACATATATTGATTATAACAATTCGCTATCGCATTAAATAAGCCTTTTTAAATTAGCAAGAAAACGTAGTGGTGCAACCTTATACTCGGCATCCGGTATGACTTCTCTCTGAATATTCTAGTGTAAAAATTATGCAAAATACATCAGACGATAAACAGGTTTTCAAAAAGTTTGATCTCCGACATTTTAAGTATTGGGTTGATAGTAACAATATGACTACTATTGCTGCCGAGTGTTGTAAGACCATTATAACTATAAAAAATATCCATTCTTGAGAGAAATAATACATAATTAATGAGCGAATATCGGGTGTAAAGATTAATTGAGCCTGTTCATATTCAAACAAAAATAAATGCAAAAAGGATACCATTTCCGGATTATATACAAATATCTTTGTTTCTTCAACGTATTAAGTATTTTAACGATACCATCCCCCTGCCCCTCCCCAGCACCGCTTTATGATATCTGCGTTCTTCAACGTAAAAAATATTGGAATAATTAGAAATTATATAAGATGCTAAAGCTCAAATAACAGCAATGCAACTTAATAATAGTCGTATTGCTTACCAGACCTACATATAAATGGTTATTTATCATATAAAGGCATTAATTGCTGATATGACCGTCGTGGGTTTGCTTATTAAAATAGACGTTACAGGGTTAATAAACAGTGACATTGTAGGTTCCGGAAAAAATCAACACAGATGACTGATTTTCGAGTGGGCATATTGATTTCAACTGAAACCTGTATCGATGTTATATATAACATTACAATGTTAAAGGATGGAATCATTTCAGTTGCATTTAATATTCATGCTAAATATGCTAAAATATTTCAATGGATCAAATATTTTAAAAATTAAAACTTTTTTTTTGTCACAGAATTTGTGATTTATTTTAAAAACTTTTGACGTGCAATTTGCATTATTAAATATATGAAGTATTACATGATCAATGTAATATTATATGTTTTACACAATAGTAATTATTTTACATTAGTATAATATATTTCATGCTTGATGGGCATTGTAGGAGGCGTCCACGATGAGCGTCAATTTGGTAGGTAGTTGGATATTCGAATAAAACAACTACATACTAGCTGATAGTTGGTTATTCGTAATTGCCAACTATTTAACAGGTGCATGGTAGTTGGTAATTCAATCCACTATAACCAGAACGCTACACAGAATAAAATAGGGACCTTGTTGTTTATATCACAAATCCGAAACTAACTGCATGCCAACTTCCTTGTGGTAGATAGTTGGGGATTCACACACATAACTTCCTGAGTCCCCTGGTCGTCGAAGGGAGGCGTGGTGATACCATTTGGTAGAATTAATCTATCTTGTCATGTATCTGTTACTTTTTTTGTGAAAAATATTTTCTAGAGACTATTATATTTAAGAGACTACCTACCAGAAGTTCGAATAACCAACTACCTTCTGGTTGGTAGTTTGGGATTTAAGCTAATAACAAACTGAGTCCCCTGGTCGATTTATAGTGAAGGGGTGCTACCATATTATAAAAAACACATATTTAACCGTATCATTTGTTTCAGAAAAAAATACTTTGTTTTCAGAGGTATATACATGTATTTATTACCCGAATTACCAACTACCTTCAAGTATGTAGTTTTGTATTCAGGCGAAAAACCAACTGAGTCCCTTGGAAGATATAGGGAAACAGGGTGTTCCAATGTTGAAGAATACATCTTTCTTGCTATATAACCATCATATTTACTCCTATTTTAGAGGTGAGCATGCAAAGTTCGAATTACCAACTGCCTTCTGGTAGGTAATTGTGGATTCACGCGAATAACCAACTGTGTCCCTTGGCCGATTTATAGTGAAGGGGTGTTACCATATTATAGAAAACACATATCTTGTTATATAACCGTAACATTTGTTAACCGTTAACATGCATGCAATATCCGAATTACCAACTTCATTCTGATAGGAAGTTGAGGATTCACGCGAATAACCAACTGAGTCCACTGGTCGACGTAGAGTGCGGAATGACAACATTTGGTAGAACACATCTATGTTGTTAAATATCCTTTATATTTATTCTGGAAAAATGCTTTCTGTTTCAAGGGAAAATATGCAAAGTTCGAATAACCAACTACCTTCTGCTTGGTAGTTTGGGAAACACGCGAATAACCAACTGAGTTCCATGGTGGACGTAGAATGCGAGGTGATACCATTAAATAGAATTAATCTATCTTGTCATGTTGTTGTTGTGTGTGTGGTTTTTGGTGTGCATATTTTGACTTTTATTTGGTAATGTACGTGGATTGAAAGTGTTGTTTGCAATATCTAAATAACTTCCTTTGCTCACTCGAAAATATTTTACCTTTAATTTACATGAAATTCTTATAACTTTATGAAAATTAGCATGAGTCTAGAGGTTTGCTGCTTTAACATACCTTTTTTCACCTAATTTCCGCCGACAGTAATATTTTAACATGTTAAAATTAGATTATATAGACTTGTCTCAAACCATCATTTATCATTAAATTCCAGCTTTCTTATTGTCAATATTAGAACTGCGATTCTATTTAACGCAACATGGCTTTTTCTGTTATGGTTTTTAATTGCCAATGCCTGCCAACAGTCTTACTTATTTTCTCTTTACTACTCGTTTGTGTAAAGTCATTTATCATAACCCCTCGAGCAAGGACACGAATGTCAGCCATTGTAAAACACTTAAGACCTGACAGCTATGTTAACTATATAGGTGTGAAAATTCAATTGTATTACTCAATTTCAAGTTTATTAATGCGATAATGTATAAAGGAACTTCCAAAATAGTTATAAATCAGCTTCCGACTTCCCTTCGTGGCGTGCACGTCGCTCGGAAGGCATAGGTCACACCAGATGGGTGACCTAGTTAGGTCACTTAGCTGGTGTGACCTAACCAACGACGAAGGGTGTGGCCCTAAAGAGAGCTGCTGCTCCCGGAAGAGGTGCCTTTCCTCTATTGTCATTTGTTCATGAAGCGAGGAATTGGGTCCTAGAGAAGGTCCACGACGATTGACAGCTTGAAAAGACCTCCGTCGCGGCTCTACGACATCGACGACGTTGCAGGCGAATAAGTCCTCCGTTGCAGGCTCTACGTTACCAGCAATCGTAATAGAGGCCGACTAGTCTGGGACATATGGGAAACCGGCGCCCAGTATAAATAAAACCAAAAACAACAAAATTATAAATCAGAGCGGGCGCTGTGGTCCAGTGGTAACACTGTTTGACTACGAATCAAGGGGTTGCGAGTTCGATCCCCCGCTACTCCACTAAAATAACTAACACACTCTTTCGTATGAACAAAAAAAAAAAATTAAGACTACAGCACATAATAACTGTCACACACTATAAGCACACAGGGCACTTACTCCACACACTGACATACAGGACACTACGAAAACACTGACACACATGCCACTACTCACACACTGACATACAGGACAATACGAAAACACTGACATACAGGACAATACGAAACACTGACACACAGGACACTACTAAACCACACTGACAACAGGACGCTACTCACACACTGACATACTGGGCACTACTCACACACTGACATTACAGATCCACTGCAACACTTATAACACACATGCCACTACTCACACACTGACATACAGGACAATACGAAAACACTGACACACAGGGCACTGGTGGACTCACTGACAAACAGAACAATACTCACACACTGACAAACAGGACACTACTCACACACTGACACTACTCATACACCGACAAACATGACATTACTCACACACCGACAAACAGGACACTACTCACACACTGACAAACAGGCAAACAGGACAATACGAAAACACTGACATAAAGCACACTACGAAAACACTGACACACATGGCACTACTCACACACTGACAAACAGGACAATACAAAAACACTGACATACAGGACACTACGAAAACACTGACACACATGGTACTACTCACACACTGACAAACAGGACCACTACTCACACACTGACACTACTCACACACTGACATACAGGACACTACGAAAACACTGATACACGAGCACTACTCACACACACAGACAAACATGATACTTCTCATACACTGACAAACAGGACATTACTCACACATTACTCACACACTGACAAACAGGACACTACTCACACACCGACAACATGACATTACTCACACACTGACAAACAGGACACTACTCACATACCGACAAACAGGACACTACTCACACACCGACAAACAGGACACTACTCACACACCGACAAGCAGGACACTACTCACACACCAACAAACAGGACACTAATCACACACTGACAATCAGGACACTACTCACACACCGACAAACAGGACACTACTCACACACTGACAAACAGCACACTACTCACACACCTACATACAGGACATTACTCACACACCGACAAACAGAACACGTCTCACACACTGACAAACAGGACACTACTCACACACCGCCAAACAGGACACTACCCACACACTGACAAACAGGACACTGTCACACACTGACAAACAGGACACTACTCACACACTGACAAACAGGACACTACTCACACACTGACAAACAGGACACTACTCACACACTGACATACAGAACACTACGAAAACACTGACACACATCACACTAACCACACACTGTAAGACAAAGGTCATTACTGACACAGACGACACTACGAAAACACTGACATACAGGACACTAATCACACACGGTCTTACCACACAGGACACTTAAACTAGAAACACAGAATATAAGTCACACACTGGCACATAAAACATACGCACACAGATCACTACTCAAACACTGACCTAACACACAGGGCACTGAAACAAAACTCAAACACAGACATATAGACGATAGTTAAACAATGATCTCACACACACACTCTACAAACACTGATCCGACACATTAAACAATAATCACAGCACACTACGCACACAACGAACATGATTTACAGGAAACTACTCAAACACAGATCGTCAAAACACTACAAACATACAGACCTTACATACAGAACACTGACCTTTCACACAGCAAACATGAGTCACAGGACACAATACTTAAACACAGACTTTACACACAGAACACTGACCTTAGAAAAATAAAATCCCTAAAGAAAGCCCAACACGGAAAAATTGAAAATGTTGCAGGCCCGGTTTGATTGAGCCTGTTCATGGACGGTACTTGAAAGTGCAAGTTACCGTCCACGCCCCCTAACACCGGCTTAAGCAGAATTCAACATTTAAACACGAAAATAGTGAAATTTTGAAACATCCACATCATAGATGTGTTCATACGGCGGTTATCATGAAACCTTCAATGATACACAGTAGTGCCATTCCATAAAAAGTGGCGTATGGTCCCCAATTAAAAAATACGTGTGCCCTAAACGAGAAAATAATGGGCGGAACTAAATAAAATGGAATTCCGAAAGGGGATATTAGGTTATGAAGCCTGCATATCACAGATAAGAGAAGTCAAAAGACAATTTAAAAAACAGGCGACATATTCTAAGGGTGATTAGACAGTAGTCAAGTAGGAATACTGGAACCACCCAGGTTGAAAAAGGCCAAATAGAAGAAACTGAAAATACCACATAACATGTATACACAACAATTATGTGGTCCTGAACGATCTTCAAGGATCGAAAATATAACATGTTTGATTAAATGTACGGGGAGACTTTTTACGGCCGCCACACGACACAAATAACACTGATGTGACCATTTAATTACACACACAATACAATACTAACACACAGATTACTAGCAAGACACTGACCTCACACACAGGGCACTACTCTCACAGTAAACATGAATCACAGACCATGCACACTATGTTCGAACATATCATACAGAATAAAGGAGGGGACCTAGTTGATTTCGCGGGAATCCCCATTTACCTACCAGTAATTCGAACTTAGCATGTTTTCCCTCAAAAGAGAAAGTATTTTTTAGGAATAAATGTAATTTCTTACATGAGAAAAAGCTGTCAAGCTAGTTTACGTTATACTCAGGTGTCCGTCCGTACTTGAAATAACGCACGGAGGAGCATCTGAACTTTTCCTTCACCAGTACAGCTGGAAAGTTGCCATAATTATGAGATAAATAAATATGCTCCTAATTTACATGTCATTTATTGATGGTATTTATTTAAGAAGGCAGTCATAACTTATACCAACCGGGACAGGGGACACGTGCATGTTTAAGCAACGACATTATTTTTAAACATTTACTGTATTAAAAATTTATGAAATCATTCATTTCACATAAACCATTTATTTTTGAGGGGCAATGGTTTCGTCTTATAACATATATGTACTAAACAGTGTGCTCTGATAGTTTAAATTTAATCTACTAAGTATTTGTAACGTTCTGTAACTTAAACAAAACGTGCCAAGGTTTTTCATATGAATTGCATTGTCGATTAATTGGCAATCAATTAAAATGCTTCATCGATATATCGACGAATAAATTATTTAAAACTACAACGTTTTTAACTTATTATTACATATTTATGCTCTATTACTTATTACATGTATTACCAATGTTTTTCACGGTTGTGTTATCAAATGTCATTTATTAAAACAACCGTGAAATTTATTTTTTTCCAATGCTTCTGAAAAAGCTAGTGGACCTTCCCTTTTTCAAATGAAAGGAAAATTTATGAGATTCAGGTAGAAGAAGATAAACTATGATCATCCTTGAGGAAAATATTTTAAATCACAGAAATGCATTGAAATCTATGACATTTCTACCGAATATGTCTAATTTGAATAAAAGAATGAATAAATTATGTATAGGAAGCTGCGTTCCCTTTTACTGGATATATATATATGCTTGGAAAAACATATTATTTTCAAAGATGGCCTCAGGTCGAAGGTAACGTGTAACCAAGGCTGAAAAGCCTTTGACTCTATCTCAATCCATTGAGAAGTTGCAGCACTTTGAAATCGGTTTAAATGGAAAAAATCAAAGCAAACTAGTGATTTTTGGCAATTTTGTAACGTCTCCTCGTTGCCATGATAACATGAAATTTAAGATAGAGCTTTCTGTTACAACGGCTATGGTCCAGTCAACGTTTGTGCCAAGTTTGATAAGTATTGAAGCATCTTTTATAGATTCATAGCAATTCGAACTTGTAACAGGAGGTTTTTCACAAAATGCTCATGCAGTAATTAGTTAATTATATTGTATAAAAGAAATTTTCTGTTAAAAGGAAATACATAATTATTCGACGTAAAGCATTAATTATTCACCTGCTAACTAAACATTTACATAAATAAAAATAAACATTCTGCAAATGGAAACGTTTTTTTCCCAATTAAATCAAACATTTGCCAACCCATGTAAAAATATAAAAAAAAAACACTGATGCATATGAATTCTAATGGAGACATAGAAATACCGGCTCTTCACGCTATTACATTTTGAAATGTTTTATTAATATATCTAATTCTAATATAGCTATTGAAATTAATAATAAATTACAAATTTTAATGATCCATTTTGATAAATTCGTTTTAATAGACTATTTCTATACATAGCATTTTATGTATTCATACAATGATCATGCAATTTAATCATTTCCCGTTAAAACTAATGAGGCTGACAGAACACTTTATTTTTTATGCATGGGATGTGATGCAATTGATTTTTAAAAACTGATGTACATAAAATTCAACTTTAAAAGACACTCCCATGTTTTTTAAGCTGTAGTTGTTTTCATAGCCAGTGACTCTCGAACATAGCAAATCCAGGGCCTAAAGAATTTTTTTTTCGAATCTGATCACATTTGACAAATATGGTGATATTTGTTTTTTTTTGTTGTTGTTGTTTTTTTTTTTGACAGCGCGTCGTGTAAGTGATTCGCCTAATAAGCATATTTATTAAACTAGTGTATTACTGACCCATTTAATACGAAAAATAATGAATGGGTTTACAACACCCCTGCATCGTGGATCATGTTATAAAATGTAATATAATTTAATCTAATGGTAAACATTCCCGACTGCCTTATTGTCAGTATGCCAGAACCCTTTAACATTTTCTTGAAATAACCCTACCATTAACCAATTTCAATTGCCTATTTTATTTCACGATAATAACTATTTATTCGGTTTAAAAACATGCTCAAGTACATGCTTATTTTACTTTGGAATTTGGAAATTTTTATTCCTATTGGAAAATTAAAAACTAAAACAAAATCAGGCTGAAGACGAAAAAATTTTTATTTAACGAATACATTTACATATGTCTCTCGTTATACATCAAAACATTCCAAACAATTTGCTGCGGTTGGCTAGGAAAAATATATCATTTTTGAGGGCATTTTTTGTAGAATAATTTATGGTTCGAATTCAAATGAGTATGAATATAATCACGAAAGCCGTTTAATATTATTACAAAGCATTTGCACGACAGACCGTGCATTATTGTAGTTTTACTACAATGTAAGAAACATTAATATCTGTTTCTAACATGCTAATAAAAAGGGAAATTAAAAAACATATGTTGAATTATATTTTGTTGAGAAGTAATTTTCCTGACCTCATTTGACAGTTTATTGACCTTAAATCTGACATCATATGACATGTAAGTACTCCCTTTTTATGTCGTGCATATATCGTAATTGCTCTATCTACTTGATTGTGAAATGGTGTGTAGAATATTTAATATAACATACAAATACGTTTCTTCTGGTGAAACAATCTGGAGTATTAACTATAGACACTTACTATTCTGTACAATTCGCATGATCCCTGATCTCCATTAACAAGTTGTTCCAGTCTGTAATCTTCAACTATTTGTGCTTAATTTCATTGCTGCTCTCGAGGGACCTTCCATTTCAAGAATTCAGCAAATATAAGGTCTTGTAAAGAAACTGTTAAAGTTGTCCAATGCTTCATAATTTATATCAGTGACTCAATAGAACCAAATGTGCGATTTTCAACTATTTGCCTTTGTTTTCACTGCTTTTGGTGGATCATCCTTTTCCAGCACTTTAAAAACAAACTTTTCAATCTCGTTATGCAACCATGTTATTATATGACGTCAAATATGACGTGAACTTTATTCTCATTGCCAATTGGTGACATTTAGGATCTTTGAACTCGGCACAATGGATTTTTTTATATCCATAACCGTTCCTTTAAATATGCGTCTGAGATTAAAATATCTATTTTATTAAACAATATCAATAATTATTTCGGTTTGCAAAGGTTAAGCATTTAAGGAAATCGAAAAATAAATGAAATGCATTTTACATTAATATCTGTGGACTTATATCACATAATTATTTGTTCTAAATGATAAAATCAAATAGTTAATGATAAAATAAAATAGTTAAGTTATTTCAATCATTATTTCCTTTTTCTTATGTTAAAGTGTTTTTTTACCGTTATACCATATATTTATAATATAATATTGTATATAATTATAATGTACTCTTCGTTGTCCTTAATTGGGAAATGGCCAAAAAATTGCGAATGATATTGTCCCTTTATAATAAAATATGCATTCACTATGAAATAATGTTTGTTTTCTGATTATGAAATGATACTTTTGTCCTATATGAAAACAGCAGCAACAATAATAATAATAATTATTATTATAATAATAATAATAAAAATAATAATAAAATTGCATTTAATATCATTTACTGTACAGTATTGCATGCTTTAAAACAGCAAACATTCCTGGTCTTTACTTATATATAAGTATTATTAAAATAGATGGTCAAGTGTTGTGGATACAGGCGGATTTATGAATTTGCTGTATAATAAGATGACATATTGTAAACAAGACCCAATTGTGCAGCATATGAATAATATAATAGAGCAATGGTAGTAATGTCCAGTCTATATCTTTTCCATTCCATTCGGAATTTACGGGTTTCTCTTTATGGGTATACATGCTCTATATGATAAGTATGATCAAAGCTTTTGTTATATGGAACGCACAGGAGCGTAATGAATTCTGATAATAGCGTATATTATACATACTTTCTAATAAAAATTAAATTAAAAAATAAGCAACTGATGTGCAGTCAGAGGCACGTGTTTAAGTCTTGAGCAAAGAAGCAGTTAGTATTTATACTAGATCTACACTAGATCTACACATTTGCTTTGTTAATTACAATATACTTAATTTATATTCACATTTCAGTATGCAAATCGGTAAATCAGTATGCAATCACCATACATGGGATTAGTAGTAGTATTTAGATATAAACATGTGATCAAGATAATATACTTTTAGCGGATATTCCCCTCCATATCTAAAAACATGATATTGTGCATGAATACGAGCAGAACTGTGTTTTTTTATTCTTCTTAGTTGAACGGCGTGCGAACAACAACTTCGCAAAGTTGCATGAAATTATCGTTTGTGTGTTGGACTTTTAGAAACTTTCCGTAAATCGCATTTTCACAAACCATCGTTAACTTAAATGGCGCTTTGCTGACTTCAGGACCAAAGTATGTTCCGCAGACTGTTCCTACGTCATTAATGACGTCATTACGGGTTGTAGCCACACTGACTGTAAAACCAGTGTTTCGGTAATCTATAATAAAGATACATTATCGTACATTTTACAGTTATATTCTGTAACTTGTATACAGCGTAATCATTCTACTTTCTACAAGATATAAGGTATGCAACAAGTTGCCATTATTCTTTTCCTCAAAAGATCTACAGTATATTAATTATTCAGGAATTTATTGAACAAAAGACAAACCAGTCAAGTCAAATATTTTGAGCAAATGCGATGATTTGTAGATAACATGTTAGGTCAATTACATTTTTCACTACAAATATTATAAAGGAACATTATGCCTCAGAAAGGAACAACCGCCTCCGTGGTCGAGGTGTTAGAGTCGATGACTTTTACTCCAGTTTCCTCTCTGGCGTGGGTTCGATCCCCGGGATATGCTTTGGTAGTTTAGCGCGGAGGAAGTTAGTCCAGTACTGGTGTAACTCTCCAGAAACTACCCGCCTATATGACTGAATTACTGTCGGGAAAAGGCGTTAAAACGTAAAATGAAACAAGATGTCGCGAGGATCGCGAAATTATATGACATGCTTTCCAAAAATGTGTAATTTTCTCCGGTGACCTCATAATTTTGTTTTACTAAATGTTATGCTCCGGCATAACCTTAACACATTATTGTAGATATGTTCTCCGGCGGAGTACTTTGTTATAATCCGGCGGAGTATTTTGTTATAAATCATGTTTCTTGACTTTCTCGTGATATTTGTGTTTTGGCGGGAATTATTTCATTGGTATATAAGTAAAATTTCAGTGTCACGAGTCAGAGCTTCTAAGGATTTCAAGTTATTATGGATAGTATTTAGGTTCAAAATTCATGTATATTGTGTTCTTTCGGCTTTAAAATTATACAGTGTTAGCGAAATAAAAGTATGGAAATTATACTTCAGTGTTTGTGCTCTCTATTAAAGTCTTTCTTGTGACTGGAGTAAAAAAAGTGTAATTAAAGTATACTCCACCACATAGAAATTTGGCGCCGGAACCCGGGAAAGCAAAAACTAGGATTTTCTTGGCGTGATTAAAAGTGAAGAAGGAAAAGTATGTGTTGTGTTTCTGTGAACAGGAATTAATTATTGTGAATAGATAAATAATATTCACGTTACAAATAGGAGCTTGTGAAAGTAAATAGTATGTGTTACAATTTGCAAATTTATGGAGATGAATGAATTTGTATTGTGTTTAAAGTGATTAAAGTTAAAAGTGGGACAGAGTTTGATATTATGTATTAGTGAATGTGTTTTAAGCAATACGAGTTGATTTAAAATATTTTGAAAAGTGTTGGACTTACAGTGCATTTACAAAAATGGAAAAAGCAAACGTAAACATAAAGTTTATAAAGGGTGTGCGTACACGGTATATTAATGTACTTGATAAAGAGATTAAAATTGGTTTGGACTTATTGGATTCAGTTGAGGATGAATTGCCAGAAGAGTATAAAAACTTACAAAAAAAGGTTAGTGAATGTAGATATAAAATAAATATTTATGTCGAAAAGTTGAGTGCTCAGTCAGAAAAATTAGCTTATGCTTTGGGGGACTCAGATGACGATACCTCTCAAACAATTATCGAAGATGATTCTGTTTTGACTGAAAGTGCTTTGTCATTATCGCATAAGCTACAGTTGTGTGAAGATGATCTAAAGGCATTAATAAAGCGTAGAGAAACTGGAGATTCTGTCAGTGATAGTGCAGTTCAAAGGATGTGTGATTTGCAGATAGAAATGCAACGAGACTTTTTCGTTCAACAACAGGAAAAAAGTGATCGACAGTTTGAAATTCAAACAAAACTAATGGATAAGCAAATATCACAAAGAAAAGAAACATCAGTCAAACTTCCAAAGTTAGACATAGCATCGTTCAATGGAAATCGCTTACTTTGGATTGAGTTCTGGGACTCCTTTGAAAGTGCCGTTCATAAGAATGAAAGGTTATCTCCAATAGATAAGTTCAATTACCTGAAGGGAAAGATTACTGGCGAAGCGAGAAGTGCGATTGCGGGATTGACTCTTTCAAACGAAAATTATCAGGTTGCCATTAAAATACTTAGAGAGCGATTTGGAGACAAACAAGAAATAATTGATCTCCACTATAAACAGCTTCTAAATTTAATACCAGCTAGACATAATACAGAGAGTTTAAGATATTTCATGGACAGAATTGAAAAGCATCTCCGCAGCTGATATGTATTTACTTCTTTAGAAATGGCAAACATGAGTGTTTGACTTTTAGATAATTGTTTTATCTAGTATGTTAAATGAGTTTGCTGTTAATTTTCTAAATTTTCATTTTTGCGTCGAATAATGTTACCAATACAAATCCTTTGTAAAAAAGTGGTTTGTTTAACCTTTTTTTTCTCAATTATATATTTTTCTTAAATGCATGCAAGGGACGATAATTCCCTGACAAAATACAGCGACAATATAGCATACATTCATAAAATTACGCACAAATTGACATAATATCAAAGTAACACCGCCTGTGAAAAAATAATGCAACAAAGCTAGGCTACTAACTCTATCTCTGGATAGGACCTTTAGAACCCTCACATGGTGTTACCATTTTCCATGAGCAAATATATTATGAAATTCTTTTTAAACCACGATTCGCATGAATGTCGTAATTTAAAATGTAAAGTTCCATACCCCTACATGTATTCAAATTTTATAATCAGTAATGGCTATGGTTCATAGCCTGTGAAATTGTTAATCGTTTTCGACCGTTCCTATACAATTACAGATTCCGACAAATGTATATATCTATATATGTATTTGGCCGTTTTGCTAACGAATCAATAGATAATAAATTGTAACGTTAAAAATAATAATAAATATATTCACACGAATTTAGACTGTAGAGAAATAAGTCTACTTCTTTAACGAGACCTGCTGTACCAAATTCCACTGCCCAGTATGAATTACCCACTTCCTGGTAGAAACAGGAAGTGGTGATAGTGGCATAGCTTGTCGTCACGCCATCTATTGCCTTTTCTGCACTCGTACCACCGGACAAGGATTGCCACGCCACTGCACTGTCCAGAAGGTTGACATCTACAATTGAATGATTGATCGGCTTATTGATTGATTGATTAATTGATTGATTAATTAAATGATTAATTAATTGATTAATTGAATTAGTTGAATTAGATTTACAATGAGATACCATGGCACATTCATAAAACGTACACAAAACAGAAACAATACATCTAAATTTATGTATACTATATCAAATAATTGATATCAAGATAAACATAACCGCAAAATATGAATTTATAAACGGGCGAAGTGCATAATTCTCATTTTGGATCAGTAAATTCATAAATACTCATCAAATTCATTCTATTCAAAATTATTGAATTTGTCTGATTCAAATACAATTTAATTCAATGAGTTTCATCTCATTTATCACATTATTGAAATTAACTGATTCAGATACAGTTTAATCTAATATTTTTATCTTATTTATTGAAAATGACTGATAAAAGGAACTCCACTGAGGTATAAAAAGCCTAAAACATAAAATTTAAATTTCGTACTTAGAACAGATTGGGCACATAAAACAGAAAGATATTCAAAAGATAAATAAGAAATATACTTTAAAATTAATTGGAAATTGTATTGTTGTGCCTCTCTAAACTCAGTTTCGATGAAAAGCGTTGTGTAGGGTCATTTTTCACAAGTAAAATAATTAATTTTTTAAAAAAAAGGAGTCGACAAATGATCTGAAACTTTGCACACAAATTATTGGTACATGCCTACATCAAATGGAACATTAATTTCGAAAAATATTGCAAGTCCCGTCTTGTCACAAAACCTTAGTGGATTCTCTTTAAGATACAATTTGATCTAATTTTTTGAAATTATCTGATTCGGATACAGTTTTCTCCAATAAAATTCACCTTAATTATTGAAATTGTCTCCATGCAGATACATTTTAATCAAATAACATTTATCTCAATTTTTGAAATTATCTGATTCAAATACAGTTTAGTCCAATAATTTTCATCAAAATTTGTTTGAACAGCCACTTCACAGTCTAATTATTACATCTTATTTTTTATTAATGTCTTTCAATATACCCGGTAGTTGATCGATTGATTAATTCAAATAGCTTGACCAAAGATAGAAAACAACTTATTTGTGTATTATACATGTTTCTAATGGCATGTACAGAAAAAGCAATGGATGTTATTTATCATCACTAGAACTATTCATTAAATCACAAAAAGATTTATATTCACATCTACCGTTTTATCAGCTTAGTAAATATTGTTAAAAAAACATGAAATTCATCTTCAGTAAAGTTAATATAACAATACTGACAATAACGCTATTCACTTGGAAAACCAAGATGACAACCAATTTCAATTAAAACATGACTTGAATAACGAAATTTTGCAAATAAAATGCTTTTCTAACTGAACATTATAGTTTTGATAGACAAATATCTCTCGGCGATTAACATAGTTTGCACGCGTTTGTTTAAAATAATACAAAACTGCATTGATATCAATATCACCTATAGTTTGGTTTAACCAAACAAATTCAAAACCATATCTGTATAACAAATTTCTCAGGGCAATTAATCTCTCATAAGCAGACTAGCTGTTTTAACATTAAATAAAATTTTCATGGAGGCATAGATAAAACTTTAGTCTCAGTTATGAAAAGAAATCATCAATTATTTTGACATTGGTCCTGTTTTTTTCCTATAACAAAAACGGACATTGTCCTAAGTAATATTTCTTTATGAACACGTGGCAATATCCTAATATTTCTTACATGATAAACGCTTTAATATTGACCTATTTTTTTTCTTTTTAGGTTGCTAGGCATAAATCAAAATTCACAATAAACAATTACCTTTTCCCGAAAAAAAATACCAATAACAGTAATAGTGTTCAATATTCAAGTTTAATTTTTTTAATCTGACTAGACCAATCTGGTTAAAACCAGTCCCTAAAACGTTCATCTTTAGAAAAAAAATAGATGTAACTTTAGTCAGATTGTGACTGGACTGGAAATACTTTTCCAGACTTTTTACCATTTGTTGTAGATCTATACCAATAACTTGTATGTATAAATTCAGATCATTTGCTCACTCCGTTTTTTGTTAAAAAAATCATTTAACCGTGAAATAAGACCAATAATTGAAAAGTATACTCAAATCGAACTAAGAATCGCACCAAATATCGATTTTCAATTTAATTCTGAGCATACTTTTTTAGTATGATTTTCATATTTTTTTCCGTTTGGCGGCCGTAAGATTTCAAATTTTCCGATTTTAGGCTTTTTGACCCCTTCAGTTGAGTTTTTTTTTAAGCGCCAGTACATCAACTTGATCAATTAATAAAAATCAATATAAATAATAAAAGATAGAATAAAAATAATAAAAATTTACATCAGCTATTACCAGAATATTATTTATGTAGTAAAAAAGCTTCCGAAAACAAACAAACAAACACCGACTTACTTGGGAAGCGTCGAAAGTACACTTTCCAGCCGGCCTCGGGTACACCGGTTCTTCTCCCGCTCAGAGGATAATAATCAGTCAGTTGACACTTTTCGTTTTCTTTATGGAAATTTACCGAATAACACTCAGTTGTTGCGTTACAGAGGATGAGGCATGTATGTGCCGAAGTTGTATCAAAACTCGCAATGGTAGTTTCGAATTTTTCATCTTCAGAGAACAATTCGAAGAAGAGTGAGCAATTCAATCCGATTATTACCGCATAAAAATAAAAACAAATGTGTATAACGAAAAATGATTTCTTCATATTTTTTTCGCCTTAAACCTCAAAGAAATTATATTATCTTTTATGAGGTCCTTCTAGTCAAATACGTGCAAGAAAAGTGATGATTAAATTTTGTGTGTTTGGGTTTGTTTACCCTCGCCACAGATGATTAAAACTGTACGGCTCGTAAATTATTTGTCAAATGATACACGAAGCATATCGCGAGGTGTCACAAATATATCAATAATTGTGACGATATATTACCAAAGCGCTCATTGAATAAAGAATTATAGTACACGGTTCCTCGGAATTTTCCACTACCTTACTTTCAACCATTACAATTCAGAGCATGCAAACATACAATAATGAGTTTGATGTTAAATTTTGTCAACGGTAACTCGAAGCGAAAAATGATAAATTTTACAAAAGATTTTAAAGATTACAATTAAAGGTCTTCAACATTAATATTTTTTTTACCATAGTTAATCTACGTTCGTGTTTTAATTGTTTATTGTAACCTTGTGTAAAACAACTTAATATTGGAATCAAGTATAGCGAAGGTCTAAAAAAAATCACAACAACAACAATGATAAAATTATGGAGAAACATTTGAGAGCTTTATTACGAGGGAAATGTATTCATCATCTTTCTCAGTAGTGACAATCTCAACAAACCGATTTTCAGGTTTGAGCATTCACATTCTAACGCTAACAACAATGCGCGTGCTAACGTATTAAGTTAAAATTTGAAGACCCCTGAAGTGCACAAATAGTTGAAAATCTTACACATGGTTTTATTGATATGGTATTAAGTTCAAATATCTCGTAAAATCTCAGACTCGGCATCTGGCACTACTATTTCTAAATACTATTATAAATACTACAACATCTACAGTAAAATAGTTTGTCAGAGACACACATTTTGGTTATAACTGAGATTTGTTGCTCTAGATTGATTATATTTATAGTGATGTCTTCACTTGGGAATAACTGGTAATGTTAATGAGATTATTGTTATACAGTTTGGCTCCGCAGAGTTTTTTCTGTGTTCATCTTTTCCGTAGTTCACTATGATCTACTTCAATGGCCGAAATTTACATTCAAATGAGTCCATTAAAATAAGCGGCACATTGGTTTATTTATTATAGTTAAAACGCTCATATATACACTCTCCTCTTGGCACCTTTTTATTTTACATAGCACTGCAAAAAGGCGCTGTCCTTCTGGTACCTTGGTATGAAACGAGGAAGAGTAACCATTAACGATTCGCTTAAATGTCTGCATATTCATAACCGAAATCAACTCATAAAATCACAATTAACCCATTACCCGATATACACGCCTTTTAACGCCCCCCCCCCCCTTTGTTGTCACAACTGGTGAAAAATGCCTTATTTAGGCCCCCAACACTTGTTTTTTTTTAAAATGTTGTTTAAAAAAGTGGCCACTTTTCGGCGCCGCGATAGTCCCCCTCATCTCCAAGAAAATTTTGGACACGGGCATGAGAGGCTAAAAATGACGCCAGGTCGATCATAATGTAACGTGTAACCAATGATTAAAAGCCTTTGACTCTATCTCAATCTATTGAAAAGTTGCAGCACTTTGAAAACAATAATGCTGGAAAAAATCAACGCAAAATATGATTTTTGGCAATTTTGAGATTTCTCCTCGTATCCATGGTAACAGGAAATTTAAGTCTGAGCATGTTAATTGTTACAAAGTGAATGGTCCAGTCAATATTTGTGCCAAGTTTGATCAGTATTGAAGCAGTTTTTATAGTTTTATAGCAACTTGAACTTGTAACGGGCGACTTTTCAATGAAAACAGCCATTTTTCACAATACAGTATGCTCATGCAGTAATGGGTTATATTAATTAAGCGTTTTAATATTTAAATTATTTATTTTATTATAATTTATTACAATAGGTTAAGATTTCAACGTCTGAAGTCGGGCTTGAAGGCTTTGGTCACTGGCAGCATTAAAGTACTATTTATTTACATGTGTAGATTCTTTTGGAATGTAAGGCGGTAGACCCGTTCTGTGTACTCGAAGTATGACGGAAAGCGCCGAGAAGATGCGATTCTTTGTGTTACTTGTGGCTATTGTTCTTTGAGTTCATTTTCCGATAAAAATACTCTTCAAATAAAAGATAAACCCGGAAGTGAAACTTCCAAATAAGAAATAAATATGATTTGCAAATTAATGTAAAAGAATATGGATAAGAAATATAAAAGCGACCCTTATGATACAAGCCAAAGAAACCCACAAAGACTAAGACAAACAACTGCAAGTATGGATTCCATAAGTAACTCCGTTTCAGAACAATCAGCCTCATTTCCCATGAACGACTCGTCGAGTGAAAAAGATACTGGATCGCCTTCAAAGTCGCTTTGCTCCTCTGCTTCCTCGTCATCAGAAAATGTTCAAGCACACGAAATGAGAGTAAGTTGTCCAAATCTGGTGAGCTTTTGTACAATATTCCTCAAAAACCACACAGACGCTTGGGGGTCAGTAGCCTAATTAATTTGGCGTGAACGGTTTGACCCATTTTACAGACTTTTTTTTCTTACTGTCAAACCGTTACGCCTAATTTTAACTGTCATTTTTACGCACGGAAAATCTACCGGTAACACTATCGATAATTTGGACTGATTTTTACTGCTTAAACCTGAAAGTAACTTCAATTACCTCTAAAGATCAATAGAATATAAATTTTAGTACTAACTTCTCCTAGAAAAAATATTAGATTGTACCTGCCTTAACGCATACATGCGATTTATTTCAAATTTGTACTGTCTACTCTATCTTCGGCGGACATGTTATGACGTCATCGTAAAAAATCGATTCCGTGAAAGCTGGTAGTAGCTACCAGTGTGTCTAGCAGGTAAGTGTGGGTTACGCATGAAGATTAAATTAAACAAAATATCGGGGGAAAATAAATCTATTCATTATTTTTTAATAAATGTGTGCATTATTAAATACTATTGAAAAGTATCATTGTATTTAACCTAAAATGTAATGGTCGCAAATAGGCTCCGTACAAGTACTGTTGTTTAATATTTTTTAAACATTTTAATACATGTACTCAACATTTATCAATTGGTGGTTTGCCTTCTTGTTTACTGCTAATGACTGCCAAATGTCACTCTCGGATAAAATACTGACTTCATTTATACATGCATATTTATATGACAATTAAGAACGTAAAAGAAATATTGAAGGAAACTAATTGCAATGACAGATGCGATTTTAACCTGAAACCCGTAGATTTTGGTTCCTTCCCTGGCAGGCTTCCCAAGACCCTTAGTGACCCAAGTGATCTTTTACTTGCCAATAGCACCACATCTACATCGTCAATAAAGGATCCCCCAATTCATGGGCCATCATATACTAATTGACACCTACCACAAGGCAATTTACCCCAAATCGATTTCCCACATGGTACCAGACATTACATCATTTTACCATGATTACGATTTGATCTGTGCTGCAGCAACTTACACCGGGATAGATCCTTCAACCATCCCGCCAAATTACCTTGTGGCTCCCAAAACCAATAAACCACCTTATATGAGTGATCAGTCTATGGTATGCAATCAGCTAAACTACCAGATAAATTAAATTACCCCATGGTAGTTCTTCTCTGATTAACCACCAGATAAATTTAATTACCCCATGGCGGTTCCTCTCTGCAGCTACCCTCACCCCCACCAGTACTAACTGGTAAGAGGCAGGCTTTTATTCCCTAAGACTTATTCCAACTACAAGGCATACCCTCAACTCAAGTTGATTTCCTACATGGCATTTTGGATCCAAACACCATGATTACAACCTGATTTTCCCCAGATCGATATCCTACATTTTATTCTATCCAATTCCCCTCCCCCCTTTGGGATTAGAAGAACCACACATTAAAATAAACATGATATCGACCCAACCTTGTAGTCTAAACACCTAAAAGCATTTTATAAACGTTTAGGGCTACCCTTTGACCTAAGCTTAATCAACTGTGAAAGCCTTCTCAAACTTATCTTCAAGTTCCTCAATAGCCTCTATCACAGTTTCCCAAGTCACGGAAGAGTTATCTTCATCAGAATGAACTTCATAACTATCAGTACTGACTGAAGAAACCCTCTTTCCTTCACAACTTTCACTGCGTTTGCTCCTACCAAAAATGGCCTCATGGCTCTGTTGGTACTTACGGACCAATAATTTGGCTTGTTCGACCGTGGATGGATCATGCATGTAAACATGGAACCCAGCTTGTTGGTCTAATAAACCATGGCAAAACCTACTTATAACCTGACTTGTTATAAATTGGGCACACACCCCCTGAAAGGCTTTATCTGCTAAGGCACGTAACCTATCTGCAAAATCATCAAGAGATTCGCCCGGGTTTTGAAAAACTTAAAATTGCCCTTGAGCTGCCTCTGGTGAGATTTGGTCACCAAACCCAGCCTCCAGTTTATGGTAAAGAAGCATACAATTGCACTTCACCACTTTATGTAAAATGACATAATAATCTAAAGCTTTGCCCTCTAACGTCCAGCACAACGCACACAGTTTATCCTCATTTGACCACTGGCACATCTCAGCATATCTGGAAAACTTAAAAATGAAAGCTTCCCAACTGCCATTGCCATCAAATGTTAAATTCGTGGGCATTTTATCTAACAATAGTCTTGACCTGGCTGTAACAGGATAAACTGGTTCCCATCCCCCATGAGATAATGGCTCAAACTCATTATCATCCAATGAGGTGGTCCCCTGTTCTTTCCATAGAGAATGCTCAGACCCAAAATCAGCAGGAATAGCCTGGGGAACCCTAGGTGTGGTAAACATATGCCCATTATACCCCATGCTATCCCCACCCATCACAGGTCTACCTTCTCTACGCCCAAATACTGAAGTGCTTTTCACCCTTGCTGACCCTCTGGCCACATCAGGCTTTACTGCCCCAGGCTTTAGTTCCGAAAAGTCTAAAAATGACTGATCCAAGGACCTAAATGACTTATCCAAGGACCCTTCCCCTTTAGAACCTCAGTACGATGCTCTAAAGCCTCCTGTTTCCTAGGGAATTTTTCCAAAACCTCATTTGGTGAAAAATCTATCATATCTAATTCCTCACCCGTAAACTTTTTACGACATATTGCAGACAATATGTCGCCTGTGATATCACCGCCAGCCCCCCTTATAGATAGGAGAATAGCAGCAACCTTCTTACTAACCCCCGGAATTTTAAATTTTCGGTCAGACACTTTAACTCAGAGTTATGGCCCTTGATTAGTTATGTAGTATGCATATAGAGTAAAAATCGTTTCCGGAGTAGTTCTCTGCAACTACTGGCTGGAATTCAACTAAACTTTATGGGAATCATCAATATCAGGAGGAGATGCGCATATTGTCGGCTTGTTCCAGTCAGACACTTTAACTCAGAGTTTTGGCCCTTGATTAGTTATGTAGTATGCATATAGAGTAAAATTTGTTTCCGCACTACTTCTCTGCAACTACTGGCTGGAATTCAACAAAACTTTATGGGAATCATCAATACCAAGAGGAGATGCGCATATCGTCCGCTTGTTCGGGTCAGACACTTTAACTCAGAGTTATGGCCCTTGATCAGTTATGCAGTATGCATATGGAGTAAAAATCGGTTCCGCGCTACTTCTCTGCAACTATTTGCTGGAATTCAACGAAACTTTATGGGAACCTTTAATACCAAGAGGAGATGCGCATATCGTCGGCTTGTTCTGGTTAGACACTTTAACTCAGAGTTATGGCCCTTGATTAGTTATGCAGTATCCATATAGAAAAATATTTGTTTCCTCGCTACTTCTCTGCTACTACTGGCTGGAATTCAATGAAACTTTATGGGATACTAAGAGGAGATGTGCATAATAAAATGTTTTTTAAACGAGCGTTTGCAGACAGCTAATACGTGGGACATGAGGATATAATGCTCGAGTAGATATCTAGTCGAAAGCATGTACACCGTTTGGATACCGGCTTGACAAGCGCTCCACGCAGAGCCGGGTTCAGGTCTCGTATTGGTTGGACAGAACGCAAAATTTACTTTCGGTTTTAATTAAATGTTGATTTTCATATTACAATGAGATGTATAAATGTTTATTCTGATTGCATCTAGGAGATAATTCTAATCTATTGATTTACATCGGAAAAGTCACGGTAAGGTTCATTTAATAATGATTTATAAAGGTTTTATTATACAAGGGTTATCGTGTTTACATTTTGGAGTCTGCAATCTTTACTTTATTGAGACTTGATGGTATACGGTATTTTTACATATATGTAAAAATTGTTTGAAAATACCCTATGGTCTCACTTACTAACTTAGGTAAAGAGTCGAGTCGGCCCTATACTAACTTGGCCCACTTTTAAGAAAACTTAGTGTGAAAGTAGGCAAAGCTTATGAACAGGGAAGTCAAATAAAAATAATTCATTTTATATTTTTTTGTTTGAAAGTGTCATTCAGTATTTTATGCAGCACTTCCAGTTTGACTAGTCCCCAGCGCACTTCATCTTAGATTGGAACATAATAGGATAGGGAACCATTTTCAAGCAGAACAGCTCTGCTTTTATTGTTAACTTGTAAATTGAAAAGTTGCCATTGGGCCATTATCGGAACAATTGTCGTTTATCATTGTGTCATGGCACTCAACATGAAATGATACTGAAAAATTTCACTGATAGGTATGGATAGGTATGGAATTCTATATATATTTAAAGTTCGTGTTTGTGTGGCTTGTCTGTTTATTATATATATTTTTCTTTTTTTTTTAAATTTAATTTCCTTTAAAATATACACATGTAGTCTATAGTCGTCAGCCGAGCAACCCAAAGCCTGGGACAGCTTTGTCTGATTACTTTCATGTTATCAAGGCAAGCTGTATAAAATGAAAAGTAAGAGATATCAGGTAAATTATTATATAATACCACATTTTTCTTCTACAGAATCAAAGTTTATTTAGAAGAAATGTGTTACGTTTTTTCTTGCAGATTCGTTAAAAATCAATATAATGGAAATATGTTTCCTTTTGATGCTTTTTGTTTGTAAAGTAATCTTCAATAAAATATGAAATAAAGGCAGGGCTCTCGTTAGCATTTTGAGACTGGGGCCAGGGTTCATGCAGGGGGGGAATTTTGCATGATTTTCAAATATTTTTCATTCAAGGGGGAATTTTTTTTTTTCAGTAAGACTTGAAATTATGCGACATTTAGGAATGCTAAATACTGTCCAGAACGTCTTATTTATATATACATACTAATTTCCGATTGCTGTTCGCGGAATACATACTAATTTCTGGTTGCCGTTCGCAGAATATATATTCGCCAATCAGCGTTTTCTATGCCAGTTAAATATTAATTTCAAGGGGGATTTTTTTTGGTTTTAGGGGGAAAAAAACATACTTTTTTGGTGGGGGAATGGGGCCGATATTCGGCCCCAAATTTTACCAAACGAGAGCCCTGAAAGGCATATTTACTTATTATCATAAGCATCTAATTAATTGTGAATGACATCATTAACTCATTAGAGATGACAAATACAAATATATTGGTCAAAAATGCTACCTGCGCAGAGTTGGAATAGGGCAGAGCTGACTCAGGGGTCTGAGTACATTTAAGGCCCGAGCTGACCCTGATTCCTCAGTAAAAAGTGTCCGGAAGCAGAAGTTCACTTGCTCAAAAACCATCTTATATCGATTCTGAGGAAAGTGGAGCATGCTGACCACAAACAGGTTTTTTTGTTAAATTTCATTAATTATGCCCCCACTTCGAAGAAGAGGGGGTATATTGCTTTGCACTTGTCGGTCCGTCCCGTCCATCGGTCCGTAGTCCAAATGGTTTCCAAGTGATAACTAAAGAACCCTTAGGCCTAGGAACTTCAAACTTGGTATGGTGATTGGTCATGACCAGTAGATGACTCCTATTGATTTTGGGGTCAAGGGGTCAAAGGTCAAGGTCACATTGACCTCTTGGGTAAAAACGGTTTCCGATCAATAACTAAAGAACCCTTAGGCCTAGGAACTTCAAACTTGGTATGGTGATTGGTCATAATCAGTAGATGACCCCTATTGATTTTGGGGTCAAGGGGTCAAAGGTCAAGGTCACATTGACCTCTTGGGTAAAAACAATTTCCGATCAATAACTAAAGAACCCTTAGGCCTAGGAACTTCAAACTTGGTATGGTGATTGGTCATGATCAGTAGATGACCCCTATTGATTTTTGGGCAAGAGGTCAAAGGCCAAGGTCACATTGACCTTGTAAGTAAAAACGGCTTCTGATCAATAACTAAAGAATGCTTAGGCCTAGAAACTTCAAACTTTGTATGATGATTGGTCATGACCAGCAGATGACTCCTATTGAGTTTTGGGTCAAGGTGCCAAAGGTCAAGGTCACATTGACCTTGTAAGTAAAAACGGTTTCTGATCAATAACTAAAGAACGCTTAGGCCTAGGAACTTCAAACTTGGTATGGTGATTGGTCATGACCAGCAGATGACCTCTATTGATTTTGGGATCAAGGGGTCAAAGGTCAAGGTCACATTGACCTTGTAAGTAAAAACGGTTTCTGATCAATAACTAAAGAACGCTTAGGCCTAGAAACTTCAAACTTTGTATGATGATTGGTCATTGCCAGCAGATGACCCCTATTGATTTTGGGGTCAAAGGTCAAGGTCACATTGACCTTGTAGGTAAAAACGGTTTCCGATCAATAACTAAAGAACGCTTAGGCCTAGGAACTTCAAACTTGGTATGATGATTGGTCATGACCAGTAGATGACCCCTATTGATTTTGGGGTCAAGGGGTCAATGTCATATTGACCTTGTACTTAATGACGGTTTCTGACCAATAACTCAACAACTCAAGTTGCCTTGGTTGATATTTTTATATTAAACTAAAAATGCTTTTGGTATACACATTTGAAGGTCTTATGTAATATAACAACTTGGCTGTCATTAATGAGGCCTACATGATTCATAAAATTTATGCATATATTATTTGGTAAGATTTGTAATAACTTAAATTGCTGCACACAACCTATGGGGTCACAATAATTATTACCTTGTGACTAGTCATGACCAGTAGATACTAGATAACCCTTATTAATTGTTTGTTCACTGGGTCAGAAGTCATGCATAATAACCTGATCACATGACTAATTGGCTGTCGATAGGGGGCATACATGTTTTACAAACATATCTTGTTATTCATTTATCCATTAGATGGGGGTAAAAAAGAATGAACATTTTTAATCTGTATACATTTAGTGAAGGAAAACATGAAACAAAGCTGAAGCTGCTGAGCACCTGATGTTTTGGGGTATACATGTACATGTGTAAAACACACACTTAAATTTTGTAAAATGAATCTAATGTGTGTTTTTTAATGGATAAGTGTTAACACTGCATGCAGTGCTCATGACGAAAATATCCACTGTTTTATATATTATGCAGGTCTTCAAAGAAAACTTAAAGCATAACAGCCAGTCTGATGAACCCCCTATGTTGGATGGAGAAAAACAACAGGAATCAACATGTGAGTTGTCTGTGTATAGGCATATCCTTTTCCAAATTTTTTACTTATAAGTTATTGAAAAATCCCAATTTAAACCTGCAAATATCCCAACATTTTGAAGATTTCCCTCAATTAGGTCATTTTTTAGGCAATTATTATGAAAAATTTCATTAAATGTACAATGTACATGCATGTTCATGATCTTCTCACTAGTATTTGTAAATCATTGTCTTTACAGTGACAATTGAATTTTTCTTGTACATGATTTTATTTTTGTTTTGGATAGGGAGAGAGGTGACCTACCTATGTCCTTATAGTGACTTCATCAAAGGAAATTTAACCATCACCAATTACAAGCTTTACTTTAAGAGCACAGATAGGGTAAGAATTAATACTAACTTTATGAGGCGCGTCACGACAAAACCAACATAATGGGTTTGCGACCAGCATGGATCCAGACCAGCCTGCGCATCCGCGCAGTCTGATCAGGATCCATGCTGTTCGCTTACAGACCATAAAACAAGTAAAGAAATTGACAGCAAACTGGTCTGGATCCATGCTGGTCGCAAACCCATTATGTTGGTTTTATCGTGACGCGGCTCATATCATTGTGTAATATTATAATCTGCCATTGGGTTAAATAAAGGATTTGGAAATGCCAACCCTCTGGCCATCAGTTCTATCTGGAACTTGAAGTATATGTGTAGGAAACATATAAAAATGATCCTTATGGAGTGTCAGATAAGCCTATTTGTCAGAGATAAGATTTTCTAGCACCAATGTTTTTTTTTGATGGAGTTTTTTATTGTGGTAGTGAGAATTTTCCAAATGGTAGAGTTACACAGTAAGATAAAGATTCATACAAGAATGTGCCATGTTTTTACCTTACATCGAGTCATGACAGCAGGGCATTATAGTTGAGCTGCGTCACGACAAAACCAACATAGTGCGTTTGGGACCAGCAAGGATCCCGACCAGCCTGCCCCTCCACGCAGTCTGATCAGGATCCATGCTGTTCGCTGTCAGTTTCCCTACTTGTAATAGAGTTTGTTAGCGAACAGCATGGATCCTGATCAGACTGCGCAGATGCGCAGGCTGGTCTGGATCCATGCTGGTAGCAAACGCATTATGTTGGTTTTGTCGTGACAGCAGGGCTTTATACTTGTTTTGTGTTGATGGGGGGATACATGTATGTCCAACACACAGTGAAAGAATTTGGTGGCACAATGATGTTGCCTTCCAGCTGTTATGAAATGTTTGAAAAGCTTTTAGTCAAATCTCCTTTTCTTTTTTGATTGGGAGCACGGATTGCAATAGAAAGATGCATAACAAAACAAATTGACTTTACTTTGGGGGATATAAATGTCTTAAAACAACTGTTCAATAATACTCTTTTCATAATAATTTTAAATAATGTTTTATATACTTTATTAGGTATACATGTATATGCAGCCAAATTATTTTTTTTGATTTCACAGGAACCTCCATTTACACTTGATGTACCCCTTGGTGTAATCAGCCGTGTAGAAAAGATAGGGGGCGTTTCCAGCAGGGGAGAAAACTCCTACTGTATTGATCTAACATGTAAAGTATGTAAGATTATTTTAAAGCTACTCATTTCAGTATTTTTAAATGATTCAAAAAAATAAAATAAAAGAATTTGTAGTGATTGAGGACCTCATCCATTTACTAATCCATTTTAACCCTGTCCATGCTTAATACCTTAAATGGACTTGTCCATCTTCCAATTTAGATAAGACCATTCATCAATTTTAGGGGGAAAATTTCAAAATATGTAATGTCTGAATAGCAGTTGAAAGATAAATCAAAGCAATAGTAATCACCACTTTGTTGACAACATAATAATTTCGTAGATATATTTAGAACCTTGGCGTAGAAATATTGCATGCATTGAGTTATTGGAAGCAATATGGTAGAAATGTAGGTGTTCCACCATAAGTAAACTTCCAAATAATCAATATGACATAACATAAATTTGATCAAAATTTGACCAAAATATAAAGATGTAACATTAAAAGCACATTCATACCCAGGAACATATGTCTATGAACAAAGTAAAGACATTTTTATGCAACTTTTAATTATGTGTTTAATTACAAGTAATATTATAAAGCCTGGAATGCCACGAATTGAGTTGGTAATCATTTTATAATACAATACACATTATTGTAAACAAAACGTATTGTAAGTGTTTTGGAAACATTGTGACCAAACTATGAAACACTACTGATGTATTACAGACAGACTTTGGAAACTCTACCTGCTTGAATATGTTAACACAATCTGTATTTTGACATTGATAAGAAACACTAATTTTGTTTTTCGTACAATTATTTAGTATTGGAAAAAATGTTTATGTCCATTCGGTATCAATTCAGGCCAGAAACAAACTGTTACGCATTGTTTATATAGTACTCCCCGCGGGTACAGCGTCCTTGTCCATTCTGATGTAATCAGAAAATTTGTTTCTTTACACATTGAATGCCACCAAATACTGTTTCCACCATTAATGTGAAAGTGGAAGTGCTGCTTTTTGTGAATTTGGATAGAAATTTTTAGAATTTTTTTCATTTCAAAAAAATTCTGTCATTGATAGGAAAATCCAAAGCTGCCGTGACATGTAGTGACATCATATTCTGTTACAAAAATTTATACTGAATCCAAAAAGGGCCATCAATTAACAAACCACGGTACCAAAGTGCTCTCCGTTTAAGCTCCCATTCAAAACATTGCTATCTGACCATAGATGTTTCTAATTTAAATCATGGAGTTATTCTATGAATGATATGTGTATTTTAAAGTCAAGATGCGACAGCTAAACACAATTCAATAAAATAGCAAATACAAGTTCTTTTTATTTGTACAATTTGCTGGAAATAATAAGGACAGTGGTACCATAGGGGACCATCCTACATTGTGTATTTTTATAATGTAAATGATGTTCTTGATGTTGCCATGCAATGTATTTCTCAGAAAATGACTATTTCTGGTTTATTTATCAGATTGATCAAAACTTTATTATTTTATTTTGTTGCTAGGATATGAGGAATTTGAGGTTTGCGCACAGACAGGAGAATCATTCAAGACGTCTCGTCTATGAGAAAATACTTCAGTTTGCTTTCCCATTAAGTAATAAACAGGTAAAGTTTCCATTTATATCTTAAAGATGTATCCTCCAGGTAAGTGAATCTCAATGGTCAAACTTAAGAAAATCATTTTAAATGTTAAAAAAAAAACAACTATTGTACCTTTTTAAAGTGAATATGAAATAAAAGTTACTTTCAAGTGAAATTATTTTTTATGTTTTCACTCATTGTATTGAAACGCAAATTTGTAAAATAAAATTTCTGTTTTTTAAAGATAGATCTATATACAAAGAAAATAATCAATATTTCACTGACAACAAACACATATCTGCTATCTCTTGTTTACAGCAACTTTTTGCCTTTGATTTTAAAGAGGATTATGGAATAAATGGATGGACAGTGTATGACCACGAGGCAGAATTTAAGAGACAGGTATGTATTAATACATCTAAGGACTACTTTATGTATGCTGATAATATATGTCTGACAGACAAGTAGTGATTTTAGTTTAGTTTGAAGAATTAGCTGTTGGATCTATCTTGTAATTTCTTGCCTTTTTGTCTGACAGTGTAACCACTGGAGTAATTGCAAGAAGTCATTTTTTTTGAAAATTCAGATTCATTTTAAAGGCCTATTATGCCTCAAAACTCAAATTTTTTTTCTCAGAAACTTTCCATTTTTGGTATCTTCTTATAGTTTCTAGAAATATACTCGTTTTTCATATACATAAGATGTCTTTTGCTACTTTTGCTTTGTCAGCAAATGGTATAATTATAGTGGATTAGTATTTTGTATGGAAGTCAAAATATCACTTTGTTTATATGTTGCTACATTGTAACTTTAGTACACATGAATGCATGTTCAGCACTACTTTCTTGAGTATTTAAACAAGTAGCATGCTCTAAATTCTTTATTGAAATATTATTGAACACATGGTTGACATTTCTAAAGAATAAAATAATATAAATTTCTAGGCATACTGTGCCTTTAAAAAGATTATTGGTTTGCATTTTTGAACAAGCATGTTATTGCATAGAAACATTAAAGGCACATTTTTCCTTCCTAAGAAAGGGCACACACGAGTTTTATAACATTTAGATAATGGTATTAGAGCATGTTAGATGCTAATCACCTGATGACAGTAGAAATGAATGTGACATTTTTTGTCATAAAGGAAGTGAATGTAAACATAGTCGTATTTTGACTTCCAAAAAACATACTAAAACACTCATATCTCATTCTGTACTAATTGCCAAAATGCAATAGAAGCAAAAAGATGGTTCAGGTAATTGGCAAATGAGTATTTTTTTTTTAATTTAAAAGGGATTAAAAATAAAAGCTTTTGAGAAATGAAAATAAAAGCATTCCTGGGCCAGTGAGGCATAATTGGCCTATTAAAAATGGTAACTTCCCACTGTAAGATCTTGGTAGCACAATTGTTAATCTGTCATATTCATCTAAACTGTCTAATATAGTTAGGCAAGGAGAGGAGTTCCCACCTAGCATCAGCATAATAATTGTTAATTTTCAAGTTGATATTTTATTATACAGTAAAATTATTCACCACACATTATTTAGGAATCATGATTGTTGATCATTATCCAACGTTCATAACTTAAGCATGGATTCTAACCAAAATGACCCCTATTTATTTTGAGGACACCAGGTCAAAGGTCAAGGTCACAGGGGCCTTGACTGAAGAAAGCTATTTTGCCCAATAACTAATCCTTCACCCACAATCTTCATATTTAGTCATGATTAGTAGATGACCCCTATTGATTTTGAGGTCACCAGGTCAAAGGTGGAGGTCACAGGGGCCTTTACTGAAAAAATATTGTCCACCCAATAACTGTAGAATCCTTTGACCAACAGTCTTCATATATTGCATGCAGGTTAGTTATGATAAGTGATGACCCCTATTTATTTTAAGGACACCAGGTCAAAGAGCAAGGTCACAGGGGCCTTGACTGAAGAAAGCTATTTCGCCCAATAACTTAAGAATCCTTCACCCACAGTCTTCATTTTGGCATGGAGTTTAGTCATGATTAGTAGATGACCCCTATTGATTTTGAGGTCACCAGGTCAAAGGTCAAGGTCACAGGGGCCTTGACTAATTAAAGCTTGTCCGCCCAATTACCTAAGAATCCTTTGAATCGTGATTGTTGATCATTATCCAACGTTCATAACTTAAGCATGGATTTTGACCAAAATTTGTTACGAACCTTCCTAAAAATTTGAGGTAAACTTTTAATAGCTTAAGAGGCATTCAGTCTCAACAGTAAATACAAATGTTCCATGGAAACTTCACACATGTCTCTTGGATCATAATTGAAGATCATATATTATGATTTATCCTTCAAATATGTTTTTATGCTTAACTATTCCCTTGTGATAGCAATGAAGTATTTCTTGTAAAAGTTTTGCATGCAAGTTCTTTTTCCTTAACCATTGACGGTTCACTGACTTTATCGATAGGGTGATAATTGTAGGTCACCAAATTGTATGTCACTAAACAAGACGCCCACACTCTAGGACTGAATTTTTCCCCATCGTCAAGTATGAACATTCATGCATGGCCATTGTTTAGCTGTCAGGCACAGAGGATAGTCAAGTATTCAAGACAACTTAATTATTGATGGTACAGACTTGTTCTTGGTTATTCCCAAGTTTGCTCTATCAATTAATTCTTTTTTGATGCCATATCATTTGTTCATCTGGAATGAATGGAATTTAAAACTCGTTTACAAGCATCCTGTAAGGAACGGAAAAGGATGAAGTAATGAAGTGTTTAATGATATTTTAGATGGTTTTTACATTTCAACCTCATAACATATTTATATTAATATCAACATTAAAGTTGATTTAGTCATGCATTCAATATAAGGTATTTTATCAGCTTGGGGTTTTAATTTTTAAAAAGCAATTTCCTGTTAGCTATTGTATATTCTATTCTTAACTGTTATCACTATGCAAGAATTACATTTTTATTGTTTTGCGTTTGTATAGCTACTTTATTTTTGCAAAGGATTGGTTTGTCATATGTAATTAATTGGGGTTTTTTTCGTTATGGAGGACCTAAAAAAACTGAAAAACAAGTAGATTATTAATTTAAAAGTCTCAAATTTATTTCCCTGTTAGATGTGCTTGTTTCTGTATTAGCCACATGTTAATGTGAGGTAATGAACTGTTAACTTGCGAGAACAAAAAAAGAGCCTCAGCCACCAGTATTGGGCATGTCCCTGCCGTCTGACCAGGCTCTACACTGTTGGCTGACTTAACTTTGAATTTCTATTTTGCTATCACCAATATCAATAATGAACAGTCCCAAAAAATGAAAACTGGGTGAGTTGCTTTAAATAATTCAGGACATTAAGGGTTTATTGTTTATTTGAATTTTTTATGAACAGGGCGTACCCAATGATAACTGGAGAATCAGCCGGATGAACGAGAAGTACGATGTAATAGACACATATCCTAGTCTGGTAAATAGATTTCATTTCCATTATCTTTACATGTGTAGTTTCATAAAAACTGAGCCGTGTCACGACAAAACCAACATAGTGGGTTTGCGACCAGCATAAATCCAGACCAGCCTGCCCATCTGCACAGTCTGATCAGGATCCATGCTGTTCGCTTACTAACCCTATAACAAGTAGAGAGACTGATAGCAAACAGGATGGATCCTGACCAGACTGTGCGGTAGCGCAGGCTGGTCTGGATCCATGCTGGTCAAAAACTCATTATGATGGTTTCGTCGTGACACGGCTAAAATGATCAACTTCTCTTAGAACACAAGACCTGTAACTATGTTAAGCTTGGGTTAGATTTGGTGTGAAGTATTGTGTAGTGAGCCTCTAACAAGTTTGTTTAAATCAGGACTTTGGTGTAAAAAGTGGCCTGCCCTATGGTTAACTTGAGTGCACAGTCTAAAAATCAAAATCTTCCTGTCAGAAAGTTGAAGGCCTAGAGCTTAAATGTTTATTACAGTTTGTATGTAACATAATCTAGTTGTCCCCTTTCAAGGTCATTTAAATCATGGACTAGAGGTCAAATACGGCCCATGTCAAGCTCTAGGGATCACTTAGTTATTTATAGTCTTAGGGTAGTGGGTACCAAGGTTCTCAATTTTTCAAGTTGTGTTACTAAAAAACCTTTGTTTGCCCCCGCCATGTAATGGCCGGGGCATATAGTGTTACCCTGTGCCGTCCTTCTGTCATTCCGTCATCATCAGTTTCCGTTCATTATCTTAAGAATGGTTGCACACATTCAACTCAAATTTGACACATGGATATGTCATGATAAAATACAGGTCAAGTTCGAATTTGGTCATGGTTCGATGATTTTTGGCAGAGTTATGCCCCTTTTACTTTGAAAATAATATGAAATTTCAGTTTCCGTTCATTATCTCCCCAAGGGTACAACACATTCAACTCAAACTTGACATATGGATATGTCATGAGAAAATACAGGTCAAGTTTGAATTTGGTCTTGGTTCGATGATTTTTGGCAGAGTTATGACCCTTTTACTTTGAAAATAATATGAAATTTTCAGTTTCCGTTCATTATCTCCCCAACGGTACAACACATTCAACTCAAACTTGACATATGGATATGTCATGAGAAAATACAGGTCAAGTTCGAATTTGGTCATGGTTGGATGACTTTTGGCAGAGTTATGCCTCTTTCACTTTGAAAATAATATGAAATTTTCAGTTTCCGTTTATTATCTCCCTAATGGTACAAACACATTCAACTCAAAATTTGACATATTGATATGTTTTTGGAATGCCCAGGCCAAATTCGAATTTGGTCATGGTTCAATGATTTTTGGCAGAGTTATGCCCCTTTTCACTTTGAAAAATAATATGAAAATTTACAGTTTCTGTTCATTAATCTACCCAATAGTGTTACATATTCAGCTTAAATTTGACATTTGGATATGTCAAAAGAATGGGCAGGTCAAGTTGGAATTTGGTCATGGTTTGATGATTTTTTGGCAGAGTTATGTCCCTTTCACTTTGAAAATAATATAGATACATCTTAGGAATAAGCAGTTTAAGTTTGAATTTGGTCTTGGTTCAATGATTTTAGACAAACTTATCTTTTCCTGAATGTTGGAAAACTTTTTTGAACTTTCAGTTTCAGCACTCATAAACTTTTAGCCATTATTTTGCTACAAATATGCAATATGCTATTTTTAAAAGCGTTAAGACTGAATAATTTCAGTGAACTTGAACATTGTTATGAAAATGGTTTGTGTTAACATTGAAAAGTTTTAAGGGCTTTTGAACTTAAAATGAAAAAAATAATTAATGCACCATCTGAAATTTTGGCTGCATGCCGGGGCATCCGTGGCATGATGACACATTTCTAGTTTAACATTAAATTTATTGTATCAATATTAAAGGAATTCAACTGAGGTCCAAAAGATTAAAAAACATAAAATTTTAATTTCTTATATAGATCAGCTGGGACACCTGAAACAGAAAGATATGAAAGAGATAATTAAAGGTTATACTCAAAAATGAAATCATAATTTTGTGCTATTCTTAGCCCGGTTTGAGTGAAAAACGTTCCAACGACTTTAAATTTAGGTCATTTTTTACAATTAGAATAATTATTCTCTAAAAATGGATTGAGCAAATGATCAGAAATTTTGCACACAAGTTATTGGTCAAGACCGTCATCAAATGCAACATAAATCTCGAAAAAATATAAGTCCTTCCATATAAAAAAACCTCAGTGGAGTCCCTTCAACTTTTGAATTTAAAGAACATATGTCTACAAAAGTCATTAGCATTCATGATAATCTGCCATGTTATTTGTTGGCGCTAGTCTCCAAATTACCATGTTTGAGATGTCCATGAATTATAATTTCTGTATTTTATTAGTAGATGATTGTTGATTGTCTAATATTTTCCTATTGTAGATGGCAGTTCCAAAGCAAGCTTCTGATGATTTTTTGAAGCAAGTGGCAACATTTAGATCTCGCGGCAGGATGCCGGTAAGATAAAAATGTCTGTGTAGAGTGGTCTTGGGAGTTATACATTATATTATCACATAAACCTGCGGCGCAGGTGTGTAATAAAGTCACGTAATAAAAAAGATATCACACTAGTGTAATAACACTATGACGTGACGTCATTTGGGCTATATAGAGACATAGCGTTAAAGCGCGCTAATGTTAGCATACACAATAGTCGCGTCATTGAAAAATTACTCATTTTAACAGTTTACTGTTTTTATTTTATATATGTGATAAATAGAATATTATATTTGTGTAGATTCAATACTAAATTTATTGAACTCGTTGAATAAAACAATATCATGCTTGCCATAGTACGGTATTAAATTACACTCATTTAATACAGTACGCTCAGCGCGGCTTTTGCAAAACCCGCGTGACCCCGCGGATGAGGTTTACCGCGGACGAAAATTTGCTCAGATATTGTCCACGTGACCCCGCGGACAGAAAATTTTCACCACCGCGGACATAAATTGGCGGCTGAAACCGTTTCCCCGCGGAACGCAGCGGTAAATTGCGGAGGAACGCGGCAGTCAAACACCGGTCAACGCGGTGGAGACCTTAAATTTTAAAAATTAATTACTGTATTTAAACATCAGTATACGTACGTACTGTAACATGTACTGTACATATAACTATATGTAAAATTTGTTTGTTTGTTTTCTTTTTTGTTGTAATAAAAATACATGTACAAATGCAGTGTATTTTTTGTTCTTCTTCTTGTTATTGTGTTGGGTAATGTATAATATGTATTCGACATCAAGATAAATCATTGTCTTCGCAACTTCATGGTAGTGAGAAACTTGAAGTCAAATAATGAAAAATTCGGCATATGACATTTATGAAAAACATACCACATGTACAACAATTGATATGCCAGCTTTTGTTTCTTATTTAAAAACTTTGAAAACGTAACCCTCAACAATTTATTCAGGCAATATTCCAGGACTTCTCTTTCAATTGTCAGATGCGTTTAACGGTTTTTGTTTATTTGCATGTTGATCATAAAGTCTTACATTTTATGTGGAACTTTAAAAGAAAGCGTTTATTTCACCAAAATATACATTAAATGATATTCTTGATTTATCTAATTACAGGTGTGAGCGTAATGTATATGTTTTAAAGTTTGTATCAACTGTTGAAGTTTATTTTCATTTTTGTTTTAGTAGTTTGTTTATTTGTTCTTTTTTATTTTTTTATAGATTTTTTTTGCAGAATTTTGTTAAACTTGACGTTATACTTTTTGTTATTTTATTATGAACAGTATGCATGTACATACATGTATATAAGGCAAACAAGCACATGGCAGTTATTTTCTAAGAACTTCCATCGACCGATTTTCAAGTTAAAAATATTTCATTTTATTTTTATCTTAAGATATTATTGTTCATAGGAATAATAGTATTTGTAGACAACATGTAGTTTTAAGTACATACAATTGAACGTATTTAGATGGTTTAAATATATTTTTCTTTTATTTCTAATATATGTACATGTATTTTATTTATGTCTTGTCTTGTATTCACACTCATCGACCTCTTACAGGACATGTACTGTAGCGTCAGTCATCATTGAGAAATCAGCAGAAATGTCCTTTTTTACTAAGTATCATATTTATGGCTCCCATATAGTTTAACAGCAATAATATTTTGAGAACCACAAGGAATGAAAAAGTAAAGATGACAGTGATAAATGACGATTTCAGTTGTAAAAATATTGGTATGTGGACGAATAGTTTTGTGGACGTTTATAATAAAAATATTAAAAACAACAACAAAAACAGGTACAGCTGTAATTATTTTTATTTCAAATTCCGTTCAAAAAATTTAACGTATAATAACGTTTAAGGAGACGATTGTGGTCAATTTTCAAGTCATTGTGTAAAAAAGATGACGTTAGAAAATAATAAAACGTCTATTATTTTTGGAGGTTAATTTATACTGACCAACTGACCATGGCGTTCCCCCGCGGGAAACGGGTGACTGATTTTATCGACGAATGAAGAACGGTCGTCAGAATTTTGTCCGCGGTGGAAACAACTGAACACCGGGGATCGCGGGGGAAATTAGGCTTTCATCGCGCACGAACCCCCGCGTTTGTCCGCGATAAAAAAAAATCGTCCGCGGTGGTATCGCGGAAAAAGCAAAACCCGCGGTGAGCGTACTGTATCCTCTATTACTGTAATTCGATGTTGGAATATATGTACACTTGCATAACATAATTTTATTCAACTTGTTCAATAAATTTAGTATTGAACCTTTACTCATTCGGTATCTTCTATTTATGCAATTTGATAATTAACACTTTTTAAGTAGCACGCCTCTCGATTGCTCGTTATTTTCATAAAATCTTAAAAATTGTTCAAATGAGTGAAAATATTGCAATGTATACTAAGTAAGTTATTTAAAATTTGACTAGCTCCTACTGTCCATAGAAATTACATATATCTTGTCAAATTATGCAGAATTTTTATTACTCAGTTACATGGTAGAATTTTGATGGTAAAGATAGTAAAGTGTGTCATATGTTGCCCACTTCATTCAATATCACCTGGATTGTGAAAATTTATGTATTTCTTTTAACAGTAATTACATACATGTATTTCTAAAAGCGGTTTGAAGGATAATATTACTCTTTTGGAATCATGCCACTTGGCTTCCAATGTTGTACTAATCAGATGTATAGAAACATTTTTTTCGTCACATTTATTGTGTTGTCTGTATGTAGGTTTTGTCATGGATTCCTGCTAATTTACTATGTCATCTGTATCTAGGTATTATCATGGATTCATCCCAAAAGTCAGGCAACAATCACCCGTTCTAGTCAGCCATTGATTGGCGTGGCTGGTAAGCGAAACAAGGACGACGAGATGTACGTACAGATGATTATGGATGCCAACGCCCACTCAAATAAACTGTATATCATGGACGCGAGACCCAGTATGAATGCAGTCGCTAATAAGGTATGGTACATATTTTGGTTTTGTAACCATTACATATAGAACTCATAGCCTACGAACATATTACCTAGTCAAGCATATACAAAAATGATGCAATTTCAATATTTCATCATAAAATGTGTTTACATTAAATATGGTCTAACCTGTTCAGAAGAATTTTTTGTAAAAAAAAACTAAAATAAACTAAAGTTTAATATTAATGTGTTAAAATAGTAAAGGTGATAAAAGGGCAAAGCAGAGGTTAAAAAAATAATGACTTTATCAACATTTTGCTGAACATACAATGTATTTAAGTAATCACATGTAATTATTTTATCAATGTTGAAAAGTTTCTTTAAATTATAAACATTACTGTCTTGAATTTTATTGTTTGAAACGTTTGCCATCTGTAGGTGTGCAGCTTTAAGTCTTGAAATGATGTAATTCTTAACTGGCTTGAACTGGAAGTGACATTAGCCTTTGCCACCAGTAAGGCTCCCACGTTTACAATTTTTTGTAAACGTTTACAGGCTTGCTAAGAACCGAAACGATACCGTTTAAATGGTGGTACCTCTATGTACTATACACACCATGTATTTGAGTCGCCAAATGATTTTTTTCTTTCTATATTTTACACATGTACAAATAAAGAATGCGTAGGGCTCATCACGATTGAGTCAGCACACATTTTTTGCATTGTAACCCCATTTTTACCAAAAATGTATTATGTCACAAGCAATTTTGCACCGTAATGCTGTGTGGAGGGTTGTAAACACCTATTTTCCGTTTGTTTACTTTGGAATAAACCATTAGAATTGATAAAATCCATGATTACAGGCAATGATTAAGAAATTTTGTAAGACAATATGGTCATTTCGATTAAACGGTAAACAATATCACAAACGTTTATGAATGAAAATCGAAACGAATCCGTTTAAACGTGTAATCAGGGGGGCCTTAGTCACCAGTATAGAGCTAGGTCAGCCTTCATATTTGTTATTCAAAACATAATATGGCCAGTAAATGAACACAGAAAAGAATATTCATACAGTATTCATATTATCCTTTCATATTACCTGCTTACAGGCAAGAGGCGGTGGTTTTGAGAGTGAAGATGCATACACAGGGGCAGAAGTTGTCTTCCTTGATATTCACAATATACATGTGATGAGAGAAAGGTAGTAGCAACAGTTTTCTCCCTTTATGTATACAGATATAAATATCTATAATATATATATACTGGTACATTACAATTTTAACTTTCTTTAAAAAGGCAATGGCTGAGTGGTCAGTCACTGATTTCAAATCACTTGGTAACAACCGTTGTGGGTTGATTCCTGGTATATACATACAATTGTTTTTATTCCATCTAATTTATGAACCCACGAAAATGCCCGTTTTGATGAAACCACGAAATTTCATGCCCACGAATATAAGTGAATTTGCAGTACATAGAAGGTTAGTGCTTCTACTCTTGTACTTAAAATGATGCCTAGATATACACACTGAAGTCTGCTTCCATCAATAATTTGAATAAAGCAAAAAACTTGACATTTGACCTTTACATTGTTGGCATGACTTAAAACCCAAAAAGCCAACAACAACAACAACAAAATCAACAGAAAAGTCATAAGCATTTAAGCTCCACATTGTATATTTCTGATAACAAAAGCATCCATACCTGGCTACAGAGAAACAGATTACCAGGAAAGCATATTTATATGCCCACTATTTTAGGGGTAGCGTATGTGTTTGCCATTATTTGCCCGTCCCTCTTATTGTCTTGCTATCTGGCTGACTGTATGTAGATTGATGAAACCATAAAATGTTAGGGCATCCATTTTCTATGGACACGTTTTTAGTTACTAATAAATGTGTCATTACCATGTCTTTGCAGTTTAAGAAAGTTGAAAGATGTAGTGTTCCCAACTATAGATGATTCAAAGTGGTTAAGTAACATAGAATCAACACATTGGTTAGATCATATCAAGGTATGTGGTATTGAGTTAGGTAGAATCTAGACAGCTTTTGTATCATATTAGATTATGTGATACTGGGTAAAATTGAATCTATATATTGGTTGGATTACATGGTATACAAAAAGTACAAAAGTTTTGTATTCATGTACTAAAAGTACATTTTTTTCTGTGTTTTTATGTACAAAAAGTAAATGTATGTTGAGTTTTGTTATACAAAAAATAAATTTGTGTTGTGTTTTGTTGTACAAAAAGTACATTTTTGTTGTGTTTTAATGTACAATAAGTACAGACTCCCACTTTCTGCAACCATATTTTCAAAGATTGTTCTTGCAATAAGGGGTATTTTCACAAATTTAAAGAAATCTCCCTATTTTTTTTATGTCAGAACTTTCTTCTTTGTTTAACAAAAGACAATTGATTTAAGTTAACATTGCATTTTTTTAATTGTTTATACATTTAAATGTTCACAGCAAATCCTGGCAGGAGCTGTGAAAGTGGCTGACAAAGTTGAGAACAATAAGACGTCCGTGTTGGTACACTGTAGCGATGGCTGGGATCGTACCGCACAACTGACAGCACTGTCCATGATCATGTTAGATCCTTACTACAGGACCATCAAAGGGTTTGAGGTCCTTCTTGAGAAAGAATGGCTTAGCTTTGGACACAAGTTTGCTCAGGTTTGTACTATTTAATGATTGATAAAGGTAAAGATATAATATTCTTTCATAAATAAAGTAGAAAACACTGTTTGCTGTGTCATTTGTGCTTGGAGAAAAGATAAAGAATTGTCATAGTTTAGAAGATATTAAAATATTATGTTTTATAGGGTTGGATATTTGTGAAGATACAACATTTAGATTAAGTTGAGATATTTATTATATTACATTATATGATATCATATAGAGGGCGGGGCATGGTGGAGATATGACATTAAGATTATATGTTATAATGAAGAGGGTTGGAAATTATGAATTAAATTGTAAAGATTATATATTATATTGTAGAGGGTTGGACATGGTGAAGACAAACATTCTGATGCTGATAGATCTCCAGTCTTCCTACAGTTTATTGACTGTGTTTGGCAAATGACAAAACAGGTATTTCAATCTTTTTTCTAATAATAGACATGAATTATGAACTACATAATGTTCAATTTAATATAGTTATAGATTGAACATGTGTCCAAAATTACAGACCATTCGCTCGCTCTATTTTTTCCAGAATAATTATTCTAATTGTGAAAACTGACCCAAAATTGAAAAGGGCTGCAATGCTTTTCACTCAAATCAGGCAAAGCACAAATATATGACTTTCAATTTATTATCGTGTATTTGTGTATATTTCATAATTATCTTTTGCATATCTTACTGTTTTAAATGCCCCAGTTGATCTATGTAAGAAATTCAAATTTTATGTTTTTAGGCTTTTCAGACCACAGTGGTGTTCCTTTAAGATTCAATAACTTTTTCTTGCAGTTTCCAAATGCATTTGAGTTTAATGAGCACTTCCTGATTACAATCTTGGACAATCTGTATAATTGTTTGTTTGGAACTTTCCTGTGTAACTCCGAGGCGCAGAGATTTAAAGAATTGGTAAGTTTTCCATTTTCAGTTGATTTTATTTTATATGACAATTTGCTCTAGGACATTGAGTGTATTGGTCATTTGGGTTTTAGCTTTGATTCAAGCAAGAAAAGTAGTCCATCACTTGTGGAGAAATTGGTAATAAATGGTTAATTATCCAGGAAAGCTGGTTAATTGGACGGACCACCAAGATATGACCGAAATACATGTATGTGTTAAATCAATGTTAAAACTAAAAAATATTAGTCTTAGGGTAGTGTTTGACTTCAGTGCCAAAACAAGTGGAGATTTTAATGTACAGATATTTTTGAATGGCTCAAATTTATGTAATGCAAATAAATACAGAAATAAATTACTATTTTGTTGAATTATGAGTTTAATATTATAATAGATTTTGATGTAGTTATAACTGAAATCTTCACTTATAGATCCACCAATGGAAGGTTTTTTGTGTTGTTTCTAATTCAATATCTGCACCAGTGTGTGAAAATAATTCACAATAGCATTAAACAACATTATGATTTTTAAAACGGAAATCTGTACAATTTTACTTTACTGTTAGTTGATTTTATGTTTGTGACCTCCATGACAGGATGGTAAAGCTCACTGACTTCTAATATTGAGTATTAGCGGGAAGTTAAGATAGTTTTGTGTGAGGAAACTATGCTTGATCTGATATAGAGTATTAGCGGGAAGTTTAGATTGATTCATGTGAGGAAGCTATCCAGCCAGCATATGGAAGGTTGATGGATCTACTCAGGAGGTCTTTCCTATTTGAAAATGTGCACACATAGTGGCTTTTACTTGACTTTCTCCACCAGTAAAGCTAAAGGTTACCCAATGATCAATATACTTTGCGTAACTTGAAAAACCAAAATGAAAAAAAAAGAGGAATATGTATAACCATAAGTATTTTAACTATTACAGAAGGTAAAGGAGAACACACAGTCTCTATGGTCATTTGTTAACTGTCAGATTGACGAGTTCATGAACCCTTTGTATGCAGAATATCTACATAAACATGTGCTGTTCCCAGTAGCCAGTCTACGACGTATCGAGATCTGGACTGGTTACTACTGTAGATGGAATCCCAGAATGAGACCTCAGGTACGTAGTATATTTTTCAACAATCTTATACATTATTCTGTTTAGTAAATGCATATCTACTTTAGTTAAGTTAGCAACATGGAAGTACAATGTATTGACGAATTTCGTGAATTGACAGAAATCGCTGAAATTTCCTCTAATTTATAGGAAATAGACAGATTATGCAAATATATGCCTTCTCAATGGATGACAAGTACGGCAAAGATTATATACCTGTATTTTACTCCAGGGATTTATTTATTTTGATAATATGAATTACGTAAAATAAATTTATTAGTATTGGTACAAAATCAAGGAGTATTGGCTTGATAATGTCAGATTCAGATAGTGCAAATATAAGATGGCTAATTTAAAATATGTTCAGATACAATCGGGAAGACTCTTTATATTAAATGCTTACCTATGGGAACAGAAACTAAACTCTAATAAACAGAATATGCAGTTTTGGATAAAGAATGTTATTTGAACTACTGTACTACTGTTCATTGTTTTTCTTTTCATATCAGGAACCAATACATCTCAGAAATCGTGAACTTCTAGTATTACGGGCCCAACTACAACAGAAAGTAGAAGAATTACAAAAAGAACTTGAGATAAAGAACTCTCGTGGAATTTTACAGAGTTCCCCGCCCAGAATGTCCTCTCCAGTGAACGTTTAGTAGTATTTTATAGGTTCATACAGACAATTAGTATACAAATGATGAAGAGGGCCAGTTTCCTAAAACAGAACAATTTCACATATGGAGCAAAATATGAATTCAGCATGAAAAGTCTAAATGTCATTCATTGGAGGATATATTCAGAGCTACAAAAATAAAACATTTATTGAAAGGACTTGCTAAAAACTGAAAATTTAGCAAAAATTTTGTCAATTTTGTTCCCCAAATTTTATCATCTTTATGTGTCAATTTAGTATTTAGAATAAGTCAAATTCGTTTTTACTAATAATAACTTGCAGATAATTGTTTTCTGATAATATGATATGCATAAGTCTGTGACCATGAACTATTGTGGTCTTGACTTTAAATTTGTGAATTGTCTATTTCTGAAAAAAAATGCAAATAATGTAATGCAAAAATAATCTTGGAGGAGACAAAAATAATATTTTGTTAGATCTTAACTTTGTGGATTGACAAAAAATAATCTGGTAGGGAAAAAATAATTATTATTTTTTATGTATGACTGGATACTAACAAGGACTTCAAATTTAGGAAGCACTTGAGTGTTTTAGTTTCAAAACATTTCTTTGAATTTGTCAGTATTGACAGATGGTCATCAGAAACATGGCGTGATATGAGTGAGAAAATTTACATTGTTCATTTCGGACAGTGGCTTTAATCATGGCTTATACAGTCGGGAGATGTTTTCTGACAATGTGACATTCTCATATTGAAGGATTTTATTATCAGTTATAAAACTCTTCTAGTGAAAGATATTTTGAGACATGAGCTTCCTTCATAACACATGTGACAAAATCAGTATTTCTGACATTTGTGCACTATTGGTCAAACTATGACCTTTGTGCACTATTGGCCGAGCTATGATCTTTGTGACCCGTTCTGCATTGTTGTCAGCAGTGGTGCTGTAAAGGTTTAAAAAGATGCAATATACAGTGAACGTTTGTTTAAATGTTATTATAGTATAATTTATATGTAGTCAGTTTGTTAAATAAACAAAACCACACAAAAAAATGTAAAATTAGCAATGGCAATAGGCCCTTACATTTGTATTTATTTATATTTTTGTGCCTAATGAGGGTCCAACACCACTAAAAGGTAAATGGCACTTAAAAAGAGTACAGACCCCTAAATTTTGCATAATTGTGTTGCTAATCTTTATTTTCATCCTTGTTAATGAAATACATGTGGAGACTGTTGTAAGTCCTTTTTAGCTCGACTATTCGATAAGAATAAGTAGAGCTATTGCAGTCACCCGAGCGTCGGCGTCGGCGTAACCACTTATGTTAAAGTTTTTGTAATAGTTCAAATATTTTCAAAGTCCATAGACATATGGCTTTGAAACTTTGCACACTTGTTCACCATCATGACCCCAACCTGTAGACAGGAGGAGGTAACTCTATCAAGCATTTTGACAGAATTATGCCCCTTTTTCGACTTAGAATTTACGTTAAAGTTTTTGTAATAGTTCAAATATTTTCAAAGTCCATTGACATATGGCTTTGAAACTTTGCACACTTGTTCACCATCATGACCCCAACCTGTAGACAAGAGGAGGTAACTCTATCAAGCATTTTGACAGAATTATGCCCCTTTTTCGACTTAGAATTTACGTTAAAGTTTTTGTAATAGTTCAAATATTTTTAAAGTCCATAGACATATGGCTTTTGAAACTTTTGCACACTTGTTCACCATCATGACCCCAACCTGTAGACAGGAGGAGGTAACTCTATCAAGCATTTTGACAGAATTATGCCCCTTTTTCGACTTAGAATATACGTTAAAGTTTTTGTAATAGTTCAAATATTTTCAAAGTCCATTGACATATGGCTTTGAAACTTTGCACACTTGTTCACCATCATGACCCCAACCTGTAGACAGGAGGAGGTAACTCTATCAAGCATTTTGACAGAATTATGCCCCTTTTTCGACTTAGAATTTACGTTAAAGTTTTTGTAATAGTTCAAATATTTTCAAAGTCCATTGACATATGGCTTTGAAACTTTGCACACTTGTTCAACATCATGACCCCAACCTGTAAACAGGAGGAGGTAACTCTATCAAGCATTTTGACAGAATTATGCCCCTTTTTCGACTTAGAATATACGTTAAAGTTTTTGTAATAGTTCAAATATTTTCAAAGTCCATTGACATATGGCTTTGAAACTTTGCACACTTGTTCACCATCATGACCCCTACGTGTAAACAGGAGGAGGTAACTGTATCAAGCATTTTTTTTACTATCAAGCACTAAGAATAGTCGAGCGTTGCTGTCCTACCGACAGCTCTTGTTATTTTATATAAGTAACTGCAGTTTTGTGGTCAACCCTCAATGTATCTAATGCAACAAATGTCGATATACTACCATATATAATACAAGTAATTATTTTCAAATTCCATTTATGCCTTTATTATAAGTAGAATAAAGAGGTTGTCTTGCTATTAAAGAAATTTTAAGAAATGTTGTGTAAAATGGCATAAAAACTGATAATGTCTCCACGATTTGAATCTAGTACACTAAAACAGTAAATATGCTGTTTTATACATGTATGTTACTGTATGTTTTTATAATGGCAACAAAAACGATGTACATTTTGTTTTGTGTTTTGTTCACCTTAAGTTAATTTTTAGCATTGTCTATTGACAAGTTGTGTTTAATATAATTGAATATATATTCTTCATTTTGAAAATAATTTGATGCTCCTTAAGAAAGATTAAGAAATTATATCAGTTGTGGCAGTATGTCGAAGTACAATGGATTTTATTTAATCATATTTGAACTCTATACATTATAATTTAACCGTTGACCTGCTGAAATCAAAAGGGAACAACCTTTGCAACCAGTACAGAGCTATTAAGCTAGCCTGTACAATAGTGAAGGCACTATACCGTTGATAAAAAACAAGTCATTTTTAGTAACAAATCTTATTCACTAAAGTTCCTTATGAAAACTGTTAGATTGATGTTTTACCCATTAAATTGGAGCAAAATCTTATGAAAACAAATAGTTTTACATATTTGAGTAGTAATATGTTTTGACAATACATGTGTTTAATGAATAAAATGAAAATCAGTTGAATTCTATATCTTTCATAAAATTTATATAATCTATCATTGACAATTTTTCAAAGTGGTTGTAAAAACTGTACACATATATATGTATGAGTACAGTCATGGACCCTTTTTCTCAGCTTATGTACTTCATTTAGATATTTTTGTGCAATATAAATAAGTTTGTTTTTAAAATAGAAAGATCTATGTATATTGTACATAATTTTGTATTTATTGTTTTTCAGTCTTGAATAAATAGAACTGAAACACACATAAGAGTGTTTGTGATATATTATACGAGGGTTGTCCAAAAAATTCGTGCACTGCAGTTATTGTCGTGAGAGTTTTTAATAAAACCATATGAATTATATATCAATTGAAGGGGAAATCTGTCTCAAATAAGAAAACAAAAGATAAAGCCGGCTAACCGGCGTCTCGTGTACAAGAATGGTCATTAAGTTACCTTAGTAACGTAATACCGGCGCACGACAAAAATTGGGTTACTTCATTACTATAATTGTATTAATTATTAGTTGCTTGTAAAGTGGCAATTTGCTTTTTAGCTCGACTATTCGAAGAATATGAGAGCTATTGTAGTCGCCCCGGCGTCAGCGTCTGCGTTGGTTAAAGTTTTTTGTAAAGTCAAATATCTCAATTATTACTTGAGATATTCAATTGAAACTTACAATACTTATTTATAGTAACAAGGTACATAAGATTGACAAGTTTGATAACTCTGCCTACAATATTGACAGAATTATGCCCCTTTTTAACTTAGAAATTTTGGTTGAAGTTTTTTATAAAGTCAAATATCTCAATTATTGCTTTAGATATTCAATTGAAACTTACAATACTTATTTATAGTAACAAGATACATCAGATTGACAAGTTGGGTAACTCTGCCTACAATATTGACAGAATTATGCCCCTTTTTAACTTAGAAATTTTGGTTAAAGTTTTTTATAAAGTCAAATATCTCAATTATTGCTTGAGATATTCAATTGAAACTTACCATACTTATTTATAGTAACAATGTACATCAGATTGACAAGTTGGATAACTCTGCCTACAATATTGACAGAATTATGCCCCTTTTTAACTTAGAAATTTTGGTTAAAGTTTTTTTGTAAAGTCAAATATCTCAATTATTGCTTGAGATATTCAATTGAAACTTACAATACTTTTTTATAGTAACAATGTACATCAGTTTGCAAAATTGCATAACTCTGCCTGCAGTATTTGCAGAATTATTTGCCCCTTTGAAACTTAGAAATTTTGGTTAAAGGTTACAGGTCTTCAAAAATATTTACTTGAAACTTTACACATGCACTTAGGGTCATAATTGGAGGGTCATAATTGTATGTCACTGACCAAGTTCCATAACTCTATCTTGCATTAAGTCCGATTCATATCCCCTTTTCTACTTAGTCTCTTGGTTAATGTTTACATGCAAGTTTTACATATCTCAATAACTATTAAAGATATTTATTTAAAATTTCACATATGCATTTAGGGTCATAATTGTAGGTCACTGACAAAGATCCATTATGCTATCTTGCATTTAGGCTGATTTTTCTCCCCTTTTTCAACTTAGAAATTCATGGTAAAGTTTTGCTTGTAAGCTGTTATCTCAATAACTACTGAAGGGTTTGTGCCTTTTTTGGGAAAATTTAGTGCATTCATAATAATAAAGCAGTGATTTACTTGATAAAACATCTTAATAACAAGCCTTTGTACCTTTTCTGTCAAATTTATGTATTCATAGGTAATTAGTTTTATTATACTCAATAAAACACCCTTGTGACATTACCTTCCGAATAGTCAAGCCAATACTGTATAATTAGACTCTCTCTAAGGCCTATTGCATGAATTTATAAAAAAATTAGCCCTTTTGTGAACTTAAAAAATTTAACATTATCAAGGCTCTTTTACTATCAAGCACTTAGAATAGTCGAGCGTGCTGTCCTACTGACAGCTCTTGTTTATGTTATAATTTGTTTTACTGTCTAAAGAGGAATGATTGATGCAAAGTATTTTGTAGTTTTTATTGTTCTTATGCAACGGACATGTAACATATCCCACCGGTGAACGAATATATTGGACAACCATCGTCACATAGTCCGGCATTACGGACAGACGTCTGCCTGACCAGTTGTCATCGTCTACCGACTCTCGCCCTTCTACAGACCCTTTGTGCCATTAAAAAAACAGTCTTCGTAATACGGATCTTGTCCCCGCTTCTCCTTTCAAGTTCTTTGTAGGTATATGTGTGTGTTTTACCAATATTTGCACAAACTTTTATGACCGTCCGTATTTCAAGACGTTTAGCGTCTGACATTTTCACGTAATTACAATATTGACGACCTCACACAAATGTTTGTTTACGACCGTTACAATAGGGCAAATGACGTCAATTTTTCTAGTGACGGAAGGAATACTTACACATATTTCCCCCTGAATTTTAACGTTTATATGTAGTGGTAAAAGAATACCGTGATGCATCAAAGTAATGAACTAATCCAATTTTTTGTCGTGCGCTGGTATTACGTTACCAAGGTAACTCTATGACGATTCATTTTCACGACATGCCGGTTACACGTTTTTTTTCTGTTGTTTTCTCAATTGAGACAGATCTCCCCTTCAAGTGATATATAATTTATGTTTTTCTATCAATAACTCTCACGACAATAACTGCAGTGCACGAATTTTTTGGACAGCCCTCGTACAAACTTTACAGACTGGTATATTTAAAGGTCTGTTGAAAAATGATTAAGAGGCTATTTTGACCCTGTTTTTTTTTTTTGTATCTTCAAATTTCACCAATGGAAGATTCTATGTGACAGAATTAATATTTTATTGCATTTTGCACAATAGGCTAGGAACCCAGATCAAAAAGAAAAGTTCAGCTGTTAAAGAATTTTATCATGTGTATTTCGAAAACTAATCTATCATGTTGTAACAATATCCTCCATGTTGTCTCTGAAGGTATTTTGACGTAGAATGTCAGTATTGAATACAATAATACTATAAATAACCAGAATTCCCATCCAAATTATTTCTTTGGTGTGAGGCTTAGGGATGAATCAGCATGTTACTGCCACTGGCTTTCACAGGAAGATGAAAACTTTAAGGAGGGCATTAGATTTGTAATCCAAGTATTGCTGGTTTAATCCTTAGGTGAGGTCACATATGTAGAAGTTACCCTCCGGGCTCTGATCCCAAAAGTGTGACCTTCACCTTTGAGCTGCGGACATGGGTTTTATGTGTCACATACGACCCCATCATGATGGACATTTGTGTCAAACCATTTTGAAATCCTTAAAGAATGAGCAAGATATAAACAGGACAAATTTAAATGGACGGACAGACTGACACACATACACCAAACTGCCAAAAAGTGAAAAGGCAACTAAGTCAATCTCACCACAAGTGGGCTCAACAGTTTAAAAATCCACTGACCACTAAGCATAATACTTCAAAGCATAAGCCAGATACAGGGCTTACAAACAAAATTCTAATATTTTTATTTAACCTCTGACCTCTTGTGACCCTGACCTTCATTTTGCGCAAGACACCTCAACTCAACATGGAGAACATTTGTGCAAGATATATTAAAATCCATCCATGTATATTAAAGTTATAATCGCAAATGAATGTTTAATTTTGTTATTTGACCTTGATCCCTGTGACCTTTGCCACAGACACCTAAATTTTTCCTGTGACACTGCCTCCCTATCGGGCTATGGAGAACATTTGTACCCCGAGTTATATTAAAAGCCCTCCACGCATGTGGAAGTAATGCTCGACATAGGCTTAGCGCTGACCCATAAGAGTGACCTTGACCTTTGAGCGGCGGACCCGAGTTTTGTGTACAACACTTCACCCCCATCATGGTAAATATTTGTGCTTAATTATTTTGTAATCCTTCAAGGGATGAGCAAGATATTGACCGGACAAATCTAGATGGACTGACACACATACACAGAACCATACGCCACAAGTGGGCTTGACAAAAATGAATGACTTAACTATTTATCATAATATTTATTCCTGTTTTTTGATTTTATAACAAACACAAGTGTTAAAATACATATGCATATATAGCCTTATTATCTATTACACCAAAACCTGCAACTTAATTTCACATGTAACATAAATAGATAAAAAACTGTCATATATTCCTATATATTATTTTGATGAAATAAATGCCCATTTAAAATATTTGCGTAAAACTATATTTTACATATACCCAAACAACAGATCTTTTGTTTTCGATATACAATCTGACATACATATATTTGACAGAGTTGCAGTGTGTAAATCCTTTTAACAAAAAAAAATTATGGTGAAAACCTTATTGTTTCTATTCTGTTATAGATGGGAACAGTTTTGTTCGTATGTTTGAAGTTATCACATTTTCTTGTGGACCTCTAAAGCTAAGTGGACTTCTATATGGTATAACTGGGCTAGTCTTGCCCCGAGGGGAAGGTTGAGGGGACTCCTGGCGTAGTTTGGACTGCAGCTTTGCTGGACTTTGCCACCTGAAATGTAATGAAAACATTTGAGCCGCCTCACGACAAAACCAACATATTGGGTTTGCGACCAGCATGGATCCAGACCAGCCTGCGCATCCGCGCAGTCTGATCAGGATCCATGCTGTTCGCTTACAAACTCTATAACAAGTAGAGAAACTGATAGCGAACAGTATGGATCCTGATCAGACTGCGCGGATGCGCAGGCTGGTCTGGATCCATGCTGGTCGCAAACCCATTATGTTGGTTTTGTCATGACACAGCTCATTTAACTCTTGGATAAGCATAGTATATCTTTAAGAAATTTCAATATCAAAATACAAAAATTGAATTGTCACCAGAGCCTGGCAATTTCAGTTCAAGTAGATTAATGTTTAAACATATTTGTTTTTCTCGCTCATTTTTGATAAAACATTTATTTAAACCACTCTTAAATCTGCTTCCTGGAACTAACCAGTATTGGTGCAATATAAGAAAACTTGGTCATAAGACTCTACGAGGGTTGTTCAAAAAGTAATAGGACTGAGAGTCTTGTGTATTCAAATTTCATTCAATTTAGAATATTTTCATATGTACAGCAATCGTAAAATGTTTTCTACAAATCAAACATAAGTTTTTAAATCTATTGTGCTAAACGCGCTTTTCCTTTGCTATTGAATAACCATGGTAACACGCACCCGGCGCAGCACATAAATATAGTTATTGGAGCTAAGTTCTACTTCTAATTTATTCATAAATAACTATTTGTTTTCCCCTGTATTCCATCAATACGTTGAAATATATTAATGTGACATTATATCCAAATTTGACGTCATTCGGACATAAAATGGCCTATTTATTAAGTTTTGAACAGCAGCGGTCATAGCGTTAGATATAGAAATATGACATTTGTTAACAAACAGAAAATGTGTGCCATCGTTAAATTTTGCCAACAGATTGACTATAATCATTCAGATACACACAAAATGATTAAATAAACAAAGGACAATTATCCTGCCATCAGGACACTTGTTTTCAGCTGGCACAAGCAATTCAAAAACTGCAAATACAAGAGCACTAACGAGAAAGGGCGAGGATGAAAGTTGAAAATTGACGGGACGTTAGTGACGTCAATTGCAAAAGCGCTACAAAAGAATCCATGGTAAACGGTACGCGGACTGTTTATCGTTGTTTGTATCTGCTACGGGTCTACTTATTCAGTTTTAACCAAAGGAATGTAAATAAGACATTTGTTATAAACACTATTTTATTGTATTTATATATACGCGTAATCAATAAATTAATGTAATAATGTAATAGTTAACGGTAATAATTAGTAGTGTTTCCGAAAACTTGTTTTAATAAACGATAGACTGTGCTAAGTAGAAAAGGATACTTTTCAATTGAGAAATATCTTTATTGTTCTGTATATAATCATATTGTTTTAAAAATATACGATGACATGAGTAAATTAATAAAATAAATTGCTTTTGCTTTAACATTTTTAGTCCTATTGAGTTCCAAAGTTACTCAAAAAACACGAGAAAACCCGGAGAATGGCCGGCTATCGGGCATTTATTTTATTTTGTTTTTTTGAAACGGTGGAACGAGAATGTGATTGCTTTTTTCTTGCTTCATCTCCACATATGAGGCAAAGTAAAAGTTAAATGACTCATACACCTAGATACTAGGGAGACTACTTTCAGAAAAGAATGACACTTATTACAATATCGATTTATTTTACGACGTCATGAACGTCACTTATTGTATTGTTAGCGTGCGCCGCGTTTCGAACCCCTTGTCATTTGAAAATTTCACAGAAATTTCATTTGTTTTCATTTTGTTTTGATTTTTTTCAATGTATATAGAGAACATGTTCCGATATTTGTCTCATGTAAAATTTTGTACGTAAATTTAAAAATGTGAACAGTAGCGCTGCAGTCCTATTTCTTTTTGAACAACCCTCGTATATCCGAGTCAGACTCGAACCCATAACCATTTGCATGAGAGGGAGACACCTTCACCACTAGGCCATTACTCCTTTTACAACATGATGTAGTAAAAACTAAATAAATTTTCTTTCTTGATTTGCAAACATTTTACAAACCAAGATATGTTTGTAATACATGTATGCCCCCTATTGGCGGCCAATTAGTCATGTGGTCAGGTTACTATGACTGACTTTTGACTTAGTGACCAAAAAATCAATAGGGGTTATCAACTGGTCATAACTAGTCACATCTACCTGTAACTGTATATCAGGTTTTTTTCAATGAGTATTTAATTTTTTCGCTGTGGTGTCTCTTTGTCAGCAGAAAAATGCGGAAAAAAAACAACATTTACAACAAAATTGGTAAAATTAGATTTGCTACAATTAGAATGCTGCCAAATTGGTGAAATTATCCATATGCAAAATTAACCTGTTATACGATATCTAAACTACACTGTCAATCAGCTTTGTTACAGATTAAATCTCTAAATGGCTGACCATCTGCTGACCTATGTCATTACTTACTGCGAATTCACTTATATTCGTGGGCATGAAACATGTGGTTTTATCAAAACGGGCATTTTCGTGGGTTCTTAAATTCGTGGATTTTCAATTTCTTGTAAAACAATGAAATAAATTAATCGCCGCGCATTTTACTTACTGCATGTACATATTATATGTATCACAAGCGCTGGCTTGTCAAAAAATTTAATCCTTGCCTCTGAACATTCATTACACAAAAATTGGCGATGCATGTTTGTAATATATAGAATAGAGACATGGCAAGAAATATTTGTTGGATTAAAATTTCATCAGATCTTAAATTCGTGGATTGACCTATCCACAAAAACCACGGAAATTCGTGCCCGACTAATAATAATGATTTTACAGTATATAATTTACCTATAGTTTGTATCCCTCAGGAACCTGCTCAGGTTAATCTTCCAATGAAATACATTAGGGTGTAACTCGGGGGATATTGTAACATCACTCAATGCACGCGATACATTTAAATCTTCTCTAGTGGGCTGAGGCCTGCAAGTAAACAATTAAAGATAATTAAAGTAAAATATGTACACACTGAAAAACAATGTGATAAAAGAATTCACACATACATATACAATTGTATATACATTATAAAGCTTCTTTCAAGTTTTCTCAGTACATTAAATGTACAAGTACAAATCACTACGAAGTTTCCTTTCTATAATCATGTTTGGTTGTTATTTGTAATTAATCACTACGAAGTTTCCTTTCTATAATCATGTTTGGTTTTAATTTGTAATTTACCCATCAATGTCATACAGTGTGACCTTACAAGCAGCAATGGTACAAGAAAAATTTAATGTTTTATCTTTCAGACTACTCAGTATTCTTAGGAAGAATCAGATTCGATATGCTAGTAAGATTGCTTCCTAGCATTTCTAGAGACTTATAATATACCTGCGAGTAGAACTAAATCAGTCTTGTTACTTCAACCAGTCTAAATAATATATCAGCTAACTTTTTTTCTTACAATGAACTTACCCATAAATATATTTTGTTTTTGGCAGAGTAACTGCCCTTGACAGATATGCCATCACAGACTGGTTCCCATCTTGATCTTTATCACCGGTTCCCAGCTCAATAACTTCTCCATCCTGTACTTTACTAATATCACCATCACAGGAATCAACTTTAATATCTTCTAACAATAACAATTTATGAACAGTTTCTATTTCTGGAAGGGATAGGATAGTAACCGTCATTCCGGTGTCTTTTTTACTTTCTTTAACTTGTACAACAAAATTAACAGTTGGACAAACTCCTTTACCCTCTTGATGAAGTTCACTGGCTTTAAGATAATCTTTTAGTTTGACAATTATTGCACTATCTTTAATATTCAAGACAACGTGGAAAGTCCCGGGCTCGGACAACTGACTACAGAATGTGTGGTTACCATCGGAGATATCCTCCGCAGCAGTCTCAAAGGAGGCAGTCGACTCGGAACCTTCTGATAACAATCTTCGCTTCACAACCACACCAGGTTTTTCAGTTTCAATAATTTCTATTTTCTTACCATTTTCACCAGTCTTTTCCAAACCTGCAACAACTTTTACACTTTCATCAGACTGTTTAACATTATTACCAGGGATATCTATTTCACCAGTTAGTTTTTCACTATCAGTATTTGGTTTACCTATATCTGGACCCTTATCTTCAGAGTCTTCATTACTACTAGAAGTAACGTTCTCTATTTTATTACTAATTTTTCTATCATCATCATCCGTTACTTCAGAACTATCCAGTGTGGCTTTTTCAGACCATGATTCATCTTTTAACTTCATTGCAGAAAAACAATTTGAAAGCGCTGACATTGGACTAAGTACATCATGAACACTTTTAAGTTTCTCTTCATCCCCTTCACCACCTGACTGACTTTCTTCTTTACTTTCCTTTTTCATGTCTACTACTGGCGCTTTTACCCTTATAACAAACACACTGTCAAAAGATTTATCTGCGTCACCTACTGTTACTTGCCGTAGACGATTTGTCACAGGGGTTGTCATGGCACTGAAATCTAAGGCCTGGTTGTCGAGAACATATTTCTCTTTAAAATCTTTCACAAAAGACAACCAAACCCTTTTCTTTAAGTAATATTCAAACATATCTAGTCCGTTTGACGTTGAAATATCAATAAATTGGTCCAGGAATTCCCAGTACTCGCTCCATGGTATATGAAGATCATGTGCTAACTGCCTGTAAAATATGTAACCCACATATGAGCCGCGTCACGATAAAACCAACATAGAGCATTTGCGACCAGCATGGATCTAGACCAGCCTGCGCATCCGCGCAGTCTGATCAGGATCCATGCTGTTCACTATCAGTTTCTCTACAAGTTAAAAGGTTTTAAAGCGAACAACATGGATCCTGATCAGACTGCGCGGATGCGCAGGCTGGTCTGGATCCATGCTGGTTGCAAACCCATTATGTTGGTTTTGTCATGACGCGACTCAATTATATTATACTATGTTTTTCATACATCATAATCTCCTTAAACAGCATTCATAAATAATTACATGCAGTTCTTTTTATTCAGTGAGAGTTTAAAATCTGCAAGCCTCCTGAATAGAGAAGAAAGTTTTCAAAAAGTCAAACTTAAAGCAACACACCTTTAAAGACATGTACATTATGCCTCAGAAAACCATATTTTTATAATTCTTTAGAAATGCCAAACATGTGTTTGATAATATGACAGATTTTATGGGTTTAGTTTAAAATGGCCACATGGAAGCCTATTCTAATGCCAGCTTTATTTTAATGTAAACTAAACATAATATAAAACATAAGAAGATTGCGTGTATAATCATTACCTTCCAATTCTTTCCATACCCTTCTCCAGATCACTACGCTTGGTGTTAAAGTAAGCTTTAGCCTGGTCAGGACTCTGGGACACAGATGGTGGCGTCGTCCATCTTTTATGAAATAGTCCAGCCTACAATATGACATATAAAAAATAAAATTCATTAGTATAGAAGGATTGCTTCAAAGCTTAAGAATTGTTCAACTCAAACATAGATATAATGTCTAAATATCTATGTTTTGAGTTGAACAATACTTAAGCTTTGAAGCAATCCTCCTATTGATTTTTTGTTTTGTTTTGGGTTTTACATCACATCGGCACAGTATAGGTCATATCGCAACATTCCAGCTTTACTGGTGAAGGAAGATCTTTGGTGCCCTTCCGTACATTATTTCAGGAACCAAAGGGCACCTGAATAGAACCACCTACATTCCGTAAGCTAGCTGGATAGCTTCCACACATGAAAGAATCCAAAGTCCCTGTCAGGATTCGAACCCACAGTGGTGAGAGGCAAGTGGTTTGAAGTCAACGACCTTAACCACTCGGCCACAGACTCCCCATTCCTCCTATTGAACAAAATGAGATGGAAGATGAGTATCATTTTGTACTTGTATGTGATGTGCCTAGAACTAAATGAATAAGTAAGTAGTTGCTGAGAAAACTATTACAAAAATTTTTCCCTTGCCTGCCCGCGGCCCGACATTCATCATACTATAACTGGGTCTGCACCTGTGCAACCCGGCCAAAAATACAAAAAAGCAACACAAGAATACGATACAAGTTTACGGTAGACAATAAGGGAGGGAAAATCTGTAACTGCAGAGTAAAGGGTTAAAACAACTTACATCTGAAGGTGACATTGGCCCAGCACATGCTTTCACTGACATTGAAGGATCTCTCGGACTGTTTTGTACTCTAGGCATGTCTGTAGATTTAGAGACATCAGGTGACCATGGTTGACCAATCACAGCAGACACAGTATTGTCATCAGAACGCATCAATGGCACGTAACATTGATCTGATATAGAACACATGTATGTATGATAATGCATGTCATAAAAGGATAATGCATGTCATAAGACTAAGAGTTTAAAAAACAATTTGCTAATATGGAATTAATATAACGAACAAAAACTGATCACCTCAATTTGTGATTTTATTGTTTTTTTGTATGGACAAGGAGACCAGTGATTCAAACCATTTGAACTTTCACATGATACAGAGTGTATAATGATATAGTTTGGTTGTTTGTTTGATTTGTTTTTCCGTCACACCGACACAGTATAGGTCATATGGCAACGTTCCAGCTTTACTGGTGGAGGAAGACCACAAGGTGCCCCTCCGTGCATTATTTCAGCTTAGTACAACCACTGATGTTCCGTAAGCTAGCTAGATAGTTTCCTCACATGAAAAAATCCAAAGTGACTGGCAGGATTCAAACCCACAGTGGTGAGATGTAAGTGGTTTGAAGTCAACAGCAATTACCAGTCAGCTATGGACGCTCACTCATTATAGATAATCAACAAACCTTGGAGAAAATCTTCAATTTTTTTCTTCACCGCTGGAGACGCCCCTGGTGTTCTGGAGCAAATAAGCTGCAAGAAAAAAGTAATGATAATATTAATTCTTAAAGAAACACTGCTCAGTGTCAAAAACTTGAGATGTAAAATTTGAAATTCAATCAACTGGCTCTTTTTTTAAATGGAAAAATATGCAAAAGATAATGAAATCATTGCAAAACTGTTCATTTTTCAATTCATTCTGCACAGTTTAAATAACTATTCTGGTACAACAGAATGAGCAAATGATCTGAAATTTTGCACAAAAAATATAGGTCCAGTCCTTCTTCAAATCTCAAAAAATACTTTATCTCTTTATGTAAAAAAACAACCTCAATGAAGTCATTTTAATTTCACTACCAAATTCTTACCTGACTTTATTGAATTTGCTTTTAATTCTTTAATGACCTTTTCATGTTTGAGGTATTAAAATATCATAAAAGAACAAGACAGGAGTACATGGGATATAAATGCCTCCGTACCATGGGCTTTATATTGAGAAATAAGAGCATTATCTTATTTTAAGGTATTTTCAAGTGAGTTTTATAGTTATATAAGATATAAGTTTTTAGGCAATGCTATAATGCATGATTGAATATGTCAATATATACTTGTTAAGATCATGGCTCAGTTCACAAACTGATGAGTAAGCCATACCCTTTTGATATAATGACCAGGGTTTTTTTTCCAGGATTTTGGGAACACGACCCATACCCATGGAATTGAGAATTTCAGCGGTGTTTTGTTAAAAATTGGGAAAAAATGCATGACTGAAGTTTTGCAGTGATTAAATGGATGCAAACAATTACTGTTAAGCGCTATTACAGTAAAAAAGCGCTTATTTGCAAAGATTTTTAAATTTTTATTCAATATTTTTATATTGTAACTTTCGATTGGGAATTTTTTCCTGTGGATTGGGAAAATAATATACTATTTTCAATTGGGAATATGACCCAATAACTGCTATAAAATAAGCCAAAAAAAATAATCCCTGAATGACAAACCATTTTCTTAAACTTTGCTTAAAGGGACACTACTGAGGTTTTTTATTACATTATCAGACTATAAATATTTTTTATAAGACTTATTTATTATTAATTCTTTATGTTGTTCAGGTCCAATAACTTGTGTACAAATTTTCAGATCATTAACAGTCTGTTTTTCAAGAATAATCACTTTTATAATGTAAAATGAACAAAAAAAGAAAGGATTCCACCACTCTTATTATCTTTTGCAAACTTTTCCATTTTAAAAGCCCCATTTCATGATTTGATCAATGAAAGCATTTCATATTGTATGTTTTAAAGCTTTTGAAAAAAAATCCTTGGAACAAAACTGATGTCTTCAACCATTAATGGCAAAAAAAACCCCAAAAACATGGATACTTTTGATTCAAACATACTTTTAAGAGTGAAAGTCCCAGTTAAATCGTTTAATTATCTGCAATTTACGGTTATTATAATATAGAAACTGTAAAAAGGTTAATATTGTAATAAAGCTAAAATGGGTTATTTGTCCTTTTTTCTGCAGATATGCAGTGTGACACATATCATAAGCTAAGTATCATGTCATAAAATTTGTATCACAGCATATTCCATATCATAAGTTGACCATATCATCACCCCTAATATTCTAATCTCCTCAATGACAACTATAATTCAACTAACCTGTTTTGGTGTTTCCCCCCACTTGTTTTTCAGTTGTTTATCTATTCTAGGATGAGAAGCTAGCACTTCAACAACCTTCTCATGACCAAACTTACAGGCCATATGTAGTGGTGAATCACAATTCTATTAAACAAATATGAAAGAAATCATGTTACTTAATGACTAATATCTAAATTACATAATTATAAAAGTATTTCATTAGGTACTAAAAAGAAATTCCCTTTCAAGTATATATAATATTTTCAAAGTATTGGTGGATTATATGTCAAGATTTAGTTAAATTATATTATCAAAATATTTCATTGTCAAATAAAATTTATATTTTAAGAATCCATTATAAGGGACGACACACTTTGTATCAAAGACAATGAAATTCACCTTTTATACACATGTAGGTTTTATGTAGCACAACATGGCAGTTTATGTTAAACTTGCCATTTTACCAGAGACATGTTTATGTATAAATGCCTGGTATCTCTACAACTTACCCATTTATTTGGCACATTTTTAAATAAAACTTACCCTATTTATCTGGCACATGTTTAAGTACAACTTACCCCTTTATCTGGCCCATGTTTAAGTTCACCCACTCATTTTTATCTGGCACAATTTTAAGTACAACTAACCCCTTTATCTGTCATGTATAAGTTCAACTTACCCCTTTATCTGGCATGTTTAAGTACAGATCAACAAGGAAGTTGATACGAGAGTTTTGTATTTCCTCTGACTGTATACTCTGACTGTAAAGTTTGTTGACAAACTCTGGATTCTCTAGAATATCAAGTATTGTTTGACACATCTCCGGTTTGTTCTTTATGGCCGCAATATGCATGGCTGTGTATCGAGGTCCTTCCTAACAAGAAAAATAAAGTAAGTGAATAACAGGTAAACTGTTACCGCGAGTAGCTCTAAAGAAAAGTGACTGTGCTGATATAACATTTTCATGTTAAAGGGACTCCACTGAGACTTTTGACATAACGAGACTAGAAATATTTTTCAGAGATTTGTGTACCATTTGATGAAGGCCTAGACATATAACTTGTGTGAAAACTTTCAGATCATTCCCTCAGCCCATTTTTCAAGAATCACCATTTTTGTTGAGCAAAATTACTCAAATCACTAAAATTGGGCTAAGAATCACACAAAAAAACTAAATTTAAATTTAATTCTGAGCACATTTTTTTTTATTATCCTTTGCATATTTTTGTTCATTTTAAGTGCTCCACAAAGTAAGAATTTCAGTTATTTTGTTTTTAAGCATTTTTTACCTCAGTGGAGCTCCTTAAATCAATGCTCATACTGTAAAGGAAGGCTTGTTTATCAGAGGGCTGTCTGTTTGGTCAAAAATACTTATTTTAAAGTGTATAAAGCTTTGTTTGGATTTTAAGAAAAAAGAAAACATAAAAAAACTTGCATAATACATTTATGAACGAAATATGCTTGTTTTTATTTCCTAAAGATCAAATGGTGAATGCAAAGAATCAATGATAAATGGTTAAAAAAACAATGTTGAAAATTGTTAGCGAATATTTTACTCTGTTTTCATCCAATATTTATTTTGCTTAAACCAGATACATTCTATATTTCGATAATCAACCATAGTTGAAGAAACAAAATAATTTTACTGTTTAAAGATATGATTTTATAAAAATATTTCATAGGATATAGCATTATGTGCTGAGCTGATACATTATAAATTATGTTAAAATTTTAGATTTAGTTTTTGAACATTGAGTACATTTTAACCATTCAAGTACAAATAAAGGTTAAATAGAGTTATAGTGAATGTCTGTCAAACCAGGGATTGTCGGATCGAGCACTACTGGTGAAACAAGACACAACCATATTTGTTTAAAAATAAAATAAAAATGATTACCTGGTACATAGTTGGTGTATCACCACTTCCAACCAAATAACGTGGATTCTCCCACACCTGTACTCTGAATGCATCAACATCACCAGTTTCTATAACCTTCCTTAATTTAGAAAGGTCTTGAGGCTTTGGGGCTTTGAATGGTGAACTTTCTGAAACAACCTGGCTTTCCTTCACTGGGGTATCCTATTGGTTTAAAAATATTATTAAAAATATTAATCGAAACATTAAATGAAGTTTTAAACATTAAATGTAAATATTTTAATAGTTTTAAATCACAATAACATTATGTAGGTCAAATGTTGGATATGACAGCTTTATTGCTGGATGAGAAACACAGAATGCTCCTCCTTATTTTAGATTATTTTAGCTGTAAGCTGGAACCTGAGCAGAACCAATGACCTAATTGCTTTCTTAATTTAAATTTTCTTGTGGGATATACCAAATAGTCTTAGAAAAGCGCCCCTTAGTAAAACTGATGATAAATTAATTATAAGTCTTCAAGTGTCTGAATCACCACAAAAATACCAAATTCCACCAGTTTGGGTCATTTTTCCAAAGCAATAAAATTGAAAAACCCTGAAATTTAATCGTAAAAATTTACTATCTACATGTACCTCCTTTGAAGGTCGACGAGGAGACTGAAAGGCTGATTCTGCGGTAAGTCTTGAAAACACTTTAGCATCCTGCTCTGATTTAAACACCTTAAATCTAGATCCTGTGTACTTCTTTGCTGTCTTTAATGCTAGATCTTTGTCAGAGAAAACCAACTCATTGACTGAAATAAAAAAAAGTACTTGGTCAAATATCTCTATAAATGCATGTAACATTAAACCTATGTGAATAAAAATTTAGTTGTCTGTTTAGTTAAGGGCGTAGCATTAAATCATTTTACCATAACTGTTGAGCCCTTGCTTGGTTAAAACCATACATATGAACTTTTTTTGATGATCAAGTGGGAGATTTTTCTTCAAAAAGAGGGAGATTTTAGAATTTCCAATAAACAATGAAGAAAGTTCTGACATCAAAAAGAGGGAGATTTTTTTGTAAAAATTCCCCTTTATTTTCAGAAAAATCTTTGAAAATATATGGCTGCAGAAAGTGGGAGTCTTCCGCCAAAAGTGGGAGAGTTCACATGTATGTAAAACTTTAAATGACTGGTAAGCAAAGGCATTTTTTTATATAGCCTAATGGAGCCAATTTTGAATAGTTCAGAGGAAATATGTAAGGTTCACACACAATGACTTTCCTAGTAGGAGACCACCAAACCCTGACGTCCCCGAAAATACCTGATTTAGTTTTTTTTATTTGTTCCATGGTTGTTGATCTATCCGTCCCTTTTATATCAACAATAAATGCATGTTGTTCTATAATTAAGTAATTAAATTTATTTCAATTTTTGTAAACGGTAATATTTTAACATCTTTTCCAAGAACGTTGACATTGATATTAATTTGGATGCCAAGAGTCCAATACCTGACCTCTTATACTAAGCTATAATCATTTGCAGAGTGAATATAAGAATATCCAAACTTCAGCATTTGCTGCTGAAATATTTCATATCATGTTAAAAAAAAACAAAAAAAAAAAAACATGAAACCTTTTATTGAATTGATTAAGCATCATGGAGTCGATGATGGACATATCTGTCCGGACACATGGTACTATAGTGTGGACAATTTAGGTAATTTTGATACCCTCCTTCACAGGCCTCAGATATAAGTGTCAACATAATAAGAAATAAGCAAACTAGTCTGTTCATTAAGTGAAGAACCTAGCTGTACTTTGTTAAATTTTCAGCTCTCTAGCTTTAAAATTATGAAATCTGTATCGAAAAATGTTCAAAAAGTGTCTGGTTGGTGGTCCTTGACCAGTATGGCAAATTCTGATAGTTCTAAATCACGTACATTAATACGGAGAAGTCAAAGGCCGGGCTGCGAAGCGGGTCCAGGCTTTGGCTTGCCGGGCTATAGACTACAAGTGTATATTTAAAAGAAACTCAAATAAAAAGCAATTAAAGAATATATAGAGTTCTATACCTATCAATGAAATTTTCAGTGTCAGTTCCAGGGCTCACACTGGCTCAAATAAAATAATAGCCAATATCTTTAACTTAAAAAAATAATAGCCAAAAGTTCAGAGGACTATTCACGATTTAGCGATTAACAACATAAGCAGTTGATTAAATAAACATTACATATATTTTTTTTTTCAGTTTTGTAAGGGTTCTCAAATAAACTGATACATTTGTGTATATTGATAACTACCTTTTTTACATAGGAATACAACTTTAATTGTTATTATAGAACAGAATAAAAATGTTATATAGCATAATTACTGTATAACAATATTATTAAAGATTCATTATAACTTTACATAATGCTGTTATCAGACAATTTCTTTTGTTTGTTCTAATCAAATTTTGCCAGCTATAACCACTGTCAATTTCCACATTTCACACAGAACTGGAGTAGATCTAGGTCACATTAGCCTATAGAAATTACACTTGCAAACTCATTCACAGAATGCAGCCTTTTTCTGAATAACTTATTGAAAAATGTCATCATCACCAATGTAAAACAAATTTTCTGCCATAATAGTAAAGATTTTTAGACAGAAGATAGCTTATTTTCACCTTTAAATAAATATCAAAATTATCGGTGTCGCAAAAATATGTGACAATCGGGTTTTTTCTGTTTCTGAAGAAATATTCACAATTTTTGGTTGTTGTGCAAATAGTTGTTTGGAAGTAAATGCTTTTTAAATATTTTATCATTGTTTTCCACTGTCGATTTAGTCAAGCAGCTTAAAAGAAAAAAAATCAAAATTTGCCATTACTGCAATTTACGGTAAATTTTGGGTTGGTCAATATCCAGTTTATCAATTTTAAGACAATTTTTGTAGCTTATTGACGGATTTTTTATGGCTATTATAACGCTGGACAATATCTTTTAAGTACTTATACAATTTTAAATCTTGCATGTTTTTTTATCACCTGCATGTATTTTTATCACCTCAGGCAATAGTAAGCAATGCGTGACCAATAAAAGTTGACACTCGATTAAATCTACCCCGCTGGTGTTAATTGGGTCTACTGCAGTCTTTATAGATTTTAACAACTTATATAATTGCTGTTGGAAGTAAAAAATAATCGCCAGATTTTGTAGCCAAAATTCAAAAATAATCGCCAATCTTATAAAATAATCGCAAATGGCGACTATGGCGACTGACAGCGTGAGCCCTGGTTCTAGTCGGGCGTCGCCATTTTCAATATAACTCAATGATAATAGGCGGGGTATTCCGATAACGAACAATCACAACTTTTGAATTCGGACTAATGATATTCATCGAGTATTCGGAGTGAAAACAGAAGCGGTGCATAAATACCGAATTATACCTTTAAAACGGAAAAATGAATTATTATCTAACCGACTTCCCCGTACATGGCTTTGCCTAAATTCATATTATCAGGAAATATGACAAATTGTGTAAAAAAGATTGTTTCAAATACTATAGTTTGTTGCACAGGACAGTTTAAAGAATACCTTTTTATACATAATAACATATATGAAATTATAACAAGTTGCTAATTTGGGGATATCCTTAGAAATATTGCACCAATTTACTTCATTGTTTTCAGTGTGCCATCGTTTTTGACTTCTGGTGAATGATGCATGGTTAACGATGTTATGTTAAATAACTGAAGTTTAAAAATCAAAGTCCTTAGTTTTTAAACCCAAGAATGATCTTATCTTTACCTTCTTGCTCATGTTCCACATTTTCTGGCAAGCATACAGCATAGTAAACACCAGAAATATTGGACGAGACTGCTCCTTCTTTCTTGACATCTTTTAAAGGTTCTAATATTTTCTTGGTCTCCTTTTCATCAACTGGAAGATCATCTAAAACACCGCCTTGTTTCCTGAAGAGTTCCTTTGCGAGTCGTTTTTGAAACAAGGAAATGCAGCTGGGTGCAATTGGACCAACTGCCACCCCATTTTCGGCTAATTTAGCTCTCAAAGTGTCAGTGTCATACCTTCTCACCTCTTCCAATATTTCCTCCATATCTCTAACTAATCATTCTAAGGTTTGAAAGTTTGAAAATAAAATAATATTTTAATTTTGGAAAAATTGGAATATTTTCAAAATTCCGCGAAAACCGATGACACGGTTATTTGTAAGAATTAAAGTTCATACTTTTCGGTAGATTTTGTTAAATCGGTCCTGATTGGTTGACATTTTAGCAAACTCACCAATGAGAATCACCGTTTCGTTTACGGTGTAGCGAGTTAAGTTGCAGACAGTTTATTTATTTTTTTTGTTACATTGGACATAATTTGACTCAAATTCTTAGTTTGATGTAAATGTCACTCTTATGCATTATTGAAATTAGTTATTGAGTAAGGTAAGTGACACTTTGACAAGTTCTTTGTGATCAAACATTCTTTTCTTTTTTAGATATTGATATTTAATCTGTTGACACACCCCCATCTCAAGTGTAATACGCCCATTCGGCCTGTTTGTTTTCCAGAACCGAATAAATTTGTTATTTCAGTTGCTTTACATTTATGTTCTCTTTTAAGTTTTTTTTAAAGTCAGCATATATCAATCGTCTAAAGCAGTTAGCAGTGTCGATCAATGATTCTATTTTAAAACTATACTGTAAGACTCCGTTTAAAGTCTTAAAAAATCCTCAGAGTTGAACCTTACTCCTAACCTTACTCCTAACAGTTACTAGATGTATACTCAGCCACAAATTGCAGAAGGTTAACACTAACCCAGTAGAAAGTCTGTTGAAAAGTTGCCAGCAACCATAATGCTGCTAATTATCCTGGAAAAGACTCCGGGGTCTATATTTGGAGTACATATATATATATCGTAATCTTGACTTTGTGTTTTCCTTTTTTTTATTATATATACAAGTTTTACTCCTGAAACATACAGGTATAATGCAGGAGATTGCCCATAATTCAATACATGTACATAATATTTAGAGAAAACGTGTAATTTATTGTCAAAATAGAATTCTATGCATATAAAAAAAGACAAGAAAAATAGAAAATTGGTATGTCTAATAATAGCAAAGATGTTTATTGCAGAATTAGGAGTTCATAATGAATTATGAGAAGTTTGGTGGTGGGGATGAAGAGGAGGTTGATGGTTTCAAAAGACAAAACTCCGCAGAGATAGCCCCATCTGAGGTTGTGTCAGCATCAGCAAAGGGTAGTATTGATGATGTGCAATTAAAGATAGATGAAAAACCTGGAGCTTCAAATCTAACAATATATGACATCGAAAAAAATTCAGACTTGCAGTATGTTGAAGACCCTGGAAGCCGAGAAAATCCAACAACTGTAATTCAGTAAGCATAGATTTAGACTTTTGCGGCTGTACTAATTTAAATATAGAGTGTGGACCAGTAGATTAGATGTAAAATGGTGGTTCCTTATATTGTCTGCAAACTTCATTTTCCACCTTAAATCTTTTTTTTTTTGACAATAATATGAAACGATTTATCAGAAAATAACATCTTTAACCTATATAACAGCTGAAGGCCACTGTAAGTATTTTATTTATTTACTTTTAAGCTTTACATTATTGATCATACATTGAGCTGGCTTGAAAGGAACAATTCATAGCTGTGAACAAAAGATTATGACTTTTAAAAATTACATTTATGTGTACAATAATATTATGAATTTCAAAGCCTATTTGTTGATTTTGCTTAAGTTCAAAAACCAATAATTACATCATCAAATTTACAAACATTTATGTTTTAAATCCTAAAATTATCAAAGTACAAGAAAATGTGCTTATAAAATTAAACAAAAAACAAACATATATGAAAATGTTTGTAAATGTTTAATTTACTCAAAATTTGTTTTAAACTTTTTTTTGTATCACTAGTAGTAAATCTGATCTCTTAACTTTGTTCATGATATGCATTCTAAGAGTAACATGTACATACAATTTCAGGTTCCTTCAGCAAAAGGTTCAGATAGTGGTTGAGCACTTGATATTCCGTATTATTACAGTTCTTCTCATTTTATTGGACTTTACACTGGTCACCATAGACTTGGCTAAATTAGCCTGTGATGCTAACAGTATATTGGAGATCGTATCCCATGTTATCATTTCTTATTTTGTGCTAGAAATATTTCTTCGGATTTTCTACATGCAGTAAGTATGAATTGTAAATTAATTCTTAAAGGAACTCCACGGAGGTCCAAAAGCGTAAAAATTTAAAAATTGAATTTCCTAAATAGATCAGTTGGGACACTTGAAACAGAAAGATATGGAAAAGATAACTTAGAACTATACTTAGAAATATATTGAAAATCTTATTTTGAGTTATTCTTAGCCCATTATACAAGGTTTTTTTTCATTTTGGGTCATATTTCACAATTAAAATAATTAGCGAAAGTGAGAGAATGATCTGCAATTTTGCATACAAGTTATTTGTCTAGAATTTCATCTATTGAAACAATAATCTTTGAAAAATATTTCCAGTCAAGTCATGTTTAAAAACCTCAGTGGAGTCCCTTTAAAACAATTTTCTTTTGCATTAGCTTTGACTGATATAGAGCTTTGTTTTAAATTTATTCTGTTGTTCACCTATGAAAAACCATTTTAAAGAGTTTAATCAGGAAAATTAACATTAGTTTAACTTAGTATTTTTTTAATTTGAATGTTTATGCATATAAAGCATAAGAATATACAATACAAGTTTATAAGTACACTGATCTGTCATAATGTCACACTGGGTAAGAATAATATGCAACCTGACTTGAATTAGTCTCCAAATTTCTTAAACAGGTATTGCTTCAGAGATGTGAACCATCAAGGCCCTAAGTTTGCGGCCTGATTTGGGACTTGAACCCGAGATCTGGAGAATACTTTTCCCTAGCTCTATTCACTGAGCTATCTGGTTGCTTACAAACTGTCATTTTTTGTTATCCTTTTCTCTTTCTAGGCGACGTTTTTTCTACAACTGGATAGACGTGGTAGATATGATTGTTGTGTTTGCATCATTTGTATTGGACATGGTCTTCATCTTCATATCTAACAGCAGTCAATGTACAGCTGCTGAGGGCTCCGACTATGCTAAGTAAGCTTGACAGACTGAAATTACATCAGTCCTTAAACCGGCATTCTGACACCAAGACCTTTCACATGGTCTTTTTGTCTTGTTGTTCTTTCAGCTAGCTCCAAATGTTAAACAAGAAGTACATGTACAATGGTTGAAAATAAAAATAATATTGTAATAACATTAGCAAATAACCATTTATTTGAAAATCCACTTGAATGTTTTTAATGAATATAAGATATAGACTTCTTGATAACTACATTTCCCATTAATATAATTACTCAAACGTTTAACTTACTATGTTCAGCTCTTTGTAAGAAATAACATCTTTTTTGCATAGTAACATTTAGATGTATTATATTGACCATATTTTTAGAGAACAATATTGTTTTCTAGGTTGATGGTGATAGGTCGTGTGTTTAGGATCATCAGAATTATCAGGATCGTTTACTTCATGTTTAAAGAGAGGCGCCATGTATCCACGGCAACCAGGAGAGTTGTCTCTCAGAACAAGAGACGTTATCAGAGGGATGGGTTTGACCTTGACCTTTGTTACATCACAGGTAAATTTATTGATGAATTGCTCAGGTGGTAATTAATACCTGAAGTTATACATGATGGGGCATCTTGGGATCTTCCTTTATCAGAAAGGCAGATATGCTTATAGTTATGTCACTAAACAAATGTATGAAGGGCCATTATATTAAAGGAGTCTTCCCCAATTAGATAAATTGGAATGGTTCTACATGACCATAGCATTTGTAAAAAGTATTTGCATAAATTGTATCCTTGATGAATCAAGAAATCCATATATTTTACAGATGAATAAATAGCTGTTTACCCTAGGCCAAAAAAATAGATGTATTTCCCAACAAAAAAGATGAATTTCCCCTGAAATGCCCTATGCACATTCTTCACCAGAACAATGAATTAGCAACAACTGACTTATATCTGCTAATTGATCACTTTACTGAAAGACAGAAAGCTGACCTTAAAGATAGTTTCTGAAATTGAAAATTTTATAAAAGTGTGGGTAAATTCCATTTTCATTTGTTTTAATTTGATTTCCAGTTTTCCCCCATTTCTGATTTATCATGCTATATTTTCCTCTACAGAAAACCACTGGTTGTTTTGAAAATTGAAAATAAAAATTACTGCCTTGATAAAGTTAGAAATTCTTATTATATAGTTATTTAGTTATCTTGTTTTGTGAATTTTTTTACATTATTGTATTTCAGAGAGGGTTATAGCTATGTCATTCCCATCAAAAGGACTTATGGCAGTGTATAGAAATCCTGTACATGTACGTATTAAATTTATACACTTGACACAAAGAATTTACTAGATACAAATTTAAGCCTATAGTAATACATAACAGAAGCTAATGATTTTTCCTGATTGATTTGAAAGATTTGGAATGATTTCCGATGGTTTTTGGCAGAGTTATGCCCCTTTCACTTTGAAAATAATATGAAATTTTCAGTTTCCGATCATTATCTCCCAAACGGTATTACTGAAATTTGACATATGGATATGTGAAAGGAATGCACTGGTCAAGTTTGAATTTGGTCAGGGTTCGATGATATTTGGCAGATAATTCTACATTCATCTGGAATAGAGGATCATAAATAAGAATTGTGTGTATACAGTGTATGAAATAGAATTTCAAGAGGGTATCAAAGGTTACGAAGACTGCATAGCACTGACATCTGTCAAAAAGACAAATTTAAAAAGCAGTGACAATGACATTTTTTTTCTCTTGTTCTAGGAAGTGGCAAGGTTTTTCAACACTAAGCACCCTGATCATTATAGAATTTACAACCTATGTAGTAAGTGCAGTCCTTTTTTATTCTATTAAAGATGTTGACTTAGTAAAGAAGGCACGTACTAGTATAATCATGTTTTTCTTTAAAACTGCCTTCATTTTGTTCATATTTGATGTATGAAATGTTTTGGTACAGTCTGTTTCTAACTCACCAGAATCAACAGTTCATGATGAGCTGTTTCTACAAAAGGAGCAGATACTTCACCAACTGTATCTAGCAAAGTCTATATTTTCTGTGGAACATTTATCTCGAAAAATCATTTCCAGTCCTGTTCTATAAAAAAACAACAGAACTCAGTGGAGTCCCTTTAATAGATTAATATATCATACCCAGACTTGATATTTGAGCTACTTTGGAAGAACCTTGCATCATTAAGACTGAATTATAAATTAGTTTTTGGCTCCATTAGGGACCATTTGAGCACAATCTCTGTTATTTGCTGAAGTTTGTGATGCAATGAACATCATAGCATTTAGATAATGGCTTCTATAAGCTTCTGCTTTCGGCCAAAACCTATAATTATTGTTTTGTTGTTATTTACACATGTACAAATATACTAAATAAAATATGTTTAAACCAACATCATAGCAATCTTGTTTATATTCTTTCTATGGTATAAATATATTTGAGATTTATGGTCACCTACAAGTACATGTATGTTTCAGGTGAGAGAGATTATGATGAAACTTTGTTCAATAATCAAGTAGAGAGAATATTTATTGATGACCACAATGTACCTTATGTCAGGTAACTATTGTTTAAGATTTCTTATACATGTAACTAACTATATCCTCCCTAAAGCTTTGTCTTTTATTTTTATACCTCCAGGTTGTTAGATTGGAAAGGAGCATTGCTGTTGATCTGTCTGTCCGACTTTTTGTCACAAAACTTTAACCTTATACATAGCACAGAAGCTTTTCTATCTACAACTGTCTATCTTCAAAGGTTTGAGGAGCATATAGATGATATGACTTACAGGTCACAGGGTCAAGGTCCCATGGGATAAAGTCCCACATGGGCATGGTGATCGTTTGAATGGGGAATTTTTTACTTTTAAGTCCCAAAGATTTCAAACATATGCTATGTTTAGAATAAATGCATATTGCTGTTACAACACAACTAGAGTGTATTTATTTAAGATCATACATTCAACTTGAACACCAACACATCACACATGTAGGAAAATTGTTATTTTTAACTGAATAATTTATCTCCATTTTGTAAATTAAACTGTTCATTTCAGAAAAATATACATTTAATCATTCATACTTCAATTTTGGAAGTAAGGTATAGTGTAACTCCATTTCAAACATCTTTACTTTCATTTAAGAAGTAAGATAGTTCCATTTTAGAAATGGTTCACTTCTATTTCAGAGATATGATATGGTTTTGTAAAAATGCAAGAGAATTTATGGAAGCAGATAAACGTAATGTGATAGCTATACATTGTAAGGGTGGGAAGGGACGTACTGGTACAATGATTTGTGTATGGCTCATTGAATGTGGAATCTTTGAAGATGCTAAGGTAAACTTTGAATATGTTACAATCCAAGATTGTTTTTAAAAAATTAATTTGGGCATTGTCTGATTTTTTTTTAAACTTTAAATATGTCACAATCCAAGGTGGGTTGTTTTTGTTTTTTTGTTGTTTGTTTGATTTTTTTTGGACACTGTCTAAAAATTGTATTTGTTTCCTTTGACAGTTTTCAAGTTAAATTATGTACTAAAATTGAATGAATTTACAAATTAAGTTATTCTTAAAATTGTGCTTAAAATAAGTCTTTCAGATACTGGAGACAAAGAGTGTAAGTTTTGCTTCTAAATTATATGTTAAATTTACATAATGATTTCATGGTGGCAAAAACACTTGTATTGCAAATAATTGTTAAATGTTGGTGAGTAAAATGTTTATGTATCTGCACAGGTCTATGGCAAGATATTACTGAGAACGTCACTGAAAGTAAAACTAGATGTACATATAATTGTTCCAAATGTGCTTCATTTTTAACTTTTTCGTAAAAGAAATTTTGAATGATGCCAGTATTAAGTTGTTGAAAAAGGTTAAAAACAGTTATTTTGTTTTTAAGGGTTTTTTTGTGGGAGCATATAGCATTGCGCTTGTCCGTCTGTCTGTCTGTCCGTCTGTCCGAGCAAACATTTGATATTTATGAGTTAAATAAAGAACAAAAGCTCATAAAATTCAAATTAAGAGCTATTTTTTTGTTTTTATGAGCTAATTTTGCTTATGGACTTTGGCCCAGGTGTAGTTTATGAAATCTTGTGAACGCAACTCCTCTTAAACCGGATGGCAGATTTTGCTCAAACTTCCATGGATGAACAACCTTAACGTATAGATGGTAGTAAAGGAAGGAATTTTTTGCTGTGACCAAATTTAACAGAATTATGGCCTTTTGTTGATTTTTTCACTATATACCATATATATGTTGTCAGTTGGGGCATCCGTGTCCTTTGGACACAGTTCTAGTTTTTAAATATTATTTAACATTTCAGGAGTCACTTGATTATTTTGGAGACAGAAGGACTGACCTTAGTGTGGGAAATAAGTTCCAGGGTGTAGAGACACCAAGTCAGGTATGTTTGTTATCATTATGTTAATCATATATCACTTTAGATAGTGTACTGACCTATAAGCAAAGGTGTTTCAAGTGCTATGGCATGAACTATCATAAGTTCATCTTTTTGAAGGTTACTAAGTGATAAAGCTTAATTTTTATCATTTCCCCCATGTAATTACCACTGTTGAGCTAGAAACCTGTAAAAAAAAACCTGTAAATTTGAAATTCACTTCAAAATTTGAATGAAATTAAAAAAGTGTAGTCGCCCTAAGAATAATTTGTTTTCTTGCACTGCTATGACAATTCTTTAACTTAAGATTTACCAGAATTAATAAGTGTAATTTAGTGTAGATCTAATAATTCTTTTTTTTTTAATGTTTTCATTAAAGAGTCGCTTTGTTGGCTACTTTGAGAAAGTAAAGAAGGTTTATAAAGGAGAACTTCCGCCAAGAACAGAGTTGAAAATTACTTCTTTCAAGATAGAGAGTATTGCAGGTATGTATTCAACTTTGGCTCCTAATTTTACCATTTCAGTAGATGTGTGTTTGCATTAATGCCTTTCTTGATTATGGTCTATTTTATCATTAAGATTATATCTTATTGTATGAAATACTGTGTCGCCTTAAAAAAAGCAACACAAAGGGGTTACTTTTGTCGGCTGTGTCGATGTCCCCTTAGGCTTGTCTGGAGCAACTTTAGTCACTTAAAGTCAGATTGAGTCCAAACTTCATATGCTTGCTTCTTTCAATGAACCGAAGTGCAGTGTACAAGAATCGTTACTCTGCACTCCTTAATTTTTGAGTTATTGCCCTTTGTTAATTTTTATACTTTATTTTTGTCTGGGCCATTTCTCATAAACTATAAAAGCTATGGACTTGAAACTTCATGACATGATAGATCTCATTGAGATAAAGTGCAGTGTTCAAAAACCCGGTACTCTGTACTCCATGATTTTTTAGTTATTGTCCTTTGTTAATTTTCAAACTTTATTTTTGTCCGGATCATTTACCCTAAACTATAAAAGCTATGGACTTGAAAAACAAAAGGAAATGAATAGTCTGTTCTGTTTTATTTTTTAATATCTTTAAATGAAGGGTTAATGTAAGGGCTCTCTTTACATGTTAAGCAGTTATGCTGGAAAATGCCTCCATGCGAGAAGGCACCTGAGTAAAACACTGATCTTCATTTAAGGTGAATATATCCAAACCTGCGTACTTGATTAATTATCTGTATTATCTCTCTAGGTGTAGGAAATGGTGATGGTACTGATCTAAGTATAGAGCTTAGAGTTAATGGTCTTCCGATATTTGAAGCTAATGCTGCCCGAGGTATAAATTGTGAGGTAAGAATATTGAAAATGTTGAATCTTTTTGCTATTTTCCTAATTAAAAATAGGAGAGAATACTCATTCATGTACATGAGACCTGGGGACAAATGTGGTGTTGAATTCAACTTGTTTTGATGATTATGTATTATCAAACTCATGCAAAAATCATTGAACAAGTATGAAAGTCAATGGTTTTACAAAAGTACCTGAATATTGATTTTCTTAATGACAGTGCATGGCTATATAAAGCTAGTGCTTTGTCTGAAATAGAGAAAATCTAAGAGGCTATGAGAGTACATGCTTAATTACATGATTTAGTGATATGAGGTAAATGTCCTCAGACTTTTATAGAGCCTCGTGTGACAATATTTCATTTAAACATAATTTATTTGAGCTTGATTGTTTAAAAATTTGTTGTGTATTTGAGCCACTCTCAAATTTAAAGAATTTATCATATAAGCTTACAACTAATTATACAGGGTCATATAACTTCTCATTAAACTGTATAATTAAAATTATAATACTGCATGTCTGTAACATTGTTTTTCATTGGATAATTGTGATGTTTATATAACCTATATAAACATCTGCTGTCAATTTATGAAGTAATTACAATTTTTTTCTCATACAAAGGTGTTCACTAACTGCTTGGGTTATATATGCAAACTACCATTTATATTATGAGTTAGAAAGATTTTTGACAGGTTTATATGGCCCTATATAAATGGTTGTTTGGAAATAAATAAATTTGTAATACAGAAAACATCATCTTTTAGAGATAAAAGTAATATTTATTGATAAATTGACAGTAGCCATGTATAAAAAACTATATAAACGTCATGATTATCAAATGAAAAGGAACGTTACAAATATGCAGTATAAAAAAGGGCAATATAATAAAAAATCTTTATAACAAATGATATAAATGACTGTTTCAGTTGCAACATGACAGGGAGAAAGATAGTTTAACAATTACCTTGAAGAACTCTGTTACATTAGCTGATGATGTTAAAGTGAGATTCATCTCTTCTAGTGTAAGTACATTGTATGTTTAACTAGGCAGTCTTAATAGTTCCTGTTGTATGTTTAACTTGGAGGTTTATACTTTAGATGAAATGTTGTAATGTTATGAATTTATATGGATAATATTTTCAGTTCAGACCCCGTAATTATAAAGAAATTCTCCAAGGTCAGACTCATATTTCGGGTATTTGATTGGTCAGAAACTGTCACAGAATGTACACTGACCAATAAAAATCCTGAGATTTGAGACAGAACTCAGACAGAAGTTTTATAACTTTGAGGCCAGGACACTGGACATTGTTACTGACACAAGAATTGGGTTTAGAGCAATTGTTTAAGGCATTAACATGGCTGTCTAGTTATAGCTGTACAGTTCTCTTAGAGCGAGATATTCCTGAAAGTTAGAATTCGATTCCTTTTCTTCGTTTTCATCTCATCTTGACTATTGGAAGAAGAGGGAGGGCTTTTGTACTCACCCAGGCATCAACACTTAGATTAAGTTTTGCATGCAAGTTGGTATCTCAGAAACAATCCACGGAATTGGTTGATCTTCACACACTTACTTGAGGCCCTTGTTTAGTACTATTAAGCACTGAGAATGGTCAAGCATGCTGTGCTACCACTATTGTGTACATATTTACTTTAGTTTGAAAAAAAAAATATTTCTAAGCTTAATTCATAACAGAAGCTGAATTAAAAGCATCAAAGCATGACTCATTTTATGGCTAGGGCATAGTGTAAGTTGACATTTTCTAGCATGGGTAAAAAAATTAAAAAGATCAAGTTGATGTTATTGAAGAACATTTATTGCTTGGGAAGATTTAAAGGATTTTCTGGATTATTTATGTGAAACACTCTAGTTTAGTTTAAGAGTAGATCTATATACTGGTATTTTAACATCTATTTTTATGTTTCTATTTTTAGAATAAGTTTCCAAAGATATATGATCACTGTGCATTCTATTTCTGGTTCCATACATCATTTATAGAGGATTACAAGTAAGTGTATCTTTGTACAGTTATGTTAATGCTGCATGCCGCCAGATGAGGCAAAATATTTGAGCCGTGTCACGACACGGCTCATTTCTTAAAAATGACACTAAAGAAAAATGTACAAAGGTTTAAAGAAAATTAAAAAGATTGAAATTTCAAGTAATAATTTACATGCTATGTGCAATAAATGACTGATTTTGCAGCATTTATTACCTTATTTCTACTGCGCGACTGATGCAGAGCTAGTTTTGTATATTTTGACCTCTTTATGGTATTTTTCATTGCTTGTAAGTGCTGTTTGCAATATGTAAATTGCTGTCTGTTCACTTTACAATATTTTACTTTAAATTTTTTTTTTTTACATTTTCAAAATTCTTATGAAATTTAGCCTGAATCTGGAGGCATGCTGCTTTTATTGCAGTCCATTTGTATAAGTTGTATAACTAAACAGAGAAACGATACCAGTCTTAATATATAACACTGTCCGTTGCCTTTCTTTGCAGTCTATAGTTAATTTTGGGCTTGTATGATATACCTTTATCTTAAGTTGCAAATAGACCCCATACAAGCGATTTTTCTTCAAACAATAGTACATAAAAGAAATTTGTTTGTTTATGTGTAAGATGAGATTTCATTTCAATGAGTGAGCTTTAAAAACAGTAATCTCACAAGTCAGAAGTGGTCATTAAAGAGTGTGAAATTATATTTTGATAATTTTCACTGTGAAATTATCAAATATAATGTTCACGGAAAAGTCAGTATTCCTCTCAAAAGCATAAAATAAAATATTATATTTTAAAGGTAGTGTCAAGAGTACAAAGACGTACTGCCATTGTGAAAAATCTCAAAACATGTTTGGCTATTCTCTAATATATATTTCTCACAGTTTGTTTTCAGACAGGTTATGTGCATTTAGATGTTCACATTCAAAATTTCTAGTGTTCTAATTAACAATCTTTTGTATTTCTTGGCATATACATAAAGTATCATCACTCAGGGCCTCTATTTTATGTCTCATCCAAAAATACTAATAGTTATTGCACTTGTTGGCATTTTCTGGATGTGTAGCCAAAGGTTCGGCTTTCAACTTTGTAACTAACATTTTAAGACTGAAATCAGGCTACTATGTCTAGTATCCATTATCTACATAAATAAACAAAATAAAGAAAAGGACAAATACTATGCATATGAAAGGGTCACAAGGTAATGCATCTTGCAGCTTTACTTTGGATTATTAGACAAAGAAAACATGGATTTTTTAGTAATGTTGCAAATTATTTAACATGCTAGAACTTGTTTTTATAGATTGAGGTTACCAAGAGAAGAAATTGACAATCCCCACAAGGTAGCAGGACATAAAGTGTTCAGGGAGACATTTGCTATAGAAGTGAACTTTGAATCAGCAGATTCCTACGCCTGATATGAAAAAATCATATTCTAAAACCAAGAAATGAACTATTGTAAAATTGCACTGTGTGTTTTATTGTACTGTCTGTTGTCTTTTTGCTAATGGAAACATAGGAGTATATCATGTATATACGACAAACTGTATTAATATTAAGAATAAAGTCATGCTATGTATATGTTTTTTTTAAGCCTTAACCAGCTTAATTTCTAAAATGGACTTGTCCAGCTTCTATTTTTGGAATTGTCCATTATCAGTCTATGGATATCAAGATAAGAATTAAAGTTTGTCAGCCAACAGTATCGAGGATTGTCAGACTACGAATTTGCAGACTGGCCTGACTCTATACTTGTGGCAAAGGCTAATAACTTTTGTTCGAATTTGTCTTTTAAAGGTGCTCCACTGAGGTCTAAAAGTATTAAAATCTTACATAGATCAAGTGGAGCGCTTAAAATGGAAAAATATGCAAAGGATAACGAAGAAAGAAATAAAGAATTAAATTGAATATTCATTTTTTTTGATGGAACACAAATCTTGGAAAATTATTTCCAGTGCTATTATGTCAAAATACCTCAGTGGAGTCCCTTTAATATGATAGTGCAATATGTCTTGATATAGGTTGATATATTAGTGCAATACATTTTGATTTAATAGTACAATATGTTTTGATATAGGTTGATATATTAATTCAATGTATCCTTTGGTATAATAGTGCAATATGTCTTGATATAGGTTTATATATTAGTGCAATACATTCTTTGATATAAAGTGCAATATATCTTGATATAGGTTGATATATAAGTCCACTACAACCTTTGATATGATAGTGCAATATTTCTTGATATAGGTTGATATATTAGTGCAATACATTCTTTGATTTAATAGTGCAATATGTCTTAATATACAAAATAGGTTGATATAATAGTGTGATATATCCTTTAAAATATATCTTTTGATATGCTTCTGCAATATTTTTGAAAATTTTGCTGATTTTCAATTTAGATTATTTTTGTGTAATTGTGATTTTTCCATGATAAAAAATACATGGAATTATAGATATTAAATAGACCTGTTTTTGAATTTTAGCCATATTGAAGTTGCTTAATGATAAATATATCTTCTTCACGTTACTTAATATTTAAGTTGAATGCAGATAAAAATATTTTTTAACAAGTTGGATGAGGTTATGTTATCATTTTTTATTTTGAATTTTTATTGAATTTGTCGGAAAAGTTGAATGAATATTGATAAAACTGTGATAGTAATTAGTTCTTAATACTCACTAAACTCATCAACAGTCAATATTATACAATTATTGACTAGTGAGCCATTGAATATGATGTGATATTCACCGGCAGATGACATATTGCCCGAGGCGATAGCCGAGGTCAATATGACTTTCTGCCGGTGAATATCGCATCATATTCAATGGTTCACTAGTCAATAATTGTTTTATTATATCACAGATTTTTATTACATGAATAGGCTAAGAAATTAAAAAAAAATCACAAAGGTACAACCTTATAATTATACATGTACAAATTTTGCCTCGTTGAAGCGCGGGAAAAAAGACGCACGTGTTAGGCGTGCAACGACTATGCAAACGCTGCGCATACAAAAATAATTCAAGTTTATACTCATCATTGCAGTGTAACGGTGTAACCTTTAAGTATAACAGTAAAGTATTGATATTTTAATCGAGAAATATGCCATAAAGAACAAAAAGCAACAATTATTTTTTAATTAACATGTGTAATTAACAGTCTACGGTGGGTGTATGATCATTGCATATGAGTCTCAATCTTTTTTTAGACTGGGAAAATCCAATTCAGCCAGTGAATATGATACTACACCCAGTAAATATGATTTTGTAAAAAGTTCTGTTGACTACTGTTTGGACCAATGAGATTGCAGCTATATTTAGATCATATAATAAAGATAAATGTGATATCTTTTTTCATTGAATTGATATTTTTTTCCAGTTTTGAATAACTATTTTTATAATCTTATTCATGTGCAATAGGAGGAATGTGATATGTATAAACTTCTTAAGCAAACTATATTATCAGTTTATAATTTTATTCCATTATGAATTGTTTTAACACTTGATAATGCAGTGAATAAATCATTTTTAGCTCGACTATTCGATAAGAATAAGTAGAGCTATTGCAGTCACCCGAGCGTCGGCGTCGGCGTAACCACTTATGTTAAAGTTTTTGTAATAGTTCAAATATTTTCAAAGTCCATAGACATATGGCTTTGAAACTTTGCACACTTGTTTACCATCATGATCTCAACCTGTAGACAGGAGGAGGTAACTCTATCAAGCATTTTGACAGAATTATGCCCCTTTTTCAACTTAGAATTTACGTTAAAGTTTTTGTAATAGTTCAAATATTTTCAAAGTCCATTGACATATGGCTTTGAAACTTTGCACACTTGTTCAACATCATGACCCCAACCTGTAAACAGGAGGAGGTAACTCTATCAAGCATTTTGACAGAATTATGCCCCTTTTTCTACTTAGAATTTATGTTAAAGTTTTTGTAATAGTTCAAATATTTTCAAAGTCCATTGACATATGGCTTTGAAACTTTGCACACTTGTTCACCATCATGACCCCAACCTGTAGACAGGAGGAGGTAACTCTATCAAGCATTTTGACAGAATTATGCCCCTTTTTCGACTTAGAATTTACGTTAAAGATTTTGTAATAGTTCAAATATTTTCAAAGTCCATTGACATATGGCTTTGAAACTTTGCACACTTGTTCACCATCATGACCCCAACCTGTAGACAAGAGGAGGTAACTCTATCAAGTATTTTGACAGAATTATGCCCCTTTTTCGACTTAGAATTTACGTTAAAGTTTTTGTAATAGTTCAAATATTTTCAAAGTCCATTGACATATGGCTTTGAAACTTTGCACACTTGTTCAACATCTTGACCCCAACCTGTAAACAGGAGGAGGTAACTCTATCAAGCATTTTGACAGAATTATGCCCCTTTTTCGACTTAGAATTTACGTTAAAGTTTTTGTAATAGTTCAAATATTTTCAAAGTCCATTGACATATGGCTTTGAAACTTTGCACACTTGTTCACCATCATTACCCCAACCTGTAAATAGGAGGAGGTAACTGTATCAAGCATTTTTTTTACTATCAAGCACTAAGAATAGTCGAGCGTTGCTGTCCTACCGACAGCTCTTGTTTATGGTATGGAAACATTTGAATACATATTTATGTTTTTGTATATAAGTAAAGGTTAGAAGTGCAATTAATCGTTGAATGTTTTGAAGGATTTTGATTGTCGAGCAAAATCAATGGAAGTAACTCAGTCACCATAATGATTTCTTATATCAACAGTTCTCTCCCTTTGATAACGTACCTTGGTGAATATTTATAATTTTTCATGACCATTACTCTCCTTTTAATAGCTTATAGTTTATAGATGTGTACAAAATTGTTGAAGAAACTAGTCGTCATTTATAAGTGCAATATCCACTTTTATTACATTCCAATTAGTATATATAGATTACACATAAGGTTGTAAAAGTATTTATTTGTATTATATTTAGCAGTTAATTGTGCAATATAGCTATAAAGTGTAATATTTTATATAACAGATTTATGATATAATAAAGTAGTGATACAAAAGTGTCTCTGGTAAATTTCATTTGCAGTCATAAAATAGTAGATTTCAATCGTGATGAGTTTATACATGTACATGAACTTTGACCTTGGATAAAGGGACCTTGAAATATAAGAATATATTTCACCAGACAATGTCTAAGTTGTAAATAGCAACGAAGTTTTGAATTCTGATAGAGTGGTCACTAGTTTATAAAAATAGTTTAGTTTGATTGTGTTGGAAGCCATAAGCTCATTCTCGAATCCGGTCCTGGAAACAATGACTTGCCCATGACAGCGTTTGAACCCACGGGGTCAGCAATCGCAACGTGTTAACCACTCGGCCATACCGCCACTCAGGGTGGTCACTGCATCTGCATGTAGTTGGCATTATTACAAGATTACTGACTTTATTTGATCTTGGAAATGATCTTGGTCTGAAATGATGTAGGGCACTTTAGCTCTTTTGCCACTAGTCTAGTAAAGCTGCAAAAGCACAATATGGCATTGATCAACAAAAAACAACATATGCGAACCATGCCCTCGGTCATTGGGTTTTTTTTTTTGGGGGGGGGGGGTTTAATACACGACGTCGTTGTAATTACTGGAAAGGCTTTAAGAAACTCATTTTCCGAATGGAAATAAGGCTGAATAATTGAATACCATTAGGAAAGAGAGACTTAATCACTTAATATTTGTTTCCAATTTATATAAATGATTTTCATCAACAGTTACCACGTTAAGTATCTTCAATTGACTTGTCCATATTCAATCTGGAGACAATGTCATTCATCATTTTTAGCGAAAAATTCAAAAATAAATACTGTATATGTACAATAGGCGCATGGGTATTAGAATTAAAGAAAACAAGGTTTGTTTAATTGGTATTTGGCGGCATTTTGTAGGCAGATGATTTGCTATCGATATCAATTAATAACAGATTTATTGAAAAGGGAAACATTTCTGTAACAGTTTTTCATATTTACACCCAATTGATTTTACAGCTATGCTGTTTGTCTTTAAAAGTCAGTTTTTCGTTTAAATTGTTAGATAGAGCTATTTACTCGTATAGCTACAAAATTATAGTATTAAAAGGATGGTCTCTTCTAATATTGTTTTCGCAAAATTATCTTTTAGTATCGCTCATGTTTCCACTTCCAGTAGTCTGGAACGTCTTTGTAAGTTCGAACATTTGGCCTTCTTGGCTCATCTCTTTTCCAATGATTCACGGTTCGCGCCGGATATTCCTGATACCTCATATGACCGTGTTCTCTTGGTGTGCCGTGGTCCCTTGGTGATCTATGCGGATCCATATCCCAACGGGCATCTGCATTAGCGATATATGGTCCTCTGAAAATATGAAGGGCTTCAATTTCAATGCGGAGATATTTTTGTCAATGGATATGCATATATACGAATGAACTTTTTGTAACCCGAAGAAAAAAGGAAGTATATATTTTTATTATACATTTTAAGAATGTTAAGGTAGAAAAGGGTGTTTTTGGCGGGGGAGCACGATATCAAAACTAAAAGCAGTAAAACAGTAACCATTTTGCTTTTAAACACAAATGGTATGTTAAACAAATTATTCAGCATGCTTGATTTTCAGCAGAATTATATCGCGGAAGGATTTTAGATAATAAACTTACTGCTTACACTATATGAGATTGATGAAGCAAGTAACGAAAGATCTTAATCTGCGCCCTCTCGTTGCCAATCCACAATGTCCCCATATGGTCCACAGCCACAGAATACGGCCTCTCATTGTCCAGCTCTTCCTTGGTTATCAGGACTTTCAGAAAGTGACCTTTTATGTCGAGTAGATGCACTTCTTGGTTGGCAATATCACCAACAATGATGTGACCAAACTTATCTGTACATATCCCGTACGGAAGGAAATTTCCTTTCACATCGTTCAGTCCGTAATAGACCATGCGTACTTTGCCGTCATGTGAGAAAACTACGACACGCCCTTCTTTGTCGCTTATCCAATCAGAAACAGCAATGGAACCATCGATATTTTCCGCAACGCGATATGGATGAATGGGTATGCGTTTAGTCCTATCCCCGTCAAGATGGCCGGTCTTGTTCCCGCGCGCAGTAAATTTGAAAATTGTACATTTATTTGGAGATGGTATTGCAGTGCACATGTCCACTCCGCAGACGATAATTTCCCCAGCAGCTGACACATCGAGACCGCGACAACGTAAAGGACATTGAAAGAAGTCCCGAACTTGAAGTTTCTTATCTACTATACGTACGACGCTTCCGGTAAATGTCGATACAAGTAAGTTGCCATCGCCATCAATCGCAATATCATCTACAGGCTGTTTGAAGACAATCCGGTTCCGCCGATAGCCATCTTTATTGTAGAGATATATTTCAGTTGTTGTCCATCCGAAGCATATCCAAGCCTCCGAATCATTGATAGGTGCAATAGCGCTCACTTTATTACCGGCTACCATCTTACATATAAACGTCTTTAGTAGTCTTGCGTGTACTTCTGGAACAACCTGTAACGTTGGAATCCCCCTGATCACTTTTTGTTTACTTTGTTTGGCTCTGGGAGAAGCCAGTGTTTCCAGCTTTGGTCCATTTTCCATGTATATCCCAAACATGCTCTGTAGCTGTGCTGACGTCATTGAGCCATCAGAAAAAGTTAATCGCGTCCTAGGTGCCCTCTTCTTTGTCAACTCCTGTATTTGCTTCGATAAACGGATAATATTCTGATATAATTCCATCACCTCAAAATCATTACCGTGCTGAGCAATTCTTTCACCAGACGTCAATGCAGTTGTGGCATTTCGCACATATCCGGCAAGTGTTTGTTTTCTTTGTTCCAATTTGGTGGTCTCGGTCTTCTCTTTTTGTTTCAGACTTTCTAGCAATCTGTTACTAGTCTTATCGATTTCTTCTTTCATAATTCGGGACCTTTTCTCGACGCTTTCAACCGTTCCTTTGACATTTATAGCGACCTGTTTATTCTGTTCTTCTAGTTCCTTTATTTGCTGTTTGAGGAGTGGTAGAAAGCTGGCTCGTATTTGGCTGAGTTTAAACGGCAAATTGTCCCTTTGTTCGGATATTTCTTCGTTCAAATCGCGCGTTTTATGGCCTTCGTGTTTAGTAAGCTTGCATGCAATGCACAGAGGTATAAGGCATTGCCTGCAGTATAATTGAAGCTTCTCGTCTCTGTGGGTCTTACAGTTTGGTTTATTCGAATGTATTTGATATTTTATCATTTGTCCCGCAGAAGGGACAAACTTATCCCAGCTCTGTGTTTCATGGTCACATGATATTTTCATCTTTTTGTGATGCTCAGTGCAAGACCCACACATACTTGCGTGGCAATTTAAACAACGGGTCTGCATGACCTTATATTCGTCGCACATATCGCATTTTTCTTTAGGTTCATCAGAGGATGGACTTAGTTTTGACTGCTCTTTTTCTTTACGAAATGATTTCTTCGAACCACTAGTCAGCTTAACCGTTTTTGAAGATTGTGCCTTTCCTCCTCGTGTACCAGCTGTTGTCTTGCTCACTGGCTTGGTTGCCTTTGGTGATAACCCACCGCCTTTGGGCGAATCTCTTGGTGACAAGTGTATGCTCATGTCTTCCGTTAGTGCAATGCTTAACGACGACGACGGTGGGCCTGCCGCTCCCGGAGAAGTTTCTTGTTCCGCCACCGGAGATCCGTTACTCGCCTCCGCCATTTTGATTTACTTTTGTTTCGCCGTCGGTCCCTTAAACAACTCGCCAACTCTTTTTAAATGATTTTGTTTCTCAAACAAAACTTATTAGCCAGAAAATGTATTGAACAGTGGCAAAAAGTAGAAATCCATTGCTAAACTACATTCCTAAAATAACTTTATAAGTAGCCAGACAAATTTGAGATAAAATGTGAATAGTCACACAGTTCTTTTTTATAAATTGTCATAACTTATAATAAATTCGATTTTTAAATCCAAAAATTGGCACTATTTCTGCTGATTCGGTCGTTTATTCAGTACAAAATATTTTTTTAAACATTTTGAACGTGTTAAAAATGATATTTAGTCACTAAGTCACTATTCAACTAAGTTGATGCGTAGGTAATTTTTCCTCCAGTTCTTTTTCAGTTATTTTAATTATCTAAAACTGTTAAGTCATATTGTTCTTAATTTAAAACCCATGTTATCACGACTTATTACACTGAAAAATAAGGAACCATTTAAAAAGAACGTTTTTAAATGTCCTTACAATGGAAAGAAACCAACCGTCTGAATTTCAATTCATTAACCATTGATTAAACCACAAGTCTTTGTTATTTGATACTTTAAAGTTTGTAAAATAATATCAAATTGACAATAAACAATGAAATGATAAAGTCGTGTACACTTGCTTTCCGTATAGGGCATAGGTTAACTTTTCATATTGTCTTGTAATACCGGGTGTATATTTTATCATAATTGGGGGAAAAAGTTTATTGTACATGCATCATACATAGTACTCGATAAAATAGATTTGAGTAAAGTCATTTGTTTAATGTATATAAATGCTACGAGAAGATAAATGAAAAAAATATCCTTTTAATTAACGAGCAGGAATTTAGTTTTGCTACATGTAGCTAGGTTTTTTTTATATGTTGTTGAAAAATAAAGTTTAATGGTTACAATTACTCATTGCTTTTTAAAATGTACTAATTTCTGTTTAATTATAATGTATTTATTTCTACATAAAATGTTCTTATTTCTGTTCCAATTATACTCAAATCTATTTTAATTGTAATATCTTTAAAATTAACTTATTACTGTAGCTGTTTGTAATTTGCTTATTTCTGTATATAGGAACAACACAGACGTCTAATAGCTTAAAATCATATTTAAAAAAAATATTTCATAAATCAAATGTGTACATAAAATGGAAAACGACGTAATAGATAATATATAAATATATTCTGTATTGAATTGATAATCGAATTTTTTATGTCATATTTGGATCGACTTGAGTGAAAAGTGTTGCAATGCTTTTCAATTCAGGTCAATATGCGCTTTAAAATTGTTCATCCTATTGGAAGCGAAGTGAGCGAATGATCTGACATTTTGTACACGAGTGAGTACATCAGTTATACAAAAATCTGGAAAATGTTTTCGCTCCCTTCATGCCAAAAAACCTCAGTGGTGTTTAAAAAACGTTCTAATTTCTGTTTAAAGTTACTCTATTATGTTTAAAATGTTCTAATTTCTTATTTAGACTTTCGGTACTGTTCGGTTGGCAGTATTCGTCTCTACTTCTCTTAAAACTGCCCAAGTGTCTGTCGAACAAACGTTGATTATGTCAATATACCTTTTTCATCTGCATTTACAAAATATCAACATACTCTGTCAATACAAATTGAATAGAAGTAATACTTCTAATGGCTTGATTGTCTTGAGTGGTTATTGCTTATGATTAATATATGATCGCTCAATTGTGCGAACAAAAATGCCAAGGGAATTATTTCGATAGAAATCATATAGAGTGATGATCAAATTTCACATTAATCAATTATTAAGTCATTTTTTGCCAGTGTTATTCACAGAACAGATTGTCCGCTGGGAGTTTTGCATTTTAATATCGCTTGCTGGCACATATATCATATAATATCATATCATATGTGTGTCGTTGGCTCAGATATTCTTGTTTTAAGTTTGATAATATTTTACTAATAATCCGGTATCTTCTTTTTCAAAACTTATTCAATAATTAATGCAAACCGAAAATCCTAAGCTTCGTTGTGCTATGTCAGTAATTTCATTCCTTTATTTTACAGCTGTATGACAACTGCACATTCCTCCTTCACCTCCTAAAAGTACTATACTTGCATACAGATGCTATATCCTTTTCCTTACCTCTAAGCACCAGAACTCTGACTTAACAACAGTGTTTTTTTGTTGTTTTTGTTTTGTTTTTTGTTTTTGTCTTTTTATTAAATTAATTTTAATTTTGATTAAATATGTGGCTATCTTTTTAGCTATCTGATTTCAGATTTTTCTTTTTCTGACTAATCACGCTGCAGTTTCCCCTTCAGAAAGCCACGTGTTGTTTTAAAACTATAATATCAATTAAGATTAAAAGAATCTCTAAAGCAGACACAGCTCGAGTCATGCAAACAGGGGTTTGCACTGTAATTCAGTCAAACATACGATTTAAACACATCTGGTGTAGCGCAGAAAAAAATGTTATTAAAAAAGGAACATCTCCGTGCCACGTAAGAAAAAAGAACATCACCGTGCCACGTTAGAAAAGGGAACATCACCGTGCCACGTTAGAAAAAGGAACATCACCGTGCCACGTTAGAAAAGGGAACATCACCGTGCCACGTTAGAAAAAGGAACATCACCGTGCCACGTTAGAAAAAGGAACATCACCGTGCCACGTTAGAAAATGGAACATCATCGCGCTATTATGTTATACAATTACGGTGTCGTGATAACACAATGCCGTGCTGTAAAATCATTAGCAAAACATTACCATTTAGCATAAAGGCATCAGAACAAGAAGATGTCTTCGTGTCTTACATTATCTATTATAAACATAGACAGACAGCCGTTCCAAAACTCCGTTATCGTCTATTTATTTTCGCTTTCAATTATTTGTATTTCATAGACACAACTATTTAATGACGAGACGTTTGAGAGACATTGTTGATTTTAAATTGTCTACCATTTTGTTCCAGAAATGACGGGCCGTATAGGAAATTGCGTGCGGCACTATATAGTTGCACAAATTAACGACTGCTGTCAGGAAGCGAATATCATATGCCTATATAATTAATTAGCTAGTCCAACAAGTGTTTGTTTGAATGACATGAGAATAATACAGGAAAGTTGATGTAAATATCTCATGGGACACGCAGAATTCAGCATTTTGGTGTCTCATTTTGGAATGGATAAGTATAGGTTTTAAATGTATGATATCTTTAGACATTTTAGACAGCTTTGAATATCTAATAAACTGTAATAAAATGAAGAAATGTGAACGACATCAAGAGAAAATATTTTACCTTCATATCTAATATCATTACTGTCTATGTCAATTCTGACATTGTTCCAAAACATATCAATTTTTGGGATTCTAACATAACAAGGTTTAAAAGAAGGGTGATCCTTCAGAAACAATAATCACAACAAAATAGCATGAAAATTTCGTTATCGGTTTCATTTTGTCTCTACATGAGGGATAATGAGAAAGTGCAGCATCCTCCCATGCACCCTAGCACCGGCTTGAGTGGTTCTCAATTTTCAACACTTCAAAGTGATGAAGTCAATGATCTCGAAGGAGCAGACAAATATAACAAATGCTAAAGTTAAGTTTGGGGCAACTGTATTTAACATTAAGTATAAGCATGGAGAATACTGCATTCGGGTAGTAGGTTCATTCATATACTTAGCCAATAACATTACAGAACAAGCTGTTTGAAATACTTATTACTTATAAGCAGCACTCGTCACCTCATTCCATTATTCTGGTGCATACATTGCCGAAATTGTGACGAAGATTTTTTTAATGTTTTAATATGTTTTGAAATAAAGCTTTACGGATCAATGAAACATTTATTTTCAGATATACAATTAAAGCATCTTTCTATATTTCTATATTCCTAAATTTCAAAGAGAAGAGCCACGTGTATGTGCGCATATAATTAATGACAAATTGTATTTCTAAAGAAAAAATAAATATTTATTTTAGTCATTGCAATGTTGTGCCTTACTTATTCATATGGTAGTTTGAGTATCAAAGATAAAATAACACAACCAATTTCAAATGCGGCGACAGATTATTCTGTCCATTCGTTACATTGAAAACCGGTTAGCAGAACTCGCAGAGCTCTCTTTTAACAGCACTGCCATACCGAAAATATCAAACATTATTAATATTAAGAAATAAAAGCAAATATCGGCATCATCCATTAGGTAAAATATGAATACAAATTTGTTAATGATATGTGTTATTTTTATCCATTATTTATTCATAATATGATTGATTAAATTTAGCAACTAGCCATGTTTTGTACGAATAACAGGGGAGTTATATCTCGACAGATATCTTATATGCCGGGATGGCAACATCACATCAAATTATAAAACACAATCTTGTCTGTTTCGTTCACAATAAAGCATGTCCACAGAGGATTCAACTTTGTTCTTATTACATGACGAGTAGTTGTATATCAAGTGTACTAAAATATTTGTGACGGGTGATAAATTCAATAATAATAATAATAATATCTTTATTTAAAGAAGGTTACACATTAAGAACATACAATAACAATCATATATATCTTATTTCCAAAGTGGCCTTCTGAAAAAGAAAACAACAGGACATGCATAGGTAGAAAAATGAATGTATAATATGTAATTTTTAGAATAATACAACTCATAAACTTTCGACAGGCACTCAACAATTTTTGTTTAAACATATATGTATATTGCATCATTTGTTCGTTCGTTCATTCGTTCGTTCATATATTTATTCATTCATTCATTCACTCACTCATTCATTCATATGAACATCAAGATATGCTTTGTATTTTTCTTTAAAACATTTAAGGTTATTAACATTACGAATATTTAAAGGTATATTTTTCCAAATGTTCATGCCATAATAAGAAAATGTGTCTTTAATATAATTTGTTTTAGGTCATGTCCATAATACAATATCTTTCCGTGACCTAGATCTTAAGTTATATATTTTGTTGTCGGATAAAGTCATCAGTTCTGTCATATATGTCGGTGCCATGTTATTTAAAGTTTTTTTAAAAACAAGCACCGCCGTGTGGTATTTACATCTGTCAAGGAACGGTAACCAATTAAGAGTTTCGAATAGATTTGTTGACGGAGATCTTTGAGGTTGCTGTAAAATGATTTTAGCAATTCGTTTAATATCGTATCTTCAATAAGCATATATTAACTAGCATCCATAGAGATTTTCCACTTATGTCTCTTTTAATTTGACAACAACAACACCCCCCCCCCCAAAAAAAAAAGGACCCCCCAAAACAAACAAAATCTGTTTCTTCGCTTAGTAAGCACTAATTACTTAGAGAAAAAGTTCAGTTTTAGCTCTGTCCCAGTGTTTTATTGAAGGAGAAACTGAAACTTTGTTTTAACGCGATTTTGTAACATTGCCGATAGTGTTTGGCTGAAATAATCTGACACATACATATTGTATACATAATTTAGTTTAGCTTCACTATGTAGGAAGC